TTATTGCTTTCTATGGCTTAACAAGGTTTGCCTTCCTCCAAGTCATGAAGATATTCTGTGTTTTTACCTAAAAACTTTATGATTTTAGCTTTTATGGCTTAGATCTATAATCCATCTTGAATTAGCTATTGCATATGGTGTGAGGTAAGGGTCAAGTTTCATTTCTTTCTCCCATATGGATATTAAGTTGTTTCAGCACCATTTGTTGAGAACACATTCCTTTCCCCATTGGATTGCTTTGACATCTTTGTCAAAATCAAATGACCTTTGCAGTGACATTAGCAAGTTGATGCAATAGGAAGTCCCACCTATCATCCCCTCACAGAAACACAGATTTAACAATATATTGATCAAAGTACCTTTATGAGAAGTCCAGGATCCAATTGAGAGGTAAGGTACCCCAGACAAGTACATAGCTAAGAACAGCTGCATTGAGATGGGTCCTGCATCCTTGGGTCTAAGAGTGGAGGCTTTCTCAGTAGTACCTCCAGAAATAGGAGACCTCCAATATTCTGATCTCAGACAGTTTCTAGCTCCCAGTAAGATTCCAGATCAATGGTAAAGAGGAGTTAAAGAATAGAGGCTGTGCCTAGTCAACATTGAAGCAAGAATGCAAAGGTTGCACAGGACAAGGTGGGGAGGAGCAGGGTGAAGGGATGGTAACCACTAAAGACTTAGAACAAGAAATTTAACAACTATCTGGGTTTTTTTTATTTTTTATTGAAAGATTTTGGGAAAATGATATAGTTGCATAGAAAACTAATCAAATGAAAAATAATAATTCCAAGATAAAAGTATACAAAACTATCATTATAAAATTAAAAGTGCATATAGAATTTTGATTTTTCTTAAAAAGGTAAATGATTATGAGTTTATTTCTGGCTCTCTATTCTGTTCCACGGATCTGTTTGTCAATCCTTATGCAATGCTACATTGTCTTGATTACTGTAGTTTACAAGTCTTGAAATCAAGTAGTATAAGTCTTAGGATTTTTTTTTTTTTTTTAGCATTGGAATTTTTAAAAGCTCCCCAGATAATTCTCATGTGAGCCAAGGTTTCTAGACCCTGCTCTCTCTGTCACTATCTCCAGGCCTACACAACAATTCAATTAGTATACTCGATCCTACTTCCTTATTATCTCGGAAATCTCTTCCTCTCCAGCTCTATCACTGATGCATTAAGGACTTCATCAGTTTCTCACTTGACTCTACACTACTTCTGGAAACTAAAATTCTAACTCCTTAGTGTGGCTAAAATCACACTTTGTGATTAGGCTTCCTGGTATTTGTCCACTAGCCTCCCCAAAAAGTACATTGAATTTTAGCCATATTATATTTGCTGTTCCTCTAAAGTGCTAAACTTCAGCCTTACCATATTTGCTGTTCCTCAGATGTCTTAAACTTCCTCATGCCTTTGCCTATCCTCCAGCTTGAAACACCCTTTCCTCCTGTCATTGCTTGTCATTTCCTCCTTCTCTTTTGACATTTAGCCTGGCATCATCTGCCCCTCTCATCTGGAAGAGGTGTCCTTCGCTGGTCCTCATGGCCCTCTGTGCATGCCTTCATCACCAGCACTAAGGTGCTGTGGTGTAATTGTCAGTCACCTTGATGAGCAGCCCAATTAATCTGTAAGTTTCTCGAAGGCTCAGACAGTTTTGTTTCCATCTCTTGTCCCTAGTGCCTAGCAATGTGCTTGGCACATGTGAGGTACTAATAAATGTTTATTAAATGAAATCTGGGCTCTGATACGCACTGTGATTTGGGGAAGATTTCCTAATCTCCCAGAACACTCTATTTTCTTATCTACAAACTGGAAATAACACCCATGCCACAAAGTGGTTATGAGAGTTAAGTGAGCTAATCTATGTAAATAAAGTCCATTGTGTGGGCCTGGTGCGTGGTAAGCGCTCAATAAATGTTGATCCTTTTTCCTCCTGTTTCCCACCATCCATGGGACCCTTTCAGAGATACCCCTTCCTACACACACTTCTTTAACTGGCCACTAGGTGGTGGTCGCCTCTGGCCTGACATTCACTCCCAGAGCTGCCCCTTAATGAAAAGGAGGTTGTTTAATAATTTGCTGAGGGAGCCAACAAAGGAGATATCCTTTTCCCACACTAACTTCTTTGCCCCATCACCATTCTAGGCATCCCAGTGATGAATTTCAGAGAATTCCTCCTTGATTCCTCACTATTTTGGTTATAATTCCAACCCAATGATTTGAAGATGGAGGAAGCTGCTTAAGAATAGAAGCTGGGAGAAAGAGAAGATGCTGAGGCAGGGAGGGATTAAATAGAGTGCTACAGGAGAAATCCAGAGAAGATGCTTGAAGTCACATCCTAGTCCAGGGCAGGCACACCTAGTCCTAATGCTCCCGCCAGCTTCCCCACCAATCTAGAGCTCCCTACACGGGGTGGATACTAAGAAGAAAAAGACATGGTCCCTGCCCTCAAGGAGTTTATGGTCTGGTAGTAGACACAGAACCCACAAAATGAAATGCTAAATTGTGGATACCGAAGCTATCTCAAGTACAACTGTGGAATAGGGGAGATAGGCAGAGCGAGAGTAACAGGAGAGCTTTTCTGAGGAGGGCAGAGAAGGGGGCGGCTGTGAGGGACAGTACATTTAAAAGCTCAGGTAGAACTATGCATTCTCTTATCTTACAGAGACACCCTCAGCAGCTCACATACTGGAAATAACCCAAGTGCCCAACAATCCCAATAGACTGTAGAGCATTCAAGCAAGGAAATTCCAAGTAGCAATGTGAGCTAGATGTGTACATACAATGTAAAAAGGAATCAAGCTAAGTTAATTGGAAAAAGCAAGTTACAGAGCAATATATGTTCTATGGGCTCATTTGTGTTTTTAAAGAATATTCAATTATATTTGTATACCATTTAAAAAAAAACAACACCCCTGGAAGGAGACAGAATGAACCATTAGTAGTAGTTAACTCTGAGCGTGCGGCTGAAGAGAGAGCAGCAAGTTTACTGTTCACCTTACACTTTCCTATACTCTTGGAGTTTTTTTTTTTAACCACTGGGTTTTAACATTTTCTTAACAATACAAAGTTAATAAAAATAAATATACATTCACATCCAGATAGCAGGGGCTGAGAGGTAGTGAATGAGAAATAAGTGTCCACATGCCAGCTGAGGCCAGATTTTGGAAGGCTACAACTGAAGAAGAGTTCACATTCGACCCAGTTGTCCATGGACACCCAGGAGAAGTTCACCAACAAGGAAAGCAGAATTTTAGGATGATTCATCTATGTAAGACAGATGTGGGGTGGGGGGAAGAGCCCTTTCACAGCCCTCTCAGGCTACATATAGTCGCTCCAGATATCTTTTTCTTTTCAAAGCCATCTGAAGTCCACTTTAACCTGATTTCACTTGGATCACAATATTGGGAAGGGCCCTGGAAGGAACCCTGGTAGGCATGCATTGAAAACATTTGGTGAATCCCCATCATGTGCCTCACACTGTGGCCTTGAGAGCTAGATAAAAGGAGAAATAAGACCTCACCCATGCCCAGAGAAACTCTCTGGCAGTGGAAATGGAGGAAATCTGAGATATATTTCAAAGAAAAAAAAGACAAGCTTTGAGCACAGGCTGGCAAGATTGGATATAGGAAGGAAAGGCCACCTTTGGAGTTGGCAAAAAGTCTGAGGTTTCCAGCCTGGGAGACTAAAGGCAGGTGGCAGTGGCCCTGAGCAAAGCAAGCTGGAAGAAGCTAAAGGTTGAGCTCACTGTCATTAAGGGACAAGTCCTCCATGCTGCTCCCCTTTCTGCCAGGGACAAACTGGAGTAGGAACTCCAGTTTTTCCCGTGACTAGAAATTAAAAGGGGGAACGGTGGTGCAACCGTCCCTCATCTCTAAGGTCAATTTTTGGCAGCTGACGTAGCCTGCCTGGCTCCCTAAACCCTTACTTCCAGACACCCAGAAAGTCAGACACCAAGGGTACAGGCTCAAAACGCCGCCCAGAAGAGGGCAGTGGCCGGAAGCACGTTCACCGGCTCCTGGGAACCGCCCGGCGCCTTCTGGACTCAGTATATCATTCCCGTAAAGGCTGAGCCCAGGGACAAAGGTCCGGCACTCAGCAGGCACCCCTTTAGAACCCGAGGCCTGGAAATGGAGGTTCAGGTCCCTTATCTTGTTCCAAACCCTGGCGCTTGGAATCTAAATCCTGACTTGGTGGGAAGCCAGTCAGAAGGCATAAAAAACACACACACAAAAAAATAAATGAGCCCCGACCTCTTGGGGCGAAAGGGGGTGGCCCTTCCTCCACCCCACCCGCAGGTGACTCACCTCCCTCCAAACCAGGGCCTGCCCCTCCCGCGCCCAGTGCCAGGCGGGCAAGGTGGGGCGGGTGCTAAGGTGGGCTCCATCCTCCAGCCCTAGGCGGCCGGACAAGCTGCAGCGTGTCCCCGCGGGTGTCCCTGTTTACTCCAAGCCCGGGAGCAAGGTGGGGGCGGGCCCTCGCGGCCCCTCCCCCATCCCGCCCCCCTCCGCCGCAGGCCCCAATCCAGGTCCGGTCATACAAAGTCTCCAAATCTGAGCGCAGCCTTTCCCAGTACCTACCCCGCAGACTCGCGGCGACCCCTGCCCCCACCCGGGGAAGAGGAGGCATAGTCAGGGTTCTCCGAGGAAATCAGGCCTTGGTCGGGGCCACCAGGTCCTGGACCTCCCAGAGGGGGCCTGAAATCCTAGTATATGACAGAGTTTCAAAGAGGAGCCGCTCAGCCCTCCTCGCCCACTGCCCAATCCCACCCTCAGTCCCTCAGCTCTCTGGAGCGCGCAGGAGAAAGGCCAAAGCAGGGAAGAGGACGCCCCAGGCCCCAAACTGGCTAGCGGTCTCCCGAGACCTCCACTCTCGGACCGCTTCCCAGAACTCCAAATACTGTCTCTGCTCCGACTCCCCCTCCCCAGGGCAGCGCGCCAAATCAGCGCATGCGCACTCACTGGATTGCCGCGTAGCTCTTTCTACCCCCCCACCTTTTTCTTTCCCCGCCCCTTCCCTCCCTCCCTCCTCTAGTCGTCCCCTCCCTCTCCCCGATCAGCCCCCCCGCGGCACTTCAGTCCGGGGAACAGCGGTGCGAGCTCCAGGCCCATGCACTGAGGAGGCGGAAAGGAGGGGAGCCCCCAGAGCTCCATCAGGCCCCTTCCACAGGCTCCCCAACCCGGTCCACGCCCCCCACCCCCCACCCCGCCTCCTCTCAATTGTGCATTTTTGCAGCCGGAGGCGGCTCCGAGATGGGGCTGTGAGCTTCACCCGGGGAGGAGGAGAGAGCAACGAGGAGTAAGGCGGGTGGGGGGTAAAGGGTTTGGATTTGGGGGTAAGGGGTGCACCCCCATCAGCAGGCCCTCCCCAAGGGGCTCGGAACTCTACCTCTTCACCCACGCCCCTGGTGCGCTTTGCCAAAGGAAAGAATAGAAAAGGAGGAGGGGAAAAGGAGGAAAAAGGGGGACCCCCCAATTGGGGGGGCGAAGGCAAGAAGTAGCAGGACCAGAGGGGAAGGGGTTCTGCTTGCATCAGCCCACACCATGCGGACCCCGCTACTGCTGCTGCTGCTGCTGCCCCTGCTCTCAGCTCTGGTCGCGGCTGCTATCGATGGTGAGTGAGATTCCGCCGCCCCCTTGGACCCCTGGGGGCACCCCTCCCCAGCCCCCACTCCTGCTTACGGATGGGGAAGGGAGACGCGGGAGGGGGTGCCTTTTGTTATCCCAGTCCAGCTGACACAGCAGCGGCCTGACTGGGGGCGGGGATGGGGGTCCGATTTGAAGGATGGGGGCCCTGGGCAAATGATGCTTCCGGGGGTCCCCCCAGCCCAGACAAAGGCAAGAGGCCTGGATAGAGAGAAGACTCCCCCTTTTTCTGATTCTGGGATCCAGAGGCCTTCTCTTCCTATCTCTGTTCGGGGAGGGCCTCTGCCTCCCCTACATCCTCCACCACCCCCCCATCTGAATTGTGAAGGAATCCGGATTTGCAATGTACGGCTGCAAAAGGGGGTGGGGGTGGAGGGTTTTTGCCGTGGCCTCTGAAGCGAAGGGAAAGCTGGGCCAGGGGTACCCCGCTGGGCGTAGGGCAAGCAGGCCAGGAAGGCTGTGGGTGGGGAGAGGGAGGGCCCCCTGATTGGGTGTGGAATCGCCCTGGGCCCCGGTGTGGAGGCCTGGGTTCTGAAGTGGGGCTCTTCCCCCTCTCAGGGCCTCTGTCAGTAGCCTGGGCAGGGCTGTATTTGGGGGGCGGAGGGGGTGCTGGCCATGCTATGTGACTTTGAATTTTCCTTCTTAATTCCTGGGAGCTTTGAGATGAACAAACGTCAGATGTCATCGTTGGGGAAGGGGACTGGAGAATGGCTTGGAATGCTGGGGTAGGAGGGTGGGGGAGGCTGCTTTCTCCCTGACTTCTGGCTGGATCACAGTTTGGATTGGAAGGAGAGTTGGAGGTTGGATGGGGTTATGGTTATGCCCCCACACTCCTTTAGTAAATGTGTTTATTCCCTGCCCCCATATGCATCCCATACACGCACACACTTTGTATGCTGCAGTTAGGCTGGGGCTGGAACTGTGTTCTTTTGGGGAAATGGGGTGCCCCTTTCCCCTTTTTCCGTCAGCTATTTTTTCTCTTACTTGTGAGTCACTCGGTCAAGTCTTGCCCAAGCTTTAAGCTAGGGTCACAGGGTTGGGCTGGGCTGCTGCCCTGATTTGAGAAAGGGTGGGATCTCATCCCTTCCAGTCATGTTAGCCCTCTCATCCAAGGACAAAATTGTTCGCAGTACCATTGTACACCCTCTCTTCTGTCTTCTAAGTCTTGCTGGGCTGGGACTGGGAAAGTTTTTCTTTGAAACCAGATTATATCTCCTAAGCTAACTTGCTTCAATTGGGGCAGGAGGGTCAGAGCGTTAGAAATCGGCTGTGCCCACAAAAAGTTGTATTTATTGGCCTTCAATCATGCCATCTTGGGGACTGTCTGTCTGCTCCTTCTCCCCCAATTTCCAGGAGGAAGAAAGAAGCTCTGCCCTGAGTATCCTCCAGGTCAGCTCTCACAGCCCACCCCTGCCCATGGCTCCCTTCATTAGCATGTTCTTGTTCTCAGTCCTGTGAGGTGAGAGGGGAAACTGAGGCAGAGAGGTTTGGATGCAGCTGCTTCTGGGAGGGTTAGAAAAAAAATTTGAGAGACCCATCAAGAGCCCTGTGAAGGAGGGTAGCTGGAGTTAGGAAGGAACAAAAGCAGAGAAGGCCACCTGCCCACTCAGGAGTGGGCCCCAGGTAGCCTCACTCCTGGGTCCTAAAGAGGTTCTATTTGCCACACCAAGTGGGTGGGGGGGGTGATTGTAAGAGGGAGACTGTTCATGTTCTCCTTGACTATCTCCCTACTCTTTCTTAAAATCTCCACCCAGTCCACCTCTGCATCCCTAGCTAGGACTGAACTCCATCCACAGCCCCAGGGAGATGACCTGTCCCCAAATACATACCAGTATTCCTACCTTGGGAATGGGAATATAAATAATTGGTTCCACCCCACTCTGGGCGTTGGGAAAGGGTGCATTGCATAGAAATGTAGGTCCAACTCTCTCCAGAGGCAGCCTAGGGGATTCCCTTGTCCCTACCCTTCTCTCTGACTTTGAGACCCATAGACACTGAACTTTCTTCTTTGCTTTCCAGAGAAGGAAACCTTCTGGCCCAGCTTATAGTCTTACTTAGAGTCTAACCTTCCTTCCTCCTGCTGTCACAGCCTTGCTGGTTTCCCTCCATGGGAGCAGTCCTAGGGGCCTTCCCTACCTCTTCTGCCTTCTCTTCTATGCCTAAAACTACCCCCTAGGGCACACTCTTTGGGGAGAATTCCACTCCCTGCTAGTAGACAAAATTCAGTATACTTGCCACTGGGGAGGATGGAAAAAAGATGGGGTGGAGAATGGGGAGAAGAAGGGATTATTGAGGACCCTACTGAGATTAAGGAACATTTTGTAGTGGAAAGGGTACCCCCAGGCAGATACAGCTCAGGAAGAAGGTTGACTTCCTCCCTCTCCTCCTCCCCATCTCTACACACCCCCTTGAGATGGTATATTACCAGTCACTAGAAAAGGTGGGCAGTGGAAGTGAGTTATGAGGCTGGGGAGTTAGCTTTCTGGCTCCCTGAGAGAAGGTCCCAAACCCCTTTCTTCCTGGTCAGACCCAGATCCTTAAACATCTTTCCTTACCTCATCTTTCAAAGCAAGGTTGCATAGGAAAATTGTTTTGGGATTGGAGGAATGTTTTGATGTTGGGGGTTGCTTCATGAGACTTCCTTTTCTTCCAATCCTGTTCCCTCTCCCTTAAATTTCTCCATATTTTTGTTATCCTCAACCACTCCCCCATCACTGGGCCTCCCAAAGGATGACAGCCGGGTCCCTGGCAGAGTCAAATCCTGTCCAAAGCCCCCACTCTTCAAAACCTCTTTCTTACCTTTGGAAAGCCCTTCCTTACTGAAGTCTAACTCCTTTTCCTCCTGCTGCAGTCTCAGAACCCCCAAGCCTAGGAGTTTACTCCCCCTCCCCAAGTATTTTGCTCTTGGGGTCCTTCCCACCTCTTGGGCTCTCTACCTTTTAGGTCCTCCAGCTCTGGATGGGGAGGGCCCACTGATCTTGGGGAATCGCCGTGCAGTTGAGTGGGACTGACTGTGCAAGGGTCCCTGGCTTAGTGGTGGCCGGTGTAAGCCATCAGGGAACCTGGCCTCCACTTCTGTCCCAGATTTCAGCCTGGTTAGCAGGATCCTGTATTGTTTGGAGAAGGAAGCAGTTGGCTCTGGAGTGTTTCCGGTGCAGTGGCCTCAGGCACCAGTATAAAACCTCCCTGGGAAAGAGGTGAGGGGTGTGGAAGGAGACACAGTTGTCCCTCTTGCTCCCCTGGGGGAGACTAGAGGGTCTCCCAGGCCTTGGTTTTCCTGGTTGAAGAGCTCCAGTTTTCCTTCCTCTCACCCCTCCTGACTCTGGGTCTCCCTTGGGTCAGACACTGCTGGGGCCGGTTGTACGCTACCCCTCACCCTACTCTGAGTCTCAGTGGGGTAGTCACTCTTTGGGTTCATCCCAGGACAACTGTGTCATCATTTTGGCAACGTCTAGGCTGAACCCCCTTCCTGTCTTTCTTGCCTGTCTGTCTGTCTGTCTGTAACTGGTGTGTGCTGTCTTGGCCTTTCAGAACCTCTCTGTCTCTCGTCTCTCTTATTGCCCATCCCTTGTGGTGTTCTCTGCCTTGACTCTCCCCATCTCTGTCACTTATCTTATTTTCCTCTGCCTGCCTCCATGTACCTCCACCCAGGCCTCGTGGTGTCCCCTGGGCTTTCCTGCTTGCTCCGGAGCCCCCATCTCCCCATTCTGGTTATTCTTCCCCTCCCCACCAGACCCGCAGTGTCCAGTTGGGCAGTGAAAGTTCTCCTCCACTTTTCTCTAAGTTCCAATTTCTTCTTCTCCCCCACTACTTTTGGGAATGGGTTTTGGAGAGAATGTTTCTGGAAAAAAGGAACTTGATACCTTTTGTGGGTTAAGAGGGAGAAAGGAGATATTTCAGATGGAAGGAGGGAGGTTAGACTTCTGGCAGAACTTCCTCCTGACTAGGAGCCTGAGAACTGGAGAAGGATGCAGGGAGTGGGGCAAGGGCTTAGAGCTTGTACTTCTGGTGAGCATAGGCCATGTGCGTAGGGTGGGGGGGGAGTAGGTGGGGAGGGCTGATAAAGGTCTGGTGACCTCTGGAGGCATTCTGGGGGTCTGGATTTTATTTCTGGGGAAAGGAAAAGATGTTGGGGAGGTCACAGGTCAGGCTAATGTCCCACTGAGTCAATATTGACTCAGAGTAGAAGGGGAGACCCTTCCCCTCCCCTAGTGATCCAAGCCACCCCGTCTGTCCATCTGTCCAGGCCGCAAAGCAGAGGCCCAGACTCAGGAATGACAAAAATGTGTCTGAGCCTCACTGAGCTGCAGGAAGGAGCCACCGGGTAACACCCAAAATACATAAAATTCAGTGGAAAGCTCTCGGTTTGGGTCTGGGAGGCCTTTGCTGCCCCACCCCCATATGTTTGAAAGTTCAGATTCTTGTAGGCTCTGCCCCCTACTCCCTGGGCTTCCCCCCTTCCCTTAGATATATCATGCGGCTCCTTTTAGAAAACATGCCCCCACCTATCTCAGAGGGGGAGCCTGTCTCTCCCTCCGAGTGTCCACTCTTGAAAAGGGCCCCAAGGGTCTCTTTCATGCTTTTCCTGCCTCCAAGCCCCCTTGTCCTTTAGGAAGCACCGTCTGCGTCTCAGCGCTCTTCTCCCTCACTTCCTCGGGGATATTGAAGGATGGGTCCCCCTCCTCTAGAGAAGATTCTTTCAGGGCCCGGACTTTCCTGTGCCCTCTCTTCTCTGGCCAGACATTCTCACCCTCCTCCCCCACACCACCCCCAAGGTCCCAGAATGGGAAAGAGGATGACAGCCAAGACTCAGGCAAGGCAGTGGGGTCTGTGTTGTGTCTGGACACACACCCAACCCTACACCTCCTGCCCTGGCTCCAGCTTGGTGGCCCTGGGGGCCAGGGCTGGGCTGGACGCCTGGGTTTGGGGGGTGTGGGCAGGGTGTTGGCCAAGTTAGCATGGCGGTCACATTCATCTTCAGGCAAAGCTGAGAACAGACGGCCCCTGTGTCCTGGTGTTCTTCCTGCAACCTCACTCCCTCTCCTCCCGCTCTAGTTCTCTCCTCCTCCTTCTCCCTCCTATCACACCCCTCTCCGTCCCATTCTTGTCCCTCTCCATGTCCCCCAAGCCCTCCCCTCCGCTCTGAGAGCTCTGGAGGCCACCCCTTCCTTACAATCCCTCTCCCCACTGCCAATGACAGAGAAGGAAAGAGTCCTCCCTGTGTTTTCCCTTCTTAATCTGGCTCTACCTGCTGCATTAGTAACTGCTCGGTGCCTCAGTTCCCTCACCCGTAAGATGGGGACTGCAACGGAACCCACCTCACAGGGTTGTGAGCCTCTGAGTTAACATGTACAGCATTTCAGATCAGTGGCTGCGCTCAGTGACCATGGTAAAAAGTGTTGGTTCACAGCATTAGGGAGCCCCAGCTCTCACGAGGGGTGGGAGGCAGGGGACGCTATTAGTTGCTTCTGAACTTAGGGCAGAGTTGTTCCCTCGTCTAAACTGCAGGCCACAAAAGAGGGTTTTCTGGTGCTGGATGCAGATACAGAAGGCTCAGCTGAGGAGAGCGGGGTTGGCTTTGCCTCTAAGCAGATTATAAGTTTCCTACCCTGCCCCCAGCTCAGAGTGAGGCTTCCATGGACTATGTAGACTGCCCCAAAGTAGGTTATTTGTTTCTTTCTTCCCCTCTCCCCTTGAAGGAAATCAAAGACAGGCCTCAGCCTTCTCACTCGAGATTCCAGGGCTTTTCCACCATCCTGACAGGAAGGAAGTTCTTTCTCATATCTCTCCGCAATCCTTGTGCTGCCTGGCCCGCGGGAGATGTGCCCCTCTGAGTCCCGTGCTCTGGGCCTAAGGAGATGCTGCTGGGGGACAGGGGCCCGCACCCTCCTGGTCCTTCCACTCGCCCCCATCCCCCACTCCCCTCCCTCTGCAAGAGCACATCTGGTTTGTGAATCTCTCTCATTCCAGCTTTCGGAGTTTGCCAGCTGCTGTTTCCTCTGTCGAGTTCAGGCCAAAAATGGGGGTGGGGGACAGCGGGGGGACTAAAACACTAGTTTTAGAGGGCCAAAGGAGGGAGACTGTAGCTGGAACGTGGAATGGAGGGGAGGTTAGAGTGACCAGCCGGTGACCTCAGGCCCTGACTGTGCGCTCTGCTCCAGGGAGGAGCAGGGGCACGGACCGCAGCCCAGGTGGGGAACGGAGGAAGTGGGTGGCATGGGGGTCTGTTTCTGGGTTCCAAACATGCCATCTGCCTCTGAGTCCCAATCCACCCCCCCTATACCCCCCTCAGCTGGCCTCGGCTGGCCAGGGGAAGCGGACATTCCCCGGCATGCTAACTAGGCTGGCGGGCTGTGTTTCCCGGGAAGACCTCACAGCTGGCCCAGTGGGGCAATGAACTCAGCATTATCCACCTCCTCAAGGGGCCTTTATTCCCGGCTCAGGGTGGAAGGGAGGGGAGGGGGGCTGGGGGGCCTGGCTAGGCCATCCTTGATGTGTTTCCTGAACTCGGTCATTTTGGCCAGGGGCCTGAGTGCAGTCCCCTCTGCCAGAGATGGGGTTTAAGGAGGGAGGACATCTCCATGGGCCCCGTTGGATCCCCTGCCCACCCAGAGCCTGACACCTTTTCCTTATTCCCTATCTCTACCCTGCGCTCGAGTTGGTTGTGCACACTGTCTTCTCAGGGGACTGTGGCTCCTGAGGGGCGAAGGGGCCATCTCACCCTTCCTTGGCACCCAGTGCCTAGTGCAGCGCCTGGCACAGAGCTGGCCTTCAGTGTGTGCCAGCAGAATAGAAATGGAGTTGACACAGCCCGAGGAAAAGGCGACGAAGGGCCGGGAGACTGGGAACCCAGCCCTGGGTGGGGGTGCTGGGGGCGGGCGTCTTTCCTTCTCATGGAGGACGTGACGACGGGTTGGAGAATAGCCCCGAGTCCCTCTGGGGGGAATGGGAGGACTGGTGTGGGCTGCACTGGTTCGGAGCCTGCAGTCAGCTGAGCCTGTTGAGTCTTGGTTTTGCTTGTCAGCTGTGGGACCCCGGACAAGTCACTTGGCCCCGTTTCCCCATCTGTGAAATGGTGGTGTTAGTCGTCCCTACTTTGTCATACCGCGGAGAGGACTAACTAAGACAATACTTGGAAAGAACTGGTTTACCACAGTTCCCGGCGCATACTCAGCCCATAGTAAGAGTTAGCTGTTAGCATTCTTATTTCCTCCTTGGGGAATGAGGTCAGAGGATGGGAGAGAGGCAGAGAGGTCCTGGATATGGTAACTCCATAGGCTGGCTGGGCCGAAACCAGCTCCTGGAGGTCATCCCAGCCACCCCCCTGCCTCTGCTCCCTGAGTCTCTTTTCCTGAGCAGTGTTTAGGTGGCTCTTACCTCCCAGGATGTGTACTGCAAATCCCCGTGCCCCAGGCCTAAGCAGCAGGACAGGCTGTGTCTTTAGAGAATGGAGGTGGAAGCAGGGCTCTCTGCCCTGCCCACTCCTGCTTGGCCGCCTGGCCTTGCCCTCGTGTACCTTTACCGAGGTGCGAGGCTGTGTGTGCGGTGGGGGTGCCCCCATGGTTCCTGCTTCGTGGGGGCCTGGTGGTTAGGGGTTGGGGATAGATAGGGTGATAGGTCAAGGGACCAGGAGGGTTCCAGAAGGCAGGGAAGCAGAGAGGTCAGAAAAGACTGGCCATGGGCTTCTAGTGGGAGTGAGAGGAAGATAAAGAGGAAACATGTCAAAGGCCTGACTCCCCCCTCACCATCACTGTAAGTGGTCAAAGCCAGGGGATGTGTGTCTGATCAGAGTAGCCAAGAACAGCAAGGGCTTTGACCCTGGCTCCTAGGGACAGGCAGCCTAGGGGGCTTGGGTGGGAGGCAGTAAAATGTGCTCCTGGATCTCCCTTCCCACCACTAGATACACAATGTCTAGGAGAAACCCAAAGCCACCCGCCGGCTCAGAGTCTGGGCCAGCTGGGGACTGGTGCTGGGGAAGGAGGATGAGTCCTGGGGTGTTTTAGGTCCACAGAGTTGGTCTCCACCCTTCACTTACACCCCCCTTTTCTTCCCTTGCTCCTAGTCCCTAAGACTTGCAGCCCCAAGCAGTTTGCCTGCAGAGACCAAATCACCTGCATCTCGAAGGGCTGGCGGTGTGATGGTGAGCGGGACTGCCCCGACGGCTCTGATGAGGCCCCCGAGATTTGTGAGTATCTTTCCTGGATCCCGGTCCCCAGATCCTTGACTTAGCCCTCTTCGTTTGGCAGGCATTTGGGAGGAAGACAGGTGATCTCTAGCCTCGTGTGGACCTTGCTCTGTGATTTTATTTGTCCATGACACAGCTCAAACTGTCCTTTCCCCTCTTCAAAGTGCTCGGCGTGGTGTCTGGTGTGCTTAGCAATGGTACCTCGGATTCTCCCTCAGCCACTAACCCGCTAGCCTGTCAGAAATGGTGCTCTCTGGGCTAACAACTTTGCAAGAAGATGGCACAGCCTTTCTTCCCTTCTAGCTCTTCCCTCTTCGTCCCATCTCTGAGCTTCCCTGAACATTGACGAGAGGCCCCCAGGTCTTGCCGAGTCACCCTCCGAGTCACCTTCCGTCTCTAGGCTGCCAGGCCAAAGGCCACCGGCTCTTGCTCAGCCCCTGTCCCAGAAGCCCCACCCCTGTGCGTTTCCCGCCACCCCCGCCTTCCCCTGCCCCCAATAAGTGGTGTAATCAGAGGCAGCTGTTTAAACTGGGAAAAAGGTCCCGCCTAGCCTTCACCCTGCCAAGGGGGGGGGGTGCTGGTAGAGGACTTGCTGGCGGGACCCCAGAGTCCTGGGCAGCTGGCAGAGTCCTGGAGTCTCCACCTTCAGCCTCTGCCCTGCTTGGCTAATCTGGGCCAGGGTCTAGGTGACCCTGAATTTCTAGGTCTGTCTCTGTTCTCTCCCCTGGGCTGTATCCTACTAAAGTCCCATCCGTGTCCTCTCCTCATCCTCCCACCCATAATTATCAGGAGTAATTTTAGGGCTGGAAAGAGAGCCACTACTCTCTTTGCTTCACCCCGACTCCCTGCCCTGGAGGCACAGGGGCCGGGGATACTCAGCGAGAGTATCTGTGGTGCGGGTGGTTCAGCCTGGAGTCTCTTCTCACGCCACCTTCACCTGCCACGTTTCTGACCTTGATGCTTGGGTGTTAGGAGTAAAGAAAGCCATGCAGAAAGGCCAGATCTGGCTCTTTTTGTTCATTCTTCCATTAATAAACCTCACCTTATACACATCCCCACGCTGTTCCCACTCGTACACAGTGCTGGGCCCATAGTAGTCACACACAGCCCCTGGGCACTGATGCACCCACCTCCACCCAGATAAGGGCACAGACATGTTCTCACAGCAATGCAGAGTCAACACGCTCAGACATGGATGCAGAAACACAACCTACACTCAGACAGATGCCCCCAGACACACACACTGACATAGAAACAGGCACACGCACATGCACATGCACACACACAAACCACCCGGACTCACTCCCAAAAGGACATGGAAACTCATGCTGAGGACAGAAGCACCGGCACACATGGAGACACGCAAATACACCCTCACTGCATGCCATTAGAGACACCTGCTCCCTCACTGTGCGTGTGGACTCCTGCTTGGGCACACACGGATGAGTGCTCCAGCGTGTGGACACGCTCGCTCACACATACTGTCCAGCCTTAAGGCCAACAGGCAGTGGCCTGTCTGTCTTATCCATCCTCTTGGGCAACAGAGGAAGTACAGTAGTTGGCCACAACCTTTGACCCTTCCCAAATCCTTCCATCAGGCTAGTTGCTCTGAGGTTGGAAGTCTAGAATAGTGCTGTCCAGTAGAAGTATACTGCAAGCCACATATGCAACTTTGAAACTTTATAGTAGCCACATTTCAAAAGGTGAAAAGAAACAGGGGAAACTAATTTAAATATTTTATCCAATATATCCAAAATACTATCATTTTAGTAGAGTATATTATTCACATAAAATTATTAGAGATATTTTACATATTTTTTGGCATTAAGTCTTCAACCCAGTGTGTATTTTATACTTAACAGTTTAGCCACATTTCAAGTGCCCAACAGCCACATGTGGAGGGTGCTATGTGTTGCACAGTGCATTTCTGGAAGATTTGAAACTGCTCTTGGCCCCAGGCTCTGTGACCTGGGGAGCTGTGGGAAGGAGATGTCCTTTGTCATTTGAGCTTCTCTGCCTTGGACTCTCCTTCCCTCAGCTCCTCAAAACCTTTCGCCTCTGACCGCAGTCAGTGTCCTGAGCACAGAACGTTGAGACAGTGGTGTCCATAGGCGTGGGCCATTCAGGGTATGGACTTTTTACTGAAGGCCTAGTTTCCACCTCCACCTAGTTGCTTCCAGATGTGTGGCTACTGTTGGGAAGGGTGTAGACGAGCTCTAGGTGGAAGAGTCTACCCAGCCTCTGAGGCTTCCCAAGATTTAAAAAACACAGGTGTCTGAAACCCTTCCAAGTTTACCCCCATCCCCAACTCCCAGTGAACAGCTGGCCAGACAGCCCCGGAGCCAGCTAGGTCATGCCGCCCTTCTGTCTACCCCCAGGTCCACAGAGTAAGGCCCAGCGATGCCAGCCGAATGAGCACAACTGCCTGGGCACCGAGCTGTGTGTTCCCATGTCCCGCCTCTGCAACGGGGTCCAGGACTGCATGGATGGCTCAGATGAGGGTCCCCACTGCCGAGGTAAGGACTCTTCTGTGCTCTCTGGTCCCAGGCGCATGCCGTGTGCTCTCAGTGGGCACCTGGTGGAATTGGAGGCCTGCCATCCCAGGACTGGCCTTACACCTTCAGTGGGGATGAGGCCTGTCCTGGTCCCCTGCCTATTTTTCCATCAGACAGTAGAGGAAACTGGTGGGCCCCTTGGGCTTGAAGGCTGGCCAGACTGCCCTAGCCCAGGCACTTCCCTCTGGCTGTGTGTGCTTGGAGAAGTCGCTACCTCTCTCCAGGCCCCAGTTTCTCATCTGTAAAATGAGAGATCAGTGTTTCTGTTTTTTTGTTTTTTGTTTTTTTTTTTGAGACAGAGTCTCACTTTGTTGCCCAGGCTAGAGCGAGTGCCGTGGCGTCAGTCTAGCTCACAGCAACCTCAAACTGTTGGGCTCAGGCAACCTCCTGCCTCAGCCTCCCAAGTAGCTGGGACTACAGGCATGCGCCACCACGCCCGGCTAATTTTTTCTATATATGTATTAGTTGGCCAATTAATTTCTTTCTATTTATAGTAGAGACGGGGTCTTGCTCTTGCTCAGGCTGGTTTCGAACTCCTGACTTCGAGCAATCTGCCCGCCTCGGCCTCCCAGAGTGCTAGGATTACAGGCGTGACCCACCGCGCCTGGCCAGTGTTTCTGTTTTTTAATAGTGTGGTCCTTTCTTCGAAAGGTTTCCTATGTGAAACCCGAGTGAGAACACAGAGAGGAGCAGAGATGCGGTGATTAAAGCTGGACTTAGGGATCTAGAGTTTAGTGCGCCTGCCACCCCCCCGACCCGGTGCCCTGGAAGGCACCCCCAGGAGCTGCAGATCTCTGAGGGACCCTGAAGCTGCTTTGGGCTCTCCTTCTCTGATGTTCTGTACAATCCAAGGAGGTTGATGGGAAAGCCATACAGGCTGAGGAGGGAACATAAGCATAAGTCAGATTCTTCCCATCTGTGGCTCAGGTCATCAGCTCTGCAGTCTTTCCCCTGAAGGTCCTTGCGGGCTGCAGAGAGTCTGGGCCACTGAGCAACTGGGGAGGAGTTTATGATGTGGGGGGTGACAGCCTCAGGCCTGCATGTCAGGGAGTAGTGACTTCCCGCCCTCTGCTGTCCTCGGGTCCTGGGCCTGGAGCACGAGGCTGGCTGTGAGGGGCCCTGAGCAAGGCCCTGGAGGATGGACCGACTTGGTGGGGTTGGGATGTGTCCTGTGCCACATGCATGTCAGAAAACATCTGCCTGTAGGAGGAGACATGTCTGGATCCTGTTCACTTGGGGCAGGGAGTATGGAGCAAGGGAGTTTGTGGAAGGTTTTTCTCCTTTGCTTTGGCTGATTTTGCATGTTTTTGCCTGAAGCTCCTGGGATGGAGGCTTGGGGACTGACTTCAATTACCAATCGCCCTCCTTCTTATGAGATGGTACATGTCCAAGTTTACTTCCTTTTGAACACCTTTTCAGTTTCCTAAACAACACAGAACCTCAAAACCTAGGACTTGAACTTCCATCTGTGATATTACAGAAGTGGGGCCTCCTCATCCCCCACACTGTATCCAGAAGAGAAGCTCTTTTCTAGGTTTTCCAGAGCAAACGATGTTGTCCCCCTTTATGGGGGAAGGCTGGACAGGCAGCACAGATGGGCTCCCGGGTGGAAGTGGGGAGGAGAAAGAATAGCTAGGGCCTGGCCCCCCATCCCAGCTCTTCCTGGCAGGCTTAGCGCCTCTAAACGTCTTAGCATCTCGGTGGCTCTCTCCTAAGGGGGGGGGTAGGGGGAGCGGGGGTGCGAGGCAGCTGGACAAAGGGGTCTTTGTGGCCAGGCCGCCTGGCCCCACGCAAGGCCATTAACTGGGTCGCTGGTCTGGGGGGGCAACTGCTCTCCCACCTCTCCCCCCTCCTGTCCCATTCCCTTCTGTCTCCCCTGTGGAAGTGGGTCAGTGGCAGGAGAAAGATTAGAAAAGGGTCCTGAGGGAAACAGTTTTGCTCCTCCTCCCTGTCCTCCACCTGGACCTTGGGCCTGCTGTCCTCACCCTCTAAGGCTCCAGGGACGGGTTGGAGGGGTGCTTCCAGGCCAGGGCTGGGATCCTGCCGAGACAGACTCGATTCCATGCCCACTCTTACCCCTCAGCCGAAGCCAACATTGTAATCCACAGGCAGTGCAAACCAGAGGCATATGAAAGGATAAGACTCACTGTCCCCGCTTCCTGTTGACCGTGACAAAGTACCAGAACCCCTCCCCATGGGGACAGAGGTGGTCTAGAGCAGCCAGAGCAGGGAGACATGAGTTCTAAGCCATAATTGGCTATGTGTCCTTGGGCTTGTCTTACATCCTCTCTGGGCCTGAGTTTCTTCTCTTACAAAATATAAGATTTTATATTTATATGAAGATGGAAGGGTGCTTCCTAAGGCCCCTTCCATTGGTTTTTTTTGTTTTTGTTTTTGAGACAGAGTCTCACTTTGTTGCCCAGGCTAGAGTGAGTGCCGTGGCATTAGCCTCGCTCACAGCAACCTCAGTCTCCTGGGCTCAAGCAATCCTACTACCTCAGCCTCCCCGAGTAGCTGGGATTACAGGCATGCACCACCATGCTGGCTAATCTTTTTTTTTTTTTTTTTGAGACAGTCTCACTTTGTTGCCCAGGCTAGAGTGAGTGCTGTGGCATCAGCCTAGCTCACAGCAACCTCAAACTCCTGGGCTCAAGCAATCCTCCTGCGTCAGCCTCCCAAGTAGCTGGGACTACAGGCATGCGCCACCATACCCGGTTAATTTTTTCTATATGTATATATTAGTTGGCCAATTAATTTCTATTTCTAGTAGAGACAGGGTCTCGCTCTTGCTCAGGCTGGTTTTGAACTCCTGACCTTGAGCAATCCACCCACCTCGGCCTCCCAGAGTGCTAGGATTACAGGCATGAGCCACCATGCCCAGCCCCCCTCTATTGTTGACCCTGCAGCCCTTAGAAGTGGTTTCTGAAGGTTGCCTGGAATTGGGAGAAAGTGGTCTGCCAGGTCTGAATGTGTGTCTCTCCTGCCCCCGCACAGAGCTCCGAAGCAACTGCTCTCGACTGGGCTGCCAGCACCATTGTGTCCCCACACTCGACGGGCCCACCTGCTACTGCAACAACAGCTTTCAGCTGCAGGCAGATGGCAAGACCTGCAAAGGTGCGTGAGTGCATGCGCTTATGTGCATAGGTGTGTGTGCTGGGGGCCAGGTAGGGTGGGCAGGGGCAGGGGGCCTGGCTAGGGTAGGAGAAAGAAGGAAGGTGCAAGAGAGGGAGGGCTACCACTCCAGGGTCTGAATGTGCACCCTAACCATTTGCTTCCACCAGACTTTTTAAGATTCATCTTAAAATTATAGGTCATCTATGAATTTTCTTATAAAAAATTAAAGCATTACAGGTAAAACCAAAGTCCCTTTTGGCAAATCCCCCTCAATTCTGGTTCCTGTCACTTCTCTCTAGAGGTCAGCTCTATTATCAGTTTGCTATCTCTCTTTCCAGGCCCTTCTTTTGTGCATTTGTGTACGTGTACTCATGGAAAAATCTAATCGGAAGTATTGCTTATGTGTGCGTGCTCTTTTTTGCATAAATGATATCGCACAGACTGCCTCATTGTCAGCAGTTTTCACTCATCAGTGTGTTCCAGAGACCTTTTTCTGTGTTAATATGTAGAGATCTACATCATTCTTTTAAAAACCACTGTGATGTGAGACTATTACCACAGTTTACTTGGCCATCTCTCTATTGATGAGTAAGATGTTCCCAATTTTTCACTGCTACAAGCAATGCAAACTTTCCTGTTTTAAATTTGCCTCCCTTGGGTCTTTGCACAAATGCCATCTTCTTGGTGAAGCCATCCCTGACCCCTCTAAAATCACACCCCACCCCACCAGCAATCTCCATCCCTTTTCTTTCCTTTGCACAGGCACCTCTAACATACACTTTACCTTTTTGTCTCATTTATTATTATAATTACAAATATTTCATTTTTATCAGAATATTTCAAGTTTCATGAGGACGGCAATGGGGGTCTAGTTTAAAATTCACTTGTATTTCCCCAGCACCTGGCACATAGTAGGTACTCAGGACATCTTTCTGAATGAACGAGTAACATGTACATGTGTCTTTCTCTAGAGTAGATTCCAAGACTGGACTTCCTGGGTGATAAACTTTGCACATTTCATGCTGTAATAGATTCTGCCAAACAGTCCTTCAAAGTAGTTATAAGGATGGACACACTGGTGGTATCTGAAGGACACCTGCTTCCCTGCCCTTGTCACCCTGGAAATTGCCACACTCTTGCCCTTTTCTTGGCAGACTTTGACGAGTGCTCAGTGTACGGCACCTGCAGCCAGCTATGCACCAACACAGACGGCTCCTTCACGTGCGGCTGCGTCGAAGGATACCTGCTGCAGCCAGACAACCGCTCCTGCAAGGCCAAGAACGGTGGGTGGGGTCGCCTGTGGCCACAGTGTGAGGTGCCCTCAGCGCTGTTCCCTGCTGGGTGGTGGCCTGAGAGGTCCAAGAGCCCTAGCTGCGCTGACTCTTCTCTCTCCATCCCCAGAGCCAGTAGACCGGTTCCCTGTGCTGTTGATTGCCAACTCCCAGAACATCCTGGCTACGTACCTGAGTGGGGCCCAGGTGTCTACCATCACACCTACTAGCACGCGGCAGACCACAGCCATGGACTTTAGCTACGCCAACGAGACCGTGTGCTGGGTGCACGTTGGGGACAGTGCTGCCCAGACGCAGCTCAAGTGTGCCCGCATTCCTGGCCTAAAGGGCTTCGTGGATGAGCACACCATCAACATCTCCCTCAGTCTGCACCGTGAGTCATCTGCTCCCCGCTCGGAGGGCAGGGGAGGGCAGGGGAGATGGGCCAGAGGGACCTTGCTTGGAACAGGGGCAGGGAGTTAGCCAGGATGACCCTTGTCTGGGGCAGGAGACTAGTCAAGGTGCCCCGACTAAGGCCAAGGTAGGGACCTAGACGTGACAACGCCTGTTTGGGGCCAGGGCAGAGCTTCCTCCCCTCTCTCTGAGCACATCTCTGGATGGCTCCTGCATTTCTGGCCCAGGGACAAAGGGGCAACGAATGATCAATCCCCAGAGACCAGGGACTGTCCCTCCTCTGAGAGAGCAGCGTTGATTAGACCACAGGGGACTTTCCCACACAGTGGGAGTCAGGACCCGGGAAAGGAGTTGGAACCTGAGGAGCCCCGTTAAGCTGTGGCTGAGGGCGAAGGAGCTGGGTCTGTCCCCAGGTTCCATTGTTTCCCTCGGGGGGCATTGCCAGCGTGGACTCCCCACTGCAGGGTGGGTGGGGGATCCCGTGGCTATTTCTGTGCGGCTTTGTGGCAGTGATTGAGACTATGGGAGGAGCATGAGTCACATGAGCATTTTAGGATATCCTGGATGTTCCCATGTGGGCTCCCTCCCTAGGCTGTACTTTCCTGGAGGTGGAAGAAGGGGTGTCACAGGATGGGGCATGAGCATGGCTGGGTGTAGATCCACTGCCTGGAACAGTCCTGCTCAGCTCAGATGTGGTTCCACAAACAAACAAAAACCACAGCAGCTTTAAAGTCTGGCATCATCACATTTCCACGAAATGCACCACAGGGCTTAGGAGAAGAATCTGGCCTGTAGTTGATCTGACCCCCTGGGGGAGAAGAACCTGATCCGTGACCTTGCATAAACCAGAATTGTGACCTTGCATAAACCAGAATTGCCCGTCTCTGCCTTGGCTTCCTAATCTGCATAATGGGTTTGAACTTGTAAAGGGCAGCATGCATTTGAGGTTTCAGATTGCAAACCTTGGGCCCCTCTAGAAGATTTTCAAATTGCTTTCTTCAGTCCCTGTGATCCCCACAGAAAACGGATCCCAGGAGGTTACATTCTGGGAAAGGGAAAGTGGTCCTCGGGAATGGTGGGGAGCAGGGCTTGCCCTGAGAGCCCTCACTCTCTGCAGCCTCATCATATGGGCCACATCTCTGCCTCTGGCTCTTCCAGAGCATGCCCGATGGTGTCTCAGGCTCACCTGTGATCAGATGTGTTCCTCCTTGGGGTGCTGGGCTGGAGGCTGCCAGGCCTGGTTGGCTGAGCTATTGAGGAGTGGGGCTGCTCAGGGAACCCCAGGGCCAGCAGGGTGGGATTGAGGCAAGATCCTATGATACAGCCACCCTCCCCCATTCCTGGTCCTCTGCCCTACCCGACAGGCCTGTCTGGGCAAACAGCTCCAGCCCTGCCTCAGGGCTAGACAGTGGGCTTGTAGGTAGGTGGCTATAGGGTACCCTGGTGGGAACCTTCTCAGCTTCTGCTCTGGCCTGGTCCCCTTATCTGACTTCCTCCCCAGGAGCAGGAAATAACCGAAGGCAGGTACCCCTCCCTTGGCAAATAGTCTTGCCTCCCAGTCTGCTCCACTCTTTGGGCCCCTTTGGGGCAGAGTCCAAGAGGCTGGAAGAGTCCAAGGTTCTGGGGGGAAATGCTTGTGGGGTAAATGAGTAGGTTCCTCTTGCCCTAGCTTCTGTCCCTTCCTCTCTTCCCTCCCCCACCCCACACCCCTGCCGCCTGAATGTCTGGCTGTCACCCTGAGGACGGTTGTTTTGCTCTCATCCCACAAACTAATTATGGGCCCTGAGCTGAGGATGTCTAAAGTGTCTTTCTGCTAGTACCCTCCCCCATCCCCAGGTCATTCCTCTCCCCAGGAGAGGCTGGCTGGCCTGCTGTGGAGTGCGGGGTGGCCAGTCCCAGGCACTCACCTGGCAGTGCCTGCTGGCCTGTAATTAGCTCCCCAAGGAGGATGAAGAAGAAAGGATGCTGCTTTCTCCTGCTTTCTCTCTGCCCCTGGGGCAGGCCTCCCTGCAATCATCCCATTCTTTGCTGTGACTGTGACCTCTGTTGGACCCCGGGTGCTCAGCCCCATGCAGGAGGGGCGGACACAGAGGGAGGAGTCTGACAATTGAGAGGTATGGGGAGAACGGGGAGCCTGCCCCAGAGAAAACTCTGGAAACAGAAATAGAATAGAAAGAAGGAAGGAGGCCAGGAAGTGAGCCTGGTTCACATGGTTCCTGGGACATGTGAGCCAGACCTGCTCTGAGTCCTAAGAGCCCCAGAGGCCTCCAAAGCCACGCGGGGTGTGTGCCTGCACTGCTGACCCTTGCTGCCCTGGCCCCAGTGTCTTCCCTCAGCCTGGGTTGGGGTGGGTCCTCTCTGCCCTGTCCACCTGGGATGGCACCTGGAGCCCATCCTCTCCTCTGCCGCCAGCCCACCCGGGGGACTGGGAGGCTCCCATTCTGTGACTGGAACCTGGGTTGTGAGAGCCGGAAGAGAAGGGAAGACCTTTAGCAGGCACCGAGAGCAGCCCCCAGGCTTTCAGTACTGCCTTTCCCACAGCGGTGATGCCTTGATTTTTAGGTGTTACATGGGCACACTTTTTTTTTTGTTGTTATAATTATGTTTTTATTTGATACTCATTAGGAAACTCCTACAGCTAGCATATCAAATCTATGATTTCATAAATTGTTTAGAATACAGAAAAGAAAAGAAAATTGATTTAAAGAACTAGTAAGAAAATAATAGCACCAGCTATACATAAACATAGCAAGCATTTTGAAAGTGATACACAACAGATGAAAGTTCTGGAAACTGAGGCTTAGAGGTGTCAACAGGACTGGTAGTCCCAGAACCAGAACCAGGACCTGGCCTGCCCACCCTACCCGATCTGTGACCACCCTCTCAGGGAACTCCAGCCCCATCCTGCCCCTACAGGGCTGCCCCTGGGCAGGGCTAGTGGTCGAGCCCAGCAACCCCAGCCCAGCCCAGCCCAGCTCTGCGCCTCCCTAGCCAAGTGCCTCTGACCTGTATTCCCCTCAGCTCTGAGGATGTTTCCGCTGCAGAAAGAATGAGGCAGACTGCAGGAGGGGCCCCGGGAAGGTGTGTGTGATGGTAAGGGGAGGTTCTGAGGTTGCAGATAGAGGCCTTAGAGGAAATAAGGTTTGCTAAAGTCACTTAGCAATATTGGACTCTGCATGAAAGGATGGTCTAGAGGGGCCCTGGGAGGTCCCAGTGTTTCTTCTCCCTGCACCACGCTGCATGGGGAAGGAGGAGGTGGGTGGGGAGGTCCAGAAAAGCCCCCTAGGCTGCAGGCGGCAAGGTTGCGAAACGGGTCCCCAAGTCCAGCTGGCTAACTTCACTTTCCCTCCCTCTTTCTTGTGTGTGTGTGTGTGTGTGTGCTTAAAATCACCACCGGAAATGGGTAGTGATTTGTCTAGAGGGGAGGCAAGGAGGGCAGACCGCAGCCCCTCTTAGTCTGTGATGAAGTGGCTCCCACTGCTGGAAGGGGAGCAGTCTCCCCACTGCACTGGGTGCCCCCAGGCCCTCTCGGCCTCCCACCCATGCCCACAGAACACTTCCAGACTTTACATGTGAAAGCCACCCACCCCCTTCCTTGGCCTGTGACCCACAGGGTGTCAGATTATCTGGCCTTGGGCCCCTGCATCCTGGCACTTCTACTTCCCATTCCTGCTCTGAGTTTCCCAATCGTTTACCAGCCCTTCGTGCTCCTCCTCTCTCCCAGCCGTGGCCAGCCTGGCCAGCCTGCGTCTCCCGGCCCAGATCCAGCCCTGTCCTCTCCTCCCCCGCTGTCTCCTTGAAGTTGCCTCTCCACCCAGCCTGCTCCCAGCACTCCCCTCCCTGTTTTCAAGCAGAGGAAGTAACTTAAGCAAGAGAGATGTGTTTCAGAGCCCAGCAAGGATTTCTCAATAGTGGGAAGACCCTGAGATGGGCTGAGCAGAATCCAGGCAGCTCATCCCTGGGATCCAGGATGAAATGCCTCTCTAGGACCGGAACCAGGCAGGGGAAGGGAGCAGGGCACAACGGCTGGAACTGCAAGCAGGGGCAGGAAGGGAGCCCAGGGGAAGAGGCAACATGATGTGGCTAAGCCCTGGACTCGCTAGGGGAAGGAGGAACAGCTGAAGTCAGGACCTGGCAGGAAACAAGGGGCATGAGGCCATGTCACTCAGCAGTGTTGCTGCCAGGCCTGCAGTCTCCTTCCTACCTTCCAAGTCCCCCAACTCTTAATCATCCCTCCCCTTGGGTGAGATCCCTGAGTAGGAACACCAGTAGGACTGTCCCGAGGCCAGAGAAGGAGGATCACGGCAGTAGATGGGAAGGGAAAAATGATGTCTCAGCTCGAGGACTAAAGAGTGAGGACTCGATAGTCAATAAATATTTGCTAAATGGATCAATACCTGTGTGTCAGGCACTGGGGACAGTGATGAAAGGCAGCGCCCTGACCTCACAATATTTGTAGCCAAGTGAACAGGCCATGACAAAAGAAGCCCCAGAGGCTTGTGGAGCCTGTGACAGGGACAGCGTCCTTCTGGGAGCCGGGGCCAGTCTTAAAGATCAGTGGGTGTCAGCCCACACTGCCCGCCCGGGGCTGCCTGAGGTCGAGAGGCCACAGCTCTGGCTGGAGGAGCAGATGGCAACTTGGTGGAGAAGGCGGGAAGGGATGGGGTTGGGCGAGAGAGTACGGTGGCACACATAGCAGCTCCTATGTGTGGAGCATTTAGGATGCGGCAGGCCCTGTGCTAGGTGCTGTTAGTGCACCCCCCAATTTTACAGACAAGGAGACGGACACTCAGAGACATGAAGTAACTTGCTGGTACTCCCACAGTTGGAAGGTGACAGGACCAGAGTTCAAACCCAGGCTGTCCATGCCTAGAGCCCAGCTGGGTCCAGGGCAGAGCGGAGTAACAGGAGGAGAGGTGGGAAGGTCCCTGGAATAAGGGCCAGAATCCAGTGTGTTCCCTGAGGATGTGGTTGAGGGGAAAATGGGATCCTTCTTCCCTATGCAGGGACCTCGAGCCGTATCCGACAGTCTTTGGGTGTGTAGATGTGTTGGGGGACATTTTCTCAGGGCATACTGGCCCCCTTCCTTCCCTAGATTTTCTGTATTTTAGAGAAAGTGACTCGAATCCTGCAGCTGAAGTGAGGGTCTTCTTGGACATGGGGTGGGAGCCCATGTTCTGGGGAGAGCAGCCACTGTTTAGGGGAGCACCTCTCGAGCAGCGTGAGCGATGGAGAAGTTGAGAGCAGAGAGCCGCCGGGGCTGCAGGGAGCAGGGAGGACGCACTCAGCACTGACACACGCACATCCCAGGTCTATTCTGGGGTGTGGAACTGAAAGTCCTTTGTGACATCCCAGGTGGCTGTGGTTTCTCCTCTGACTCCTGCGTCCTCCACTTGGCTTCCTCACCTCCCTCTTTATGCTGGAGTCCCCAGCTCCCCTGCCCCGCTGACCCACCCTAAACTTCTCCCACAGCATCCTCCTTCCTGTGGGGTTGAGATTCACCTGTCCTCAGGATTTGGGGCCTGTGGTCAGAGCCCCCTTCTAGGTGCTCTAGGATGGGTCAGCCTGAGCAGGCTGGGCCACATAAGGGACAGCTGTCCTCTGGGTTTGTGGACCCTGAACACTCAGGTCCTCTCGCTGAAGCCCAGGACGCCACCTGAACCCCAGTTCACAGGACAGAGGGGAGTGGCCCAGACACCATCTATGACGAAGCCCTGGGGTGGAAGTTCCTCCTCCTACTTTGAGCCCATCCCTCTAGGCTGACCTTGGAGTGGTGGCCAAGTGTATGCGTGTGTGTGTGTGTGTGTGTGTGTGTGCACGCGCATGCCTGTGTGTGGGTTGTGTGTGTGTGTGTGTGTGTGTGGTGGGACAAGCAGAGGAATCTGAACTTTAGGAGAGAGGAAAATAAAGTGGCGGAGGGAGTTGGATAACAAAGGATTTTTGCTTGCAACTAATAGTCTCCAGCTGCAAAAATACCAAAGGGGAGGCCAGGCAGGCTGGGGACTCCAGTTCTTGCCAACTCCTCACCGGCCTGCTGAGTGGGGCCCTGCCTGACCTTTGGGGAGGTGTAGGGGGGAATGGCCAAGGGTAAATATCTGGGAGCAGGGACGAGCTCTCTGCCTTCCTTCCCGGAATTGGGAGGAATCCAGGCCACATCCTGAGGCTGGGGGGATGATTGTGGAGCTGCACCTGGGCCGGGGGCATCGGCTCTCTGCAGGTTTCCTCCTCCTCCCATCTTGCCAAGGGAAGGGTGGATGGGGGGAGCGGGGGGCAGGGTGTTGCCAGCCCTGGGGCTGGGCAGTGACTCAGGGAAGCCTCAGGAAGTTGGAGAGAAGGACGCAGCCGCGCCAGCTGGTGCTGGGAAAACAGCTTTCACTGATGAAGCTCAGACACATGCCAGCAGCCCCCAGACCCCTGCCGTGCCCACTAAGTAAAGGGCACGCAGCCCTGTTTGACTTTCAGCCACGCTGCTGGCTGCCTGGGGCTGAGGCAGGTCCCCCACTTCGGGGCTTCGGTATCCTTTGGAGCTGGCCCAGCGGCATTAATTTTAATCTGTTTTCTCTGTGGTAACAGTGTGTGGGGCAAAGAATTTGGTTGCCTCGCTCCTGCACTAGGCCCTTTTCCTACAGGGCCTGGAGCTCCCCAGGCTCCTCTGTCCCCTCTCTCTGACCCCATGGGGATGGGACAGTGTTGTGGGCCCAGATAAAAGAATGTCCGGGCTTGGTGATGCATGGGCACTTACAGGGGTGACACATCCTTCTCCAGTCATCTGGGGCTGGGGTTTAGCAGAGGGGACCTGAAGAAGAAACTGGTTTGATGAAGGCCTCAAACTGGCTCTTTCCCTTCCTCCCCCCAGCCTTGGTCCTGTGACTGTGAGTCAGTGTCAGGGCCCAGCCAAGTTCCCCGGAAGCCATGTTCCTGTTCCCTTTGCCCCCACCCCCACCCGCACCCACTGTTAGGAAATAGCCCCTGAGTCCTTGTGGAGAGGAGGGGGTTGAGGGAGAGGTTGAGCAGAACGTGATGCCTGCAGTTGTATGGGGCAGAATAATCCCCACGGGGCTGAGTATGGGTAGTAGGGGGTGAGTTTCGGTCAAAAGCAGGTGGTCCAAAGATTTCTTTACCTGTTGGGGAAATTGTTGGAGATGGAGTTCAAGGCAGGGATCCCAGAAAGTCACTGCCTTAGGAATCCCCCAGTTTTCAAGAGGCATCACCGCTGATGGTGGTAGTTGGAGGGGGCAGTGAGTGGATGGGAGCCAGTGTGTCTTGGAGAGGAGGGGCCCAGAGGAGGCCAGCAGGGTTCCGTGTCCCCAGACTTCCTGCCTCCAAGACTTCCTGCTGCCTGGCCCTGCCCCACCTTTCTTTGGCCCTTCTTGGCCTCTTCCTTCTCCTCTGGAGCCATGCCATAAACAAGAGTATGGGCACCTGGTCTCCATCTTCTTCCCTAGCTCCCACCTTCTGAAGCCTCCTTTCTTTCTAAGCCATGCCTCAGTTTACCTTCAGGGTCCTTTCATGGCCCTCCTTCTAGCTTCTTCAGGGAGAGAGTCTATATCCTATCCCCCACTTCTTCTGGCCCTCCCTAGGACAAAAGGAAATTGAGCAATAGGGACATGGAAGAAACAGGGGAGTGGAGTGAGTAGAGGAAGTTTGGCCCATGTCACTTATTTCCAACTTTTTGCCACTGCGGACGTTCTCTTTTTGTTTTTTTTAATTTTTATTTTTATTTAATTTTAATTTTTTTTGAGACAGAGGCTCACTTTGTTGCCCAGGCTAGAGTTAGTGCCGTGGCGTCAGCCTAGCTCACAGCAACCTCAAACTCCTGGGCTCAAGCAATCCTGCTGCCTCAGCATCCCGAGTAGCTGGGACTACAGGCATGTGCCACCATGGCCGGCTAATTTTTTTCTATATATATTAGTTGGCCAATTAATTTCTTTCTATTTATAGTAGAGACGGGGTCTCGCTGTTGCTCAGGCTGGTCTTGAACTCCTGATCTCGAGCAATCCACCCGCCTCAGCCTCCCAGAGTGCTAGGATTACAGGCGTGAGCCACCATGCCCAGCCTGGACCTTTCCTTTTTGATCTCCGTGGAGCCCATATTTTGAAATAATTTTCTCTCAAATTGGGTTTATTAATGTATACCCAGCTTTTTCATTTTTAAAATTTGCACAGTATGCAAGGACAACACAGCGCTGAAAATTAAAATAATTTAAAAAAAATAATAAAAAAATAAAATTTGCACAGTATGTACAGCTTCCAGTCAGTGCTTCTAGGAGCGTGCGATAACTAGACTTACCATATAAAGTTGATAAAAGTCCAGCAAAAAGCAAAGCTGAGTTAGCCGGGGAGCTCTTATCTCAAGTAAAAGAAAATTAAACAAAAAATACTGGAATGAGCTAGTGGGCCTGTCCTCTCTACCTTTTGGCGCCCTAAGAAAATGGGCCGTGTTCAGGGACGGGTGAGAGTTGGGGAAGCTGTCAATCAACATTTACCCAGGGCCTCCCGTGTACCAATGCTGAGCTCAGCGTGGGGAGTGGGCTGTGTGAGGATATTCTCTTTGGAGAGACCAGATTTGTGGAAAGATCGCCAAGAATACAAGGCAAAATGTGCCACTGCCGGCAACTCCCACAGGAGCTCAGGGAAGGGAGACAGCTGTAGCTAGGTGGTGGAGGAGGGCATCCTGAGAAGGTGGGGTACCGGTGTGGGCTCTCAGCAGCACGGGGTGGGCGTGTCTGTGGGAGGACCCACCCCACCCCATAACAGCTCTTTCATTCATACTCTTCAGACGTGGAACAGATGGCCATCGACTGGCTGACAGGCAACTTCTACTTTGTGGATGACATCGATGATAGGATCTTTGTCTGCAACAGAAACGGGGACACGTGTGTCACTTTGCTAGACCTGGAACTCTACAACCCCAAGGGCATTGCACTGGACCCTGCCATGGGGTGAGAGTGGCAGGCAGGGGTTCTGGCCCTGGAAGGCGGGAGGCAGAGGCTGTAGTGGGACAGAGGGTGCCCAATATCCAGACCCCATTTAACATGCATCTCCCCACAGGAAGGTGTTTTTCACTGACTATGGGCAGATCCCAAAGGTGGAGCGCTGTGACATGGATGGGCAGAACCGCACCAAGCTGGTCGATAGCAAGATTGTGTTTCCTCATGGCATCACGCTGGACCTGGTCAGCCGCCTCGTCTACTGGGCTGACGCCTACCTGGACTACATTGAGGTGGTGGACTACGAGGGCAAGGGCCGGCAGACTATCATCCAGGGCATCCTGGTGAGGGAGCCATTGCCTGAGGTCATTGTGAAGGAACCATTATTCAGGGCCTGCTGGTGAGGGGGAAACCTTTCCAGGGGAATCATTTTCCAGGCCTCCTGGTAAGGAGAGGACAATATGGGAACACGGTTGTCCCAAGCCCTCTATGGGACTGGGTGGGCATGAGCGCTTCAGAGAAAGGAGAGGATATGGCTTCTGCGTTTTAGAGACACCTTTCACTTCTTTTTTTCTCATTTGATCCTTACAATAACCCCTGGGAGATGAGCAGGGAAGTGGTTCAGTTCTCTTTTGGCAGTTGTAAAAAGCAGAGTTCAAAGAGGCTAAGTGATTTGCCTGAGCTAACAAAGTTGGCAGTAGTACTGGGACCTAATCTAGAACCTTGCTGGCTCAGAGTGGCACCTCCATTCTGGGATAATTAGGGTGCCCAACCCTCTCAGTTTGCCCAGGACTGTCCTGATTGTCGCCCCAGAAGTCCCATGAACCAGCAAACCTCTTAGTCTCAGGCAAACTGGGACAGTTGGCCACCCTAGATAAGCTACGTGGATGGTCTGGCTGTTATAGGGCTTGCTTGAGGCAAGTGTGTTCTCTCAACACTCTCAAAGCTGGTGGCTGGAGTGAGGCTAAGAATGTTCTCTGTGGACAAAGTTTAGGGCCTAACTCTATTTCAGGCTAAAATCATTAAGGCATCGACTGTGTGCCTAATTCTGTGAGGGGAGTGGTTCCTGCCCCCAAGGGGTCTGAGTATAGTGGGTGGGCTAAATCCACAAATCACCACACCAGACACTGGATAACTGGGTGTCACCAGAGAGACAGAGGGTAGAAGGAGAGAAGACCTCTGACTAAATGATTCCAGTTCTTGGCCGGGCGCGGTGGCTCACGCCTGTAATCCTAGCACTCTGGGAGGTCAAGGAGGGTGGATCGCTCAAGGTCAGGAGTTCGAAACCAGCCTAAGCAAGAGCAAGACCCCGTATCTACTAAAAATAGAAAGAAATTAATTGGCCAACTAAAAATATATAGAAAAAATTAGCCGGGCATGGTGGTGCATGCTTGTAGTCCCAGCTACTCAGGAGGCTGAGGCAGAAGGATTGCTTGAGCCCAGGAGTTTAAGGTTGCTGTGAGCTAGGCTGACGCCACGGCACTGTAGCCCAGGCAACAGAGTGAGACTCTGTCTCAAAAAAAAAAAAAAGATTCCACTTCTTCAAAGCGAGGCTCTGTGACAGGTGAGTGGGATCTTGGGTGCAAAAAGTCTCAAGAACAGGATAGTCTAGTCAGAGGAGACAGGCAGAGAGCAGAGAGTTAAAAAACCAGTAGGATAACTTTGGGAATGCGATGGTAAATTTTGGATGGAAGCAGTGGGATGGAAGGACCCTCCTCTCACCTTGTGCTCACCATCCCTGCCTGCTCCCTGCCTGCCGTCTCAGATCGAGCATCTGTATGGCCTGACAGTGTTTGAGAATTATCTCTACGCCACCAACTCGGACAATGCCAATGCCCAGCAGAAGACGAGCGTGATCCGTGTGAACCGCTTTAACAGCACCGAGTACCAGGTCGTCACCCGTGTGGACAAGGGTGGTGCCCTCCACGTCTACCACCAGCGGCGCCAGCCCCGAGGTGAGTGGGGCTCCATGTCCCCTCCAAAGCTGGCTTTTCCTCGGGATCACACCCCTCCATGGGCCCTCCTGTGGGGCCCCCTGATTCTTTCACCATCCACCCAGGCAACCTGCCCTGGCCCCTGCCAGCCCCTTTCTACCCCTTCAGCCTCTACATCCCACCCCCACGGTGCCTGTTCTGCACCCCAGTACGCTTGCCAGTCTAGAGCATCTGGCTGTGGGCAGCTCTCTCCCCTGACCACCAAAGCCCCAACCCGGGAGAGTCTGCAGGCTGTGTTTGGTAGGGCAGAGGAATTCCAGTCTTGTGGCTTCCACACCCTAAAATGGGAGCATAGGCACCAAGACCACAGCCGTGGGGGTGTGGTCAGATTCAGGAAGCCTTCTCAAGGCCTGGGCCCAGGTCTCTCAGGGTCCTGACAGCTCTCCACCTGCCCCCAGTGAGGAGCCACGCCTGTGAGAACGACCAGTACGGGAAGCCAGGCGGCTGCTCGGACATCTGCCTGCTGGCCAACAGCCACAAGGCCAGGACCTGCCGCTGCCGCTCCGGGTTCAGCCTGGGCAGTGACGGGAAGTCGTGCAAGAGTGAGTAGCAGGGAAGGGCACATATGCCACTGGACTGGGGTGGGAGGGTATCCGCACATGTCCCCCACAGCCCAGCTGCTTCTGCTGAGATGCAGAGAGACAAAGGAAATTACCCAACGCGTCTTTTTAGTGAGAGGCAGAGACAGGACTTGAACCCACATCCTAGAAAAACCCTATTCCCACTACCCCACAGTGGATTCCACAGAAAACTGTAATTCATTCATCCATCCATTCAGCGAGTATCTAGGGAGCGCTCAGGGTGTGTTTGGGACTGTTCTGGAGACAAGGATTCAGCAGTGGACAAGACAGATGTTGTCCCTGGCCTTATGGAGCTTATAGTCCAGTAGGGAAAACAGACAAACAAGATGACTTCAGGGGTTGCTAGGTTTTATGAAGACAATAAAGCAGAGAATAGAGTTAGTGAAGACAGGGAGGGCTGCTCTGAGGATGTGGCATTTGAGCCAAGCTCTCTGTGAAGTGAGGAAGCCAACCGGGTGACCACCTGGGGGAAGAGCATTCTGAGAGAGGGTCGGGGCAGTGCAAAGGCCCTAGGGCCGCGTGGGCTTGGAGCACCCCGGAGGCCAGCAGCGACAAGCAGCCCGAGGGCAGACAAGGAGGGAGAGGTTGGATTGTATCTAACTGGGATGAGAAGCTCACAGTGACTTTTGAGAAAGGAAGTAATGTGCCTGGATTCACATTAATGTAGAGATCACACTGCTGCTGGGTAGAGGATGGATAGATGGAAAGTGGCCAGGAGGCTATTCCAGTGGGATAGGCAAGAAGTGATGTGGCTTAGACTAGGATGGTAGCAGAGGAAGTGGTCAAAAGTGATCAGACTCCAAGATATTTCGAAGGTACTGCTTTTAGGCCATGAATTTCACTACTGAGCAGTGGGCAAATAACCGAAAACCTACTATCCTTGCCCCATTTCCCACCATTAGAGTACGTGGGTCAAACCCCCAGGGCATTGTGGCCCAGGACCCAGTGCTGTAGGTTTTAGTGTGTGTGTGTGTGTCGTCTGTCCATCGGACCCAGAGCCCCACCTCTCCCACATCTCCTGACCCAGGAGAGCTGAGCCATTGCAGCCCCTTGGGCCGGGGCGCCAAGGTAGGGTGATGGCCATGTGCGTGTGTCTGACTTTGTGCTCTGACTTGTGCCCACCCTAGAGCCGGAGCACGAGCTGTTCCTCGTGTATGGCAAGGGCCGGCCAGGCATCATCCGGGGCATGGATATGGGGGCCAAGGTCCAAGACGAGCACATGATCCCCATCGAGAACCTCATGAACCCCCGAGCCCTGGACTTCCACGCTGAGACTGGCTTCATCTACTTTGCCGACACCACCAGCTACCTCATTGGCCGCCAGAAGATTGATGGCACTGAGCGGGAAACCATCCTGAAAGACGGTAAGGGCCTCTGAAGTGGGAGGCCTCCGGGTAGTAGAACTCCTAGGGACGTGGCACACTGGATGGGAAGTGGTCTGGGGCCGAGGCATCTCTTTCTCAGTGCCCTCTCAGCATGGACAGTTCCCTGCTGACTGGCTGGCTGGGCTGGTTGGCATGGAGATGAGGGGATAGACAGATTGACCCCTGCATGACCCCCTTCTTGGCTGAACCGAAAAGAGGCAGGAGGATGGATGGGTTAGGCGATGTGGGCCGTCCTTGCCAGCCCTTGGGAAAACTCAGGGTCTCTCTGCCATTGGCTCCAAGCCCTGGAGCTGCATGCAGCACACAGCTGGGAGAGGACTCAGGCCTTAAATCAGGGCCGTGCCTGCCAGATCGGAGCAGGGCACACCCACACGAGTGTGCACACTCGGGGTCTATACAGCTAGACCTTACAGCCATCAAAAACTGCATATCACATGTCCTGAGAAAATTATGCTTTGTGAATTGAATCCAGGTTTCCCTCTGGGCTGCTCAGGCAGGTCCACAGTGCATTGTCTTCTGAATATCTGTGTGGAGGATCCTGAGCTCTCTGAGTTCTGCCCCAAACCTGCACTTGCGCCCCGGGATTAGGCCCCCTCCCTAGTCAATCCAGCGGATGCCAGTGACCACCATTGCCCTGTCCCCACACCCCCCATGCAGCCCAGAGAACCTCAGCAGTCGGCAATCATACCGTAAGACTTTGGGGAAATCAAAAGTAACTCCTCATCAGGAAAAGATTGGGGTTCCCTATGTCAGGGAATTGCTATTTAAAGGACACTTGAGATGAAGCCTTTGGCTAAGTGAAAAATCACTTCCTAATTTATTCATTTTGTTAATTCAGGATTTTTAGGTCTAAAACATGACATCACACTTGTGCCCAGAGCCATGTGCACATTGCTCAGGTCTCTGCTCACACACGGGCCGGATGTGTCCTCACATGAGAGCCCGCACAAGCCGCGTAGTTTACCAGCTGCCATATGCGGTTTTGAGAGACTGTGCCTCAGCACAGATGTGGAGACACAGTGGCCTTCCCTGCTCCTTCTTCCAGCCTCCTGTCCCATCCCTACCCTCCCACCCAGGGCATCAGAGGCTCCCTGTGCTCACACCCAGACCAGGCTGCTCAGGGGTGCACACACCCTGCAGGGTCGGAGGCAGCAGCTCTGAGCTTCCTCTGAGGCTCTCGGTCATGGGCCCTCCACCCCACAGGCATCCACAATGTGGAGGGTGTGGCTGTGGACTGGATGGGGGACAATCTGTACTGGACGGATGATGGGCCCAAGAAGACCATCAGCGTGGCCAGGCTGGAGAAAGCTGCTCAGACCCGCAAGACCTTAATTGAGGGCAAGATGACACACCCCAGGGCCATTGTGGTGGATCCGCTCAATGGGTGAGTCCTCCCCAGGTCTGGGGGTAGGAGGAGCCAGGGAGTGTGGGGGCCTCAGAGAACTGGGGGATGAGACAGAGAGGCATCCGTGGAGGGCAGCTGAGGTGGGACACCACAGGACTCAGAGGCTGAAAGCGGAAGAGGCATCCCTGTCTTCAGGGCAACAGGAGTGATGCCTTAAACACATAAAGAGAAATCTGTTGCTGTGACTCCCAGCTCAGAGCCCTCATTGGCTCCCCTGACCCTTAGAATGAGACTTGTGTTCTCACCAGGCCTGCACATCCCCATGGAGTCTGCCTGGGGCTTGTGCGACCTTGGCTGCACCTCACTTCCCACACTTGGAAGTTGTTCTGTCCCCACCTCTGCCCCCACTGCAGCCCCTGCCTCTGGGCTTTTGCTCTTGGAGTTCCTCTGCCCGGAGCTCCCAATCATTTGCATTTGGCTCCTTGCCTGCATCGGGTCACAGAGTGGCCTTCCTTATCACCCCCACCTGCCCCCGTCACTCTCTACCTCATCCCCCTCCTCCTCATCCCCCTCTTTCTTTTCCTTCCCAGCTTTTGTCACTGTCCCATGTGACCTTCTTGATTGACTTATTTTTTGTGGGATGGTAGCTCCATGGCAGCAGGGACCTTAGCTGACCCAGTCTCCACTGTGTCCCTGAGTGCCAAAACTGTCCCCAGCTTATAGTAGGAACTCAACAAATACTTGTTGCATAGAAGAATGAATGAATGAATGAAATGTGTGGTCCAGGGATGAGCAGGGCAGGAAGACCCCTGTGAGGGGCTCTGGGACAGGACCCAAGGATGAGAATCACAAGGGAGGCTGTTGATGACAAGGGTGGCCTGCGTGGTGCTGACCAGTCACTGCCCACAGGTGGATGTACTGGACAGACTGGGAGGAAGACCCTAAGGACAGTCGGCGAGGGCGGCTGGAGAGGGCCTGGATGGATGGCTCACACCGAGACATCTTTGTCACCTCCAAGACAGTGCTTTGGCCCAATGGGTTAAGCCTGGACATCCCAGCTGGGCGCCTCTACTGGGTGGACGCCTTCTATGACCGCATCGAGACCATACTGCTCAATGGCACAGACCGGAAGGTGTGCAGACGTGTGCCTGTGTGTGTTGCTAGGCCACGTTTGTGTGTGGATGAGGCTTTGTGTGAGTATGTGGGTAACTGTGTGTGTCCAGGCCTATGTGCTTCATGTGTGTCTACCTGTATGTCTACATATGTGTCCGTTTGTGTGCTTCTGTGTCTTACATGTTACGTTGTTTGTCTGAGGATTACTTCTATTAGCGTGTATCTGTGTCTGTTGCTTGCACTGCCCACGTGCATGTCTTTGTACTCACATCATGTACACCTCTGCGTGTGTATACACGTACATACAGAGCACGCCTTGCTGTGTGTCTGTGCTCTGCGCAAGTGTGGGACGCCATGGGACGGCGTGATGTATGCCGGTTCACGGGGGGGTATGCGCCTCGTGAGTCGTGTGCACGTCTGAGTGTGGGGACCAAGCCCTTTCGTGGTGTATAGGCCCTTCATGATATGACCTGTGACTCCCTCTGTGGTCTCCTTTCTCCCCTGCTCCCCGCATCCCAACACTCTTTGAACAAGCAACACTAGACGCCTTGTAACTCCTCGCACACATCATAGGGCGTCTGCCCTCTGTGCTACTGCTTGGGCAGTTCTTCCTGCCTGGAACGTCCATCCCAGCTCCTCTTGCCCTGGCAAACGACCTGGGGCCGCCTCCTGGGATGCTGTCTCCAGATCTCTTCCACATGAGTTTACCCATGGGTGCCCTCCAGGAGGCAGCGGGCAGCTCGAGGGCAGAGGCCATGTTTCTTCCATCTCAGTGCCTGCCACAGCTGGGCCCTAGTAGATACTGGCAAATGTTGGATGAAGAAATGAATGGATGATTGCTAGCTGCCCGCTCAGTTGCGTGCGTGCGTGCGTGCGTGCGTGCGTGCGTGTGTGTTGGAGGTGCGAATGAAAATGAATGAGCCCAAGAGAGGACAGTGTGGACAACCTCACCATCAGCAGCCTTGCTGGATCCCCTGATCCCTGAACCCAGCCTCTCACTGTGCAAAGCCGTCACCTCAGGGGGCTCCCTGGCTAATGGGGGAAACAAAACCCATGCTCAGGACACAGAATAATGAATACACAAAACGACCATCTCCTGGGCCTCCCTCAGGCACCATCGATGGCCTCCCAACTCCTTAGTACCTGCCCCTCTGTTCCTAGATTGTGTACGAGGGTCCTGAGCTGAACCACGCCTTTGGCCTGTGTCACCACGGCAACTACCTCTTCTGGACTGAGTACCGGAGTGGCAGTGTCTACCGCTTGGAACGGGGCGTGGAAGGTGCACCTCCAACTGTGACACTTCTGCGCAGCGAGCGGCCCCCCATCTTTGAGATCCGCATGTATGATGCCCAGCAACAGCAAGGTACCCCCTAGGGGCAGGGGCTGGGGCTGGGGGCAGGGGGCACCTGGATGAGAGGCCGGGGACCTAGGCCAGGATTTGAGGCTCCTCTAGGGTGAAGGCACTTCCCAGGGACCCTAGACTCTGACTTTTGAGACTCCTGAGAAGGGAAGTCAGTTTGACAGTTTGACACTCTGTTCCCCATTTCCCTTCCTGCTCCATGCCTGTATCGTCTCTTCTTCAACATGCTCTTCTTCCTCTTAATATTTCCTCTTTCTGTCTCCTTCCCTGTTCCCTACACCCTTTCTTCCCTTTCCTGACCCTGTTACCATCCGTGCCCTGTCCTCCCCTTCCTCCTCCCCTTCTCTGCGGCCCCTCCCCCAAAGTTGGGACCAACAAATGCCGGGTGAACAATGGTGGCTGCAGCAGCCTGTGCCTGGCCACCCCTGGGAGCCGCCAGTGTGCCTGTGCTGAGGACCAGGTGTTGGATGCAGACGGTGTCACTTGCTTAGGTACGAGGGGCCCAGTTGGGTGGGAGTGGGGGGCACAGACCCCAGCAGGAGGACACTGCAGAGAGGGCAGGAGAGGCTGCAGGGGCCCAGCCAGAGATGAGGGAAGCCGTGGGCACCAACAGGAAATCAGGGATGGGGGCAGGAAGGCTCCCCTGGGAGCCTGGGAGGGGCTTCAGGAGGCCTAGGAAAGGAGAGGGGACTTGGAAGGGCACGGGGATTAGGGGAAACTGAGTGAGGAACAGGACAGCTATGGAAGGAGGAAAATATTCTCCACTACTTTTTAGTTTATTTCCTCATTATTAAAGTAAAATAACAGTAGTTCAAAATATCAGAAATTAGAGAGGAGAAAAAAGCCCGAATCCCACCAACGCACACCCCTCTACTGTTAGCATTGTGGTGAATTGAACACCATTGTTGTTTTCCACACGGTTGTCATCATCTGTGTATGAACCACTGCATGCCCTTTCTAGCTCCAATGTCACAACATTTTCTGTGTTATTACTGCATTATTTTAAATAGCCTTATTTTTTTTTTTTATAAAAGTGGGTCATGCTTGTTTCATTATAAAAATAAGTAAAAAGGAGAAAGTACAAATCACCCCAAATTCCAACACCCGTAGATAACCGCTGTTACCATTTTAGGGACCATCCTCCCAGACATTTCTCTATGCATTTACTTTTACACAAATGGAATCCTGGTGCACACGCTGTTCTGTTTCCTTCCTTTGTCACTTGACCATATATCATGAATACATAAGCAGCATTTTTAATGTCTAAAATATATTTCATTTAGTAAATGTCCCGTAATTTACTGAACTATTTCTCTACTGTTGGATGCTTAGGTTGTTTGCAGTTTTTTTGTTACAGTCACGGCCCACATTTCTTGAGCACAGGCTGTGTGCTCAGCACTGTTATAAGCATTGTCTGTGCAGCAACTTATTTACTCCTTAAAACATCCCTGTGGTTTTATTATCGCCATTTTACAGATAAAGACATTAAGGCCCAAAGTTAGAGCAGGGATTTGAACCCAGGAAGTCTAGCCCAGAGCCCATTTCTCAGTCACCCCCTCTGCTGTTTCTCACATCTTCATGCCTTCCCATATTCTGGGTGGTTTCCTCACGACAGGATCCCAGAAGTGAAAAGGGGTCAGTGGAGGCACAGCTGGGAGGGAGTGGTGAGGTCAGGCGCGCACACTGGCGCAGGGGGTTAAGGCTCTGAGGGTCGTCTAAATGGAACCAAGAGTGATTTGGGAGAAAGTAGCTCTGAGCCAGGACCTGAAAACCCTGACAGATGACAGGGAGTGGCCTGGGAGCGCTGTAGAGTGGAGGCTGGTGTAGTCTAATGATGTGAAAGCCAACACGGACGTTTTAGAAAGGTGGGGGTGGGGGACAGCCAGGAGCAGTAGAGAAGGAGCACAGAGGACACACCGCCCTCCAGCCTGTGGTCCACGGGTAAAGGAGAGAAGGTAGCCACCGTGGGACCCTTGGGAAGTTTCAGAGATCAGAGAGGGTGAGGGACGGGTCAGACAGGGACGAGCACGGCCAAAGGGTCTGGGGACAGGGCTGACGCAGGACGCCTGGGTTTCTCGAGGTTAGCAATGTGAACACCAACAAAGGACATAGTGATTTTACTGCCGATGGCCAAGGCAGATAGTGATGGTGAGCCTCCGTTGGGGACAGCCGGGGTGGAGCCTGCAGAGTTCTGGGGCCCGTCTTCCCTCCTGCTGGTGGAGATGATGCAGCTATGAGAAAAGAAGTCCAGGGACCAGGGCAGGGCACTGGGGACCTCAGAAGTGACTTCCAAGGGGCGGTTATTCATGGAGAAGGCAGGGAGGGGTGTGGAGAGGCCTGCTGGGGAGTGACAAGTGTATGGGGTCGCTCTCTCCCTAGCCTCTCTGGGAAGCTGTTTTGCTCTCAGGCCACACTGAAGTGCAGGAATTATTAAGTAGACATCATGTTGTTGCTTGAGAAAGAACGAATTGCAGTCTCCATCCAATTTATTTGTGAAGAATTATATACTAGAAAAAATTACCTTGTATTATTAAAAATAAGTAGAACAAACAAAAATAGTACGGGGGCTTAGCACCTGTCCCAGGACCCGGGTCTGACTTTCCCCCTCACACTCCTGTGGTGCCCACAGCGAACCCATCCTACGTGCCCCCACCCCAGTGCCAGCCGGGCGAGTTCGCCTGCGCCAACAGCCGCTGCATCCAGGAGCGCTGGAAGTGTGACGGAGACAACGACTGCCTGGACAACAGTGACGAGGCCCCAGCCCTCTGCCGTGAGTCACCTGCTCCCCCCTGGTGGCCAGCAGGCCTGCAGGGCAGCTCGGCTCTGGCAGTGCCGGTTCCTGGGCAGGCGGGGAGCTGCGGGCCCCACCCTCTTGCTGACCCTTGACCTGTCCCCTCCCCAGATCAGCATACCTGCCCCTCGGATCGATTCAAGTGCGAGAACAACCGGTGCATCCCCAACCGCTGGCTGTGTGATGGTGACAACGACTGCGGGAACAGCGAGGACGAGTCCAATGCCACTTGTTCAGGTGTGGCCTGGGTGGTGGGACACAGGTGGCACCCACAGTCGAGGAGGCAGGGCAGCTGGGGGAGCCAGGCTTGGGAAGACAGTGGGGCCTCAGGGAAAAGAAAGGGAAGATCCCGGGGCAGAGGGGACGGAAGGGACAGAGCCCTGCGCAAGAGGGGTGGGGCAGGCCCCAGGTGGGAGGTGAGGCGCCAGGCGGGGCTCATCTCCCAGGAAGACGCTGGGGACCCCTTGAGAGGTGGGAGACCACGTGGGTGGTCTTGAACTTCTCTGAGAGAAATGGCTTTGGATCCTTGGGAATAAGGGTCTCAAAAGGCAGAGAGTACCAGGAAGAGAAGGAAATGAAGGGAGGGTCGGACGCCGAGCACTCACGCCCTTCCCATCCCCCAGCTCGCACCTGCCCACCCAACCAGTTCTCCTGCGCCAGTGGCCGCTGCATCCCCATCTCCTGGACGTGCGACCTGGACGACGACTGTGGGGACCGCTCTGACGAGTCAGCCTCCTGTGGTAAGGATGGCAGTGGGAGGCCAGGCTGGGCGGGAGGGGCAGCCCATGAGAACACGCCCTGGGGGGCTGGGGACACCCTGCAGCTTAGTACTTGGGTGGTCTTGAGCAGGTTACTTAATATCAGTGGCCTCTGTGAGTTTTGTCTGCAAAATAGGGATGATGATAGCAGCCACATCACAGCAGTGAGCTCGTGCATGAAAAGCACCTGGTGCAGGGCCTGTGTCTGGTGACCAGCAGGGACAGATGAGCAGAGGTTCCGGCTGAGGCACCGCTGGGCTGGGCTGAGGGCTGCTGGCCTGGCTGAGCCCCTGCACCTACCTGCTCAGTGCCGTGGTGCTGTGTCATCTTGGGGGCCCTACTCAGCTACTCTTTCTCCCTCACAGCCTATCCCACCTGCTTCCCCCTGACTCAGTTTACCTGCAACAATGGCAGATGCATCAACATCAACTGGCGGTGTGACAATGGTAAGAGCTTGCCTCCCTTCATCTGCCCCGATTCCCAGGACAGCTAGAGGCTGCAGCCAGGACCCAGGAGGGAAGGGAAGAGCTTTAGACTTGCCGAAGCTGTACAGGGTTGGCTGGGAGAAAAGAGGAACCAGAAATGCTGTGGGGGAACCAAGATGGACTGAGGAGAGCCCTGCCTGTGCCCTATTAGTGCCGTTCCCACCCCAGGCAGGGGTCGGGGGCCAGGGAGAGAGAAGGGAGCAGGGCCAGAGGGGCAGAACCAGGAGAGGCCGGGCCTGGCTTCCTTCTCCCTGCAAACCCCATCTCCTGGAGTCCTTGGTGCACCCCTCAGGCTCCGGGCTTCAGGCTCGGGAGCCCACCTGGCAGTCAGCCATGGATCCGGTGACGTCAGCCCTGAGCCGCAGGGGCCACCGTGCATGTAAATGTGCGGGCGAGTGACCGCTGTGTGTGTGCCATCCCGGGCCTGTTGCGTCTGTGTTGTGTTGTGACGTGCTGCCCAGTGGCCCCAGCCCCGGCTCACGTGGAGAGGATGTGTTGGGGCAGCGCCACGTTGCTCCTCATCTGTGCCGTGTCTCTCGTGCCAATGGTTGCCCCGGCGGTTTCTGTGTTTCAGAGAAGGATTGTGGGGACGGCTCTGATGAAAAGACCTGTCCTGAGCCTGCCGGTCAGTGCATAGAAGCACATGCACCATCACCCCAGAGCCCCAGCTGGCCTCAGCCGCCTCCCGGGACCCCAGGCCCCTGCACCAGAGCTGCTAGGATGTGAAGAAAAAGCAACAGACAGGAGGGAGAGAGAGGAAAAAAGAGAGGGAGAGAGACAACAGTGGACAGGAAAGAAGCAGAGAGAGGGCAGAGGGGACCACTTGGAGGAAAGGAGAGGACAGACAGGTGGCCACAGGAAGGCCAGGATGGAGCAGGGAGGAGAGGAACAAATCCAGCTGGAAAGAGGCAGAAACGCAACCCAATCCCAATCTTAACCACATGTCCCGTAAATGAGGAGGAAAGTCAGGAGCCACACCCCACGGCCTAGAAAGCAAGACGTTCATTCAGCCAGTCTCAGAGGCCTCCTGTCCACAAGTGGCCCCCGAGCTTCCCAGCTGCAGGCGAGGCCCCTTGAGCCCGGCGCCCAGAGTGTGGCACCCAGCAATGCCAAGCTCAGGGCAGGGGCCTGATAAAGCCCTTCTCACCCCAGCTAGAGGCCTCACCTATATTCCACCTCCCTCTCTCCCTCCAAAGCTACAGAAATCTCGGTCTTGCCCCCAAAGCAAGCAGACCTCTGTTCCCACACCTGCCAAAAGAGGAAAGGAACTTCCTGTCCCCTACCCTAAGCCTTTCCGAGGCTCAGGGAGGGGCCCTCCTGGAGCCCGTCCCCCTCTCCCCGCCCCACCACGCGGGCCATGGTGCATGCTGCAGTCTATGCAGTTTCTGTGTCTTTTCTGTTTGTTATTTTTTCAGTGGGGAGGGGGGTTGGGGGGGACCGAGGATGGGAATGGAGGGCCTAAGCTGGGGTCACAGAGAAGGCTGCTCTGCCGACTCCCTCCTCTACCTCTCCCTTTCTTCCCTCCCCCCAGACAATGACTGTGGGGACAACAGTGACGAGGCCGGCTGCAGCCACTCCTGCTCTAGCACCCAGTTCAAGTGCAACAGCGGGCGCTGCATCCCTGAGCACTGGACCTGCGATGGGGACAATGACTGCGGGGACTACAGCGACGAGACGCACGCCAACTGCACCAACCAGGGTGGGCACCGGGGGCCCTCAGGGTGGGGATGCGACCACAGCGCTGCATCGGGCACCCAGCCCGTCCATCCAGCCTCTGCCCCCCTGTGTGTCGGCCACCGTCTGGGAACTGAGATATCCTAGACATGGCTCTTATCCTGCAGGAGCGTCCAGTCCTGTGGGAGAATGAGATTGGCGACAAATCATTGCCGCACACTGTTAAGATCAAGGGCTTTGCCGTTGGGTGACCTTGGGCTCAAGCTTCAGCTCTGCAACTTATTATCTGGGTGGCCTTGAGCAAGTTACTTAATCTCCATGGGCCTCTGTGAGTTTTGTCTGCAAAGTGGGGTAATAATAGCACCAACATCACAGCATTGACGCGGGGGTTTGGTGAGATCATGCATGAAAAGTGCTTAGCACGGGGCCTGTGTTTGGTAAATAGTAGCTTGAGAAAAGGATGCTACGGGAAGGGATGAATGAGCCCGGCACCAGAGGAGAGACGGGCTGGCTCTGCGAGGTCCCCAGTGCCCAGGCCGCAGAGGCCCAGCTGCAGGGCAGTGGGGGCCGAGTTTCCTGGCTGGCACAGGCCCTCTCAAGGAGTATTGGCTTCTTAGCTCTGGCCTGTTGTTACCATGGAGGAATGTAAACGCAGGGTTGCCCTGGCTTCAAGAAGAGTCAGAAATGCAGATTTCTATGTGAAATCTACCAAATTTTTAACACTAGAGTATTAGTTTCCTAGGGCTGCTGTAAAAAAGTCCTACAAACTGAGTGGCTCAAACAACAGAAATACATTGTCTCAGGGTTGGTTCTTTCTGAGAGCTGTAAGGGAGGGTCTGTCCCTTGTCTCCCCTGGCCTCTGGCGGCTTGCTGGCAGTCTCTGACGTTCCTGGGCCTGCGAATGCATCACCCTGATCTCTGCCTTTGTCTTCACGAGGTGTCTTCCCCGTGTGCTCGTGTGTCTCTGGGTCTAAATGGCCCCTTTACATGAGGACATCAGTCATATCAGATTAGGGCCCACCCTAATGACCTCATTGTAAGTTGATTGTCTGCAAAGACACTATTTTCAAATAAGGTCACATTCACAAGTATTATGGGTTGGGCCTTCAACATCTTTTTAGGGAAGACAATTCAACAGATCACAACTGGCAGTTGATTTTAGAAGTTTAAATAATACTACAGGCCAGATTCTTCCACAGACCTGGTCTGACCCACCAGCTGCAACCCTGCCTTGTAGAGTTAGGCGATTCCCCACTTGAGTGGGGACAGTGCTGAGTAGCATCGAGCACCCACAGTGAGCCCAGCCCTGAGAGGGAGGACAAGGAAGGTCACAGGGGGCTCAGAAATAGTCCCTGAGTCCCCAGGGCCATGGCTGAGAAGGGCTAGGTAAGGGGACAGGTGATGGTGCCACCGGGTTCTGAGAAGGTACCCCTGGAGGCTGTGTGGTCTGGCGAGAAGAGCTCCCTGCCCATCCCGATGAGCTGGGAAAACTCGGACAAGTTGATTCCTCTGAGCCTGGGCTTCCCCCTCCATGAAATGAGATCTGCGAGGCCTGGCACGTGGGGGCAGGGCATCGCTGTTGGTGTGATTGTTAGCTATGGCTGTGCACCGAGATGGTCTGGACCACACAGGAGGAGGTGGGATTTGAACTGAGCTCTGATGAGGGGTTAGCCTGTGGGTTAATGGACAAGAGTGTCTTTCAGTGGGGACTGGGTGGCCTGGAGACTTAGGGGGTGAGACTGGGCACTTCTGTAGGGTGATGGTGGGGCCAGGCAGACCAAGGGGAAGGCTTGTGCGGGGCTGATGAGGGTGTCCCCAAAGGGCGCAGATTATAACAGCAGGTGAAAGGCAGGCAGAGGTGTGATGCGGGAGGCACTGGGGACACTGGAAGGATTTCAAAGCTGGAGGGTGATGTGACATAGGAGGCGCTTTAGGAAGACAGCCCTGGCAGGAATTAGATTGGAAGGAGGTTCAGGGCCCCTGGGGAAGGCTGCTACTGCAAGTCCAGGGACAGAATGAGTGTCAACCGTGTCCGTGGCAGGGAGGGTGGAGGAGTGGCGGGGCATGCGGCAGCAGCACAAGTGTGGGGCTCAGCCTGGCACCCAGTGGTCTGCGCCTCCCAGGGGCTGCTCCTGCTCCCTTCCTGGCCTCCTGAGTGAGACCCCAGCATGGCAGCCAGAGTGATCCTAACAGGCTTAAGTCGGATCATGCCCCAGCCCTGCCCTCAAGCTATACTGGCTCCCCGCAGACTGGAACTAGTGCCAAGCCCCTCCCATGGCCTGCAGGGCCCTCCCCGCCTCTGACCTGCCCCAGATGCTCCCCTCCCTTCACTGTACTCGGGCTGTGTGGCCCCCTGTCCCCAGCATAGTCCTGTCTCAGAGGCTGTGCAGTGGCTGTTCCCTGTGCCTCCAGACAGCCTCACTGTTGGCTCTCACTGCCGTCAGGCCCCTGCTCAAGCGCCACATGCTCGGAGGCCTCGGCTGACTGTCTTACCCAGCATGTCACCCATCCCTCTCCAGCCTCCACCCGACTGTGTGTCCACGGCATTTGTCATCACCTGCAATCACGTTCTAGACTTACGGGTTGTGTCCCCATTGCCTGTCTTCCCCATTAGAATCTAAGGCCTGTCCCTGAGGGCAGGGACTTTGTTTTATTCACTGTTGGCACCTGGGCCAGTGCCTGGCACGAAGTAGACACTCAGTGAATGTTTGTGGAATGAATGAAACAGAGGGCAAGGTGGGAGGCGTTTGATCTGGGGCCTAGCAGATTGCTTCTCCACTGGAGATCTCGTGCGTGCGATGGGGAGACTAGACGAGATGATTGCTGGGGTCCTCACGGGTGTAACATCTCCTGACCCTAATGCTGAGTTGGTGTTTCCAAGGAGTGTGGGCAGGGCTCATGCCTCTCGGGGGCTGCCCCAGCTCACAGCCCCCAGCTGGGCATGGCAGGAGGGGCTGGGGAGGCAGAGAGGAGGATGGCTGGCCTGCAGCACCCACCTCCTTCCTGGTCCCCTCCCCTGTCCCTCTGCAGCCACAAGGCCCCCTGGCGGTTGCCACACGGATGAGTTCCAGTGCCGGCTGGATGGACTGTGCATCCCCCTGCGGTGGCGCTGCGATGGGGACACTGACTGCATGGACTCCAGTGACGAGAAGAGCTGTGAAGGAGTGACCCACGTCTGTGACCCCAATGTCAAGTTTGGCTGCAAGGATTCAGGTGAAAAGGAGGGTTGCAGGGAGCCCAGAATGGGTCAGCGTAGGCGGGAGGAGACCGTATTGAGAGCAGAGTAGTGGGAAGGGGGACAGGGGTAGAGACAGCTCGAGGCAAAAGGCAGCACAGAGAACGTTGTACATCGTGCATGGGGGAAGGCATGGAGGGGCCAGGGCCTGCTTGAAGGACCCTGAGAACCAAAACTCGCCAGAGTTAAGCTTCGTTACCACCGGCAGATCCCTGCCTTCTCTGCTGCCCATGTGAATTTGACAGAGAAAGCCTAAAGGTTGCTAGCAGAACCCTGCATTTCCATTGGGCATTGCAGTCAGGACCCTTAGCGAAGCCCACTGGGTCTGGGAGAAGGGCAGGGAGCCCCACTGCCCAGGCCCGGCCCTCACGCTGCGCCGTCCGTCCCTCAGCTCGGTGCATCAGCAAAGCGTGGGTGTGTGACGGCGACAGCGACTGTGAAGATAACTCGGATGAGGAGAACTGCGAGTCCCTGGCCTGCAGGCCACCCTCGCACCCCTGTGCCAACAACACCTCAGTCTGCCTGCCCCCTGACAAGCTGTGCGATGGCAACGACGACTGTGGGGACGGCTCGGACGAGGGCGAGCTCTGCGGTGAGGCCCAGGCCTGGGTGGGCTGAGGGGCCTGGCCCCGGGAGAGGGGTGGGAGGGTGGCTGGGTCAGGAGCCGGCAGGGCAGGTCCCTGGGAGAGGTTCGAGACTAGGAGAGAGAGCAGCCCCTGCTGCTGGGCGGGCAAGCAGCACCCAGAGCAGTCACCAGCAGCCTGTGCCGATGTAGGGCTCACTTGGCACTGTGCCAAGCGAGTCACACTATTACAGCATTGAACCCACAAAGCAGCCCCACAAGGCAGGCGCTGTTACCATTTTACGGAGAAGAAAGCTGAGGCACAGAGAGGTTCAGCAGGTGATCCAAGGTCACATAGCTCCTATGGCACTGTGGGGACAATGCTGTGCATGCCCTTTCTGTAGGCACAAACCCCTCACCCACACTCACAAAATGGGAGGAACGGGCTTGGGCCCCAGGGTTGAGTGCTGATGGTCAGGGAAGGCTTCCCGGAGGAGGCAGGGATTGAACTGGGAAAGGACAGGCAGAACTTGAGAGTGAGTGGGAAATCTGAGGGAGGAGGGTGCCCATTCAAGATCAAAAGAAACGAGGTTGGGGGAGGCAGGGGGGGGCCACATGTGTGACTTGGGGGTGAGGAGCAGAGCAGCCGTATCTTGTCCTCTGGGCCAGGCAGAGCACCCAGTTCCTTGGAAGGAAGGGAGTGGGAGATAAGGCCGCTGGGACTGGCCAGGAGAACTGTTGACAGGTCGTCAGTCAGCCCAGGGAGTTGTCCTGGGTGTGTCAGAGGCCCCAGGGGCAGGACATGCCCTACTGCACCCCAACCCAGATCAGGAGAGATCAGCAAAAGGAGACTGGACCTAAGAACCCCCCAGGGAGGAAGCAGAAAGCTGGGGTTCAGACTGTGGGCCCAAGAAGGGGCAGGGAAATAGAGACTAGAGAGAGAGATGGGGGTGCTCCTCAGGGAAAGGGGAGGGCTGGTCCTAGGTGACTGGTGCTGGGGTCCCCACCCGGGTCCTGAGGGAGGCTGGGAAGCGCTGGGGCAGAAGCAGAGAGGAAGGGGACTGTCGGCAGGGCTCAGGAGCTTGGACCAGGCTGCCCTGGACTTGGGCTCAGCAGGGCCATGGTCCCGCCTCCTCCCAGATTCTGACCTTCAGCCTGTCCCCTACCTGCCCCTGCAGACCAGTGCTCTCTGAATAACGGTGGCTGCAGCCACAACTGCTCGGTGGCGCCTGGCGAAGGCATTGTGTGTTCGTGCCCTCTGGGCATGGAGCTGGGGCCCGACAACCACACCTGCCAGATCCAGAGCTACTGTGCCAGGCACCTCAAGTGCAGCCAGAAGTGCGACCAGAACAAGTTCAGTGTGAAGTGCTCCTGCTACGAGGGCTGGGTCCTGGAGCCCGATGGCGAGAGCTGCCGCAGCCTGGGTGAGACCCAGATGAGGGGTGGCTGGGCAGGCCAGGCAGGCCGGGGCAGGCCCCTGAGCTGCAGTGAGCTGGGCTTGGGTGGCCAAATGCCAGAGGCTGAGTTTTCCATCCGGGGCCCCAGTGCCAGGGCTGGCAGAGACCTGCCTGCACATGGACAGGGTGGCACACAGGCAGCAGGGCCCTCGCTGACCCCATCACGGCCCTCCCAACCCCAGACCCCTTCAAGCCGTTCATCATCTTCTCCAACCGCCATGAGATCCGGCGCATCGACCTGCACAAGGGGGACTACAGCGTCCTGGTGCCTGGCCTGCGCAACACCATCGCCCTGGACTTCCACCTCAGCCAGAGCGCCCTCTACTGGACTGACGTGGTGGAGGACAAGATCTACCGTGGGAAGCTGCTGGACAACGGAGGTGACCACCCGCGCGCCCAGGGCCGATGCCAGGGCAGGGTGCACACAGACAGAGCAGCTAGGATGCAGGGACACAGGTCCAGATCCAGGTGGCCCCAGAGCAGAGCCACGCCCCCATCCCCCACACTCCTGTTAATTGGGTTAGGTTTTGCTGTGGGTCTCAGTGCCTGGTGCCCCATAATTATCGTCAGCAGAGCCGCCAGCCCGATAATTAACAAAATGATCAGCCTTTCCTTGGAGCGGCCTGGAGCCCGGCTCCCCTAGTCCTAGAATCGCGGGCGTGGAAGGGAAAAGCCACTTAGGAGAGGAGTACCTGAACCCTGCCTCCCGTGCCCAGACAGCCTGGCCCAGCCCAGACTCCCGTGGGCCCAGAGTGCTGGGCAGTGCAGATGCAGCAGGATAGAAACAGGCTGCTTTCCACTGTGTGGTCAGGGAAGGTCCCCTGAGAAGGCGACATCCAAGCAAAGACTCAAGAGACTCACATTTTACTAGAGGATTTTGTACTGTTTGTGATAACGAAAGCTTGAAACCATCGTAAATGTCCATCAACAAGCACATGGCTAAGTGATAATATTCACACTGTGCAACAGCCTCCAAAATAATGAGCTGCAGATACATGTATTAGAACGGAAAAATCTTCTAGTCTGTGGAGTGACTTCTAAAAAGTCCTGTTCCCCACATGTGAGTCCAAATCTGTCCCCCAAAGCCTCTGCCCTCAGCTCCGCCTGCTGCCACAGGTCAGCCCTTCACAGCTGCTGCAGCAGGCGTCCCCTCCCCCCCCAGGATCTTCTCCTCCCTGACCCCTCATGGGATGGGGGCCTGGGGGAGGGAGTGGGGATATTAGGAGCTCGAGTCAAATCCAGGCACCTCGGAGGCAGTGGCAGAGCTGTCAGGGTGTGGGGGGGTCATCGACCGCACCACACTGCCCAGGAGACGCTAACCGACCACACCTCTCTCCAGCCCTGACCAGTTTCGAGGTGGTGATTCAGTATGGCCTGGCCACACCCGAGGGCCTGGCTGTAGACTGGATTGCAGGCAACATCTACTGGGTGGAGAGTAACCTGGACCAGATTGAGGTGGCCAAGCTGGATGGGACCCTCCGGACCACTCTGCTGGCTGGTGACATTGAGCACCCAAGGGCGATCGCACTGGATCCCCGGGACGGGTGAGGACCCTGCCCAGCTTCTTCTGGCCCATGGTCCCCTGATGTCCCGTTCAGCCTATCCAAGGACACCTGTCTCCTCAGAGCTGTCTGCCCACCTCCACCTCGTACCTAGGATCCTACCACAGGCCCCATGTTTAGCCCTCCTGCCCCCTCCCCACTCCACAGGATCCTGTTTTGGACAGACTGGGATGCCAGCCTGCCCCGAATCGAGGCGGCCTCCATGAGCGGGGCCGGCCGCCGCACTGTGCACCGGGAGACTGGCTCCGGGGGCTGGCCCAACGGGCTCACCGTGGACTACCTAGAGAAGCGCATCCTCTGGATCGACGCCAGGTCAGCTCCTTTCCCTACATCCAAGTCGGCAGCACCAGCGTGGGGGCAGGGGCCAAGTGCAGTGAGGAGGGTGGGGAGGAGGCCCACAGGGCCTGGGACCGGAGCAGGGTGGCACAGGGCTGGCACAATGGAAGCAGGACTGTGGGGAGGGTGGCAGAAGAGGCGGAGGCAGGGCTGTCACCTGTGGTTGTCCAAGCTGTGCCCTCCTCTCCACTCACACATCTGCGCCCTGTGCTGGGGACTGCGTCTGCCAGAGAGGGTGGCTTTGTCTAACTTCCACCAAGGCCCTGTGTGCCGGCAGTGACCCTGGGGAGGAGTGTGTTCAGCTGGGAGGACTGTGGGCCTGGGTGGGGCGGGGGCGCCCAGGCAGAGTGCTCCCAGGGTGGAGACCCCTGCGGCCTCCTCACTTTGCCCCAACCACGCTCTCAGGTCAGATGCCATTTACTCAGCCCGTTACGACGGCTCCGGCCACATGGAGGTGCTCCGGGGACACGAGTTCCTGTCGCACCCGTTTGCAGTGACGCTGTATGGGGGGGAGGTGTACTGGACTGACTGGAGAACAAACACACTGGCCAAGGCCAACAAGTGGACCGGCCACAATGTCACCGTGGTACAGAGGACCAACACCCAGCCCTTCGACCTACAGGTGTACCACCCCTCCCGGCAGCCCATGGGTAAGGGCGTGGGAAAGAGCCGGCAGCCTCTTAGGAGCTCTGAAGGGAGGAGGGGCAGTGAGGGCAGGAGAGGGGCATGCATTGGGATGGGGGAGTGCACTAGCCTGTGGACAGGGGTGCCGTCCGGCAACAGAGGAGGGTCTGGCAGCAGGGGACGCTGCAGCAGGGAGGACGAGAGCGGGTAGGGGGGTGGTCTGGGTGAGGAAGGCCAGGGAGGGACCAGCAAGTCACAGGCTGTTCTCCCTCCTTCTCTCCCTCCCTGCCGCAGCCCCCAATCCATGCGAGGCCAACGGGGGCCGGGGCCCCTGCTCCCACCTGTGTCTCATCAACTACAACCGGACCGTCTCCTGTGCCTGCCCCCACCTCATGAAGCTCCACGAGGACAACACCACCTGCTATGGTAGGTGGCGAACTGAGGCTGGAGGGGAAGGCCTCTGGTGCCCAGGCTCCCAGTTGTAAGTGAAGACAGTCCCAATTTCGAGGGCACAACGGGGGGCTCCAGTGGCCACTGTGAGGAGAGGCTGCACCCGAGAGATAGCCGCGGGCCAGCAGCAGACAGAAGGCACCAGAAGGAGGGAGCCTGACCTGGGGGGAAGGAGGGTGGAGGCAGGGCTGCCCTCAGCGACCCGCTCGTGCCCCGCAGAGTTTAAGAAGTTCCTGCTGTACGCGCGCCAGATGGAGATCCGGGGGGTGGACCTGGACGCCCCCTACTACAACTACATCATCTCCTTCACGGTGCCCGACATCGACAACGTCACCGTGCTGGACTACGACGCCCGTGAGCAGCGCGTGTACTGGTCCGATGTGCGGACGCAGGCCATCAAGCGGGCCTTCATCAACGGCACGGGCGTGGAGACGGTCGTCTCTGCAGGTCTGTTCTGGCTGCAGACCCCCTACCCGTGGGCACGGGCACTCCCCTCCCAGCCCGGGTCCTCTTGGTCCTGACGATCCTTCTCCAAATGCTGTTCCCCTCGGTGCGCCAGCCCCAGTTCCTGACCCGCGTTCTCCAGAACCGCCCGGGCCCCCCTCCTGGGCCATGCCCTGCAGACGCCCAAACACCAACTCCCCGCTTGTGCCCCCAGACTTGCCAAACGCCCACGGGCTGGCTGTGGACTGGGTGTCCCGAAACCTGTTCTGGACGAGCTATGACACCAACAAGAAGCAGATCAACGTGGCCCGGCTCGACGGCTCCTTCAAGAACGCAGTGGTGCAGGGCCTGGAGCAGCCCCATGGCCTTGTCGTGCACCCCCTGCGTGGGTGGGTCCGGGGCCCGGGGCTGGGAAGCGTGGGTTGTGGGGCTGGGGAGAAGAGCACTCTGACACCCTCCTGGGCACCCTCCCCACAGGAAGCTCTACTGGACCGACGGTGACAACATCAGCATGGCCAACATGGACGGCAGCAACCGCACCCTGCTCTTCAGTGGCCAGAAGGGCCCTGTGGGTACGAGCTCGCCCCACCTGCCCCTCCCTAGCTCCTTGGCCAGGAGGTGCTCGCAGGGTCCCTCAGCTGCCCCTTGGCCTTGCCGGAGCTGGGGCTTCATGCCTCTTCTCACCACCCTCCCCCAAACCACACCCTCTCACGTACTCTGTTCCCCTTCCTGGAACCCCGTCACTGCTAGGTGCCAGGCGTCCTCGCAGTGACACCTCCTTCTTCCAGGCCTGGCTATTGACTTCCCTGAAAGCAAACTCTACTGGATAAGCTCCGGCAACCACACCATCAACCGCTGCAACCTGGACGGGAGTGGGCTGGAGATCATTGACGCCATGCGGAGCCAGCTGGGCAAGGCCACTGCCCTGGCCATCATGGGTGAGGCTGCTGGAGGAAGCAGAGAAACAGCAGAGCTGGCTGGACCAGCGGGGAGATGGGGCTGGCTGGGGTGGTCTCTCAGCCCACAGGGCAGGCCCGATGGCTCAGGGTCTAGGGGCCCTTTGGGAGAGCTGGGTGTGGGAGCTTCCCAAGGGTCTCATCCCCTCCTGCTGCCCCAGGGGACAAGCTGTGGTGGGCAGATCAGGTGTCGGAGAAGATGGGCACATGCTCCAAGGCTGACGGCTCAGGCTCCGTGGTCCTGCGAAACAGCACCACCCTGGTGATGCACATGAAGGTGTACGACGAGAGCATCCAGCTTGGTAGGTGGGGACCAGGGACAGGGCCTCCCGGGCTCCAAGGCAACGGGGATGGGTGGGAGAGAGGAGCAGGCTGCAGCAACGTGGACGAGTGGATGAGCAGGAATGAAAGCAATTTGGGTTCCATGCACCACCCACAAAGGCACATTATAGGCCCCCAGCAGGCCTGATCACAAGGCCCAAGGGAGGACAGAAGACCTGAGATTTGGGTTAGGGGGTGACACCCACCAGGTCCAGGTGAAGGCAGTGATCATCCTGTCCCTCAGTAGCCCAAGCCTGACTCTCAGGTCCCAAGGAGGGCTACCTAACCCTTTCTCTCTGCCTCCCACCCACCCCAAGACCATGAGGGCACCAACCCCTGCAGTGTCAACAATGGGGACTGCTCCCAGCTCTGCCTGCCCACATCAGAGACAACCCGCTCCTGCATGTGCACAGCCGGCTACAGCCTCCGGAGCGGCCAGCAGGCCTGCGAAGGTCAGTGCCTGGCCTCTCCTCCCCACCTCCGCCCTGGTCCCCAACCCCGACCCCTCCCACCCTACAGCCCTACCTTCCTTTTCTTGCCACGGGGACACGACTACATTCATCATGATGAAGCACCTTCTGGGTTAAATACTTAATAAGTCCCCACTGTGCTGGGTGGTGTGGGGGAGTCCAGGGGGGCAGAAGTCCCTGTCCATGTGCCTTGCAGGCTTAGCCAGAAGTTGGGGACAACATGTAGGGAAAACTGGACCGCAAAGTGCCTCTGGCTGTCCAGTGCCTGCCATAGGATTTTGGAGGATAGCTGTTAGTGGGCAGATGCTGCTGGAAGAGGTGTGCTGTGAGCTTGTTCTATGGCACAAGCAGGATTTGGCTGTGCGGCTCAACGAAGGGACTATGTGTGAGGCAGGGGGTGTCGCTTGAGCAAGGGTCCAGTGGAATAGGAGGGCGCTGCAGGGGGCCCTGAGCCCAGAGCCACTGTGGGCATGGGCAGGGTGTGGGGAAGCCCTGGAGATGCGGCTGTGAGGCAGGCTCAGCTCCAGGTTCTCAGCCAGGAGTGCCTAGAAAATGACCTTTGGGTAAGACTGCCTGGCAGTGGGGGAGGGAGAAACCGAGGCAGTTAAACCAGTTAGGAGGCTATCAGGAGTAATCCAAGTGTGCGGAGATGGGCCTGGGCTGGGCTTAGCAGCCAGGGTTGAAGAGAAGGATGAAACTCTGAGACATTTCACAAGAACTTGCTAACTGATTTACAAGCTTGCCCCGGGACAGCATTTCCCAAAGTGCACTCCTAGGAACCTCCCTCTTTGATGTGGGCAGATATTACAGAAAGAAACTCTGGGTTGAACAAAGTTTAAAAAGTTTAAAAGTGTTTCTGGCTGCAGAGCTTCTCAGAGCCTTGAATGTGCTCGTGTGCACTGAGAGTCTTTCAAGGGAGGACCTACCTGTGTGTGGGGTTTCCTCGAACTCACCTTACCTTTCATCCTTTGTTTCATGGATCCCAAGCAAGCAGGGCCCATGTGGGGGTTCATCTGGGACACGCTGCTTCATAGGGACAAAGGCAAGGGAGGATTCTGGGATGCGTGGATAGCGGAGCCTCATAAGAGGTGGGAAAGCCGGGAATGAGGCTGGCTTGGGAGTGGGGTGCCGGGAAGGTCGAGTTTTAGGTGTTGGCCAGAGGGTGTGGCACAGACCAGGGAGAGGGAGGGCAGAGAGCAAACTAAGGTCAGGCTGTGTGCCGAACTGGAAATCTAAATTTTGGAGTCACCCAGTCCTGACTGTCTTGTTTGAACCTGCCGAAGTTTCCCTAAGGAACCTGGTGGTGAGGGAGGAGGGCAGCGTGCAGGGAAGGAAACCTAGTCTCTGCTGCCCTCTCCTGGTGGTGAGGGGTCCTGCAGTGCCCCCCAGAGCTGTGGCTCTTCCCCCACCAGCCTCTCAGGCGAGGGTGTGTGTGTGTTGGGGGTGGGGGTGGTGGCTGGGGGAGGATCTCCAAGGAGAAGCAGAGAACAGCTTGAGGTGACAGGAGCCATGCTTAAAGGAGTGTCAGCGAGGCCTGTGCCTTAGATGTCCTGGTGTTTCAGGTGTGGGCTCCTTTCTCCTGTACTCTGTGCACGAGGGAATCCGGGGAATTCCTCTGGACCCCAACGACAAGTCAGATGCCCTGGTCCCGGTGTCGGGGACCTCGCTGGCCGTGGGCATCGACTTCCATGCTGGTAAGCCATCGGTGTCGGGGCAGTGGGCCGTGACCTAGGAGCTTTGGGGGTGGGTGCTCTGAGGGTCCAGTGAGACGCCGCCAGGCTGGCTTGAGGGGGGGCCTTGGTCACAGCTGCTCCCCTGCTCCCCTTCCAATCACCTGGCACCTCCAGCATGCACTCACCTCTACCCTGGCCCCTGCCTTGCTGGGCGTCCCATGTCGGCTCCTCCACTTCCAGAAAACGACACCATCTACTGGGTGGACATGGGTCTGAGCACCATCAGCCGGGCCAAGCGGGACCAGACATGGCGCGAGGATGTGGTGACCAACGGCATTGGCCGCGTGGAGGGCATCGCAGTGGACTGGATTGCCGGTGAGCGGCGGGAGGGCTTGTGGGGGCCTCAGGAGGAGACATAGAAGGAGAAGTAGGCAGGAGCCAATGGGGAGCTGCGGGGTGTCAGGGGCCTGCAGGGGCCAGGTGCATGCGCCCCCACCCAGGCTCCCTGAGCCCCACCAACTCCCTCCTCAGGCAACATCTACTGGACGGACCAGGGCTTCGATGTCATCGAGGTCGCCCGGCTCAATGGCTCTTTCCGCTACGTGGTCATCTCCCAGGGTCTGGACAAGCCCCGGGCCATCACTGTCCACCCGGAGAAGGGGTGAGGCACTGGGCGGGCTGGCTCAGCCACTCTGCGCTCAGCCCCCATACGAGGCCCTGTCTCCTCCAGGGCCTGGGCACTGACCCTCTACTTCCACCTCCACCCCCAGGTACTTGTTCTGGACCGAGTGGGGTCAGTACCCGAGGATCGAGCGGTCCCGGCTGGACGGCACGGATCGAGTGGTGCTGGTCAACGTCAGCATCAGCTGGCCCAATGGCATCTCGGTGGACTATCAGGTCTGGACTCACGCTTGGCTCTGGGGCCCTGGTAGACCCCTTGCCCCGCTCCCTGCTTGCCTTTGCGACCCCTGTGGTGAGCCCCCCTCAGTGGGAGGACATGGGGCCCGTGGGAGTCGTGGGCTCTCCTGGCCCAGCCCCCACCTGGAAAAGGACTCCCCAGAAGTGGGACAGCTCCTCAGCACGTCGGGCGCGGGAGGTCTGGACGAGGAGTGGGCGCGAAAGCGGAACCGAGGGCCGGGCTCTGGCAGCCCCCTCCCTGCTGCCCGGGCCGTGGGGGCTGGCAGGGAGCGTGGCAGTGAGGCGGTGCCTCTGGCCTGTAGGATGGGAAGCTGTACTGGTGCGACGCACGGACAGACAAGATCGAGCGGATTGACCTGGAGACGGGTGAGAACCGCGAGGTGGTTCTATCCAGCAACAACATGGACATGTTTTCGGTGTCTGTGTTTGAGGATTTCATCTACTGGAGTGACAGGTGAGAGCTTCTGCCCAGGCCTTCCCCTCATCCCACCCGTCCCTCCTCCTGGCCCCGTCCAGGCCCTGCTCATGCCCTTCCCCTTCCCCAGGACTCACGCCAACGGCTCCATCAAGCGAGGCAGCAAAGACAACGCCACAGACTCCGTGCCGCTGCGCACCGGCATCGGCGTGCAGCTTAAAGACATCAAAGTCTTCAACCGGGACCGGCAGAAAGGTGAGGCCGGGGCTCTGGGCTGGGGAGGAGAGGTGAGGGGGCACCCGGGTCCTGGAGTGCTCTCCCCAGGGAACCCAGAGTGGGGCGCCCAGGAGAGAAGTTAGACCCATGGGGCCCTTCCCAGTGGCCGGAGACACCCAGGGATGGGGAGGAGAGGCTGAGGAGTGCTGGGGCCTGGAGAGTCGTCTGAGCTGGGGAGACTGAGGCAGAGCAGGGTGCCTCGGCCTGGATGACAGACGCAGCAGTGAGCCTTTTCCCGAGGCAGGCAGTGCCCTCTGTAACCTCCCTCCCCCAGGCACCAACGTGTGTGCAGTGGCCAACGGTGGGTGCCAGCAGCTGTGCCTGTACCGGGGCGGCGGGCAGCGGGCCTGCGCCTGCGCCCATGGGATGCTGGCTGAAGACGGGGCGGCGTGCCGTGAGTACGCTGGGTACCTGCTCTACTCGGAACGCACCATCCTCAAGAGCATCCACTTGTCAGACGAGCGCAACCTCAACGCGCCCGTGCAGCCCTTCGAGGACCCCGAGCACATGAAGAATGTCATCGCTCTGGCCTTTGACTACCGGGGGGGCACCTCCCCAGGCACCCCCAATCGCATCTTCTTCAGCGACATCCACTTTGGGAACATCCAGCAGATCAACGATGACGGCTCCGGGAGGACCACCATTGTGGAGAGTGAGCCCAGGCCCCGGGTCTTCCTGGAAGGGCAGGGGGGGGCAGTGTGCGTGAGTGCAGCCCCGCAGCCCTCAGCCCCCCACCGCCCCCCCACCCCCCGCCGACCCCAGATCTGAATCCCACCGGCTGCAGAGTAGCCAGAAGGCACCACACCCAGTGCAGTTTCAGAAAGTTTCTGTGTCTCTGGAGTCAGAGTTGGCCCCCATTCCCCCCCACACTGGTCCGGGTTCTGTCTCCAGGCTGCACAGGCGAGCTGGGGGGCCCTGCATAGCCCGGCTGGCACACGCTGCATGGGCTGCGGGGACAGGGCTCAACTCCATCACTTAGGAGTTCAGTGACTTGGGCAAGTTCCTGCCTCTCACCAAGCCTGAGCTTTCTCGTCTGAGTCATGAGGCAGGATTCCCTGGGACGGTGCAGGGTCGCAGCGTGTGCTCCAAAAGAGCAGCTGCGGTGTCAGAGCGGTCATTGCAGGACAGCCTTTCAGCTCTTTGAAAACTGCTGTTTTGTCCCACTACGTTTTCTCTTCTTCAGGCTGGATGCCCCGAGGTCCTTTGACTCACTCGTTTGCTCATTTATTCATTCCACTGGTCCGTAAAGACCTGCCAGGCACTGAACTAGGTGCTGGGCATATACAGAGGTGACAAAAACTAGACCTGTCCTCCCACCTGCCCAGACGTTTTCCACTCTGCGTAGTCCAGTCCATGTGTCTGTATAAAATGTAGCGTCCAAAGCTAAACTCAATATTCTGTAGCCTTAGCTCTATCAGGAGAGGCTAGCAGAGAGTCCCCTGTCCCAGGCTGTTGTGCAGACTACAGCACAACGTCACCGTTTGTCAACCGCGTCGTCACGCAGGTTGGAGCCACTAACCCTCGAGTCTTTCCTCTTGCTCTGCTGTTCGGCTGTGTCTCTCATTGCGCCGTAGTTCTGTAACCTGAGTTTAAGATGTCTGCTTTAGGCCGGGCGCTGTGGCTCACGCCTGTAATCCTAGCTCTTGGGAGGCCGAGGCGGGCGGATTGCTCAAGGTCAGGAGTTCAAAACCAGCCTGAGCAAGAGCGAGACCCCGTCTCTACTATAAATAGAAAGAAATTAATTGGCCAACTGATATATACATAAAAAATTAGCCGGGCATGGTGGCGCATGCCTGTAGTCCCAGCTACTCGGGAGGCTGAGGCAGAAGGATCACTCAAGCCCAGGAGTTTGAGGTTGCTGTGAGCTAGGCTGACGCCATGGCACTCACTCTAGCCTGGGCAACAAAGTGAGACTCTGTCTCAAAAAAAAAAAAAAAAAAAAGATGTCTGCTTTATAACACAATCCAGCTCAGGGTGTCTCTAAGCAGGGAGCTCCCCAGTACAGGCCACGTAGGTTTGATTTGCTGAAATCCACATTGTGCCCAACTCAGCAGAACTCCAGCTCTGGAAAACTGTGACCACAACATGAAGCCAAATGACACAGGAGGGTTAGGGAGGGGACCGTGCATCATGCGGGTGGGCGATGGGGCAACACAGCGGGGCCTGGGGACACTGGAGGTCAGATCTAGGGGTTCCCAGGCCCTCTCTGTCACACCCTACACGTTCCCACGGCCCCCTGCTCCTCTGGCTCTGCTCCCCAGCCCCTCCCAACCCACGGCTGCTCCTGCCTCTTCACAGATGTGGGCTCCGTGGAAGGCCTGGCTTATCACCGTGACTGGGACACGCTGTACTGGACAAGCTACACGACATCCACCATCACCCGCCACACAGTGGACCAGACCCGGCTGGGGGCCTTCGAGCGTGAGACGGTCATCACCATGTCTGGAGACGACCACCCGCGGGCCTTCGTGCTGGACGAGTGCCAGAAGTGAGCCGCTGCCCTGGTGGGGGTGGGGAGTTGGTAGCGGAAACTGCCCCACACACACCCAGGTAGGGGTGCAGGAGAGGCAATCTCTGTCCCGAGCCCCACCTTTCCTTGCCATGTGACCTTGGGTGAGCTGCATGAGCTCGCTGTGTCCTCTTCTCTGATGCGAGTGTGCTGATATTTCAGGTGCCTGAACCCAGGGGAGGGTTGGGGCTGTGGGGGACGCCTCTGGCTTTGTGGTTGATTCATCCACCAGACAGCCACGTTGCAGGCAGAGAAGGGCCTCTCTGGCTCTGGGACTCGCTGAAGCCCAGTTGGGTGGGAGCCTCAGGCTGGATACATTCAAGCCACCCAGCTGTGGGAGCAGGGACTCAGTGATGCCTGGCACAGGGCTGTGCACCACAGAGGCAGTGGCCCGGCACAGGCCTGGAAGTGGAAAGACACGGAAGGGAAGCTCAAGGCAGGGCAGGACAGCAAGGGTACCTCCCACACCACAGGGCGGAGCAGGCCTGGGCATGGCCGGGAAGCCCGGGAGAACTCGGGAGGAAACGTCCAGGCTGGGGCTGCCCCCCAGGGCCCACCCACAGTCTCTCCTCTCCACAGGGGCAGCCCTGTGCCCGCTGCAAGGGCCTCTAGTGAACCACCCCCTCGCTTTAGCAACCCTGGCCCACGTATGAGAAACAGTTTTTTCCCCCTGATTCAGCAGCACTTGGAATGTTTTTAAAAAGCTTCACTAGGAAACTAAGGGACAAACAAAACCCAAAAGCAACTGCATAGAAACGGTGAGTGTACTAAACCCAGACTCCTTGCCCTGATGTAAATCAAGTCCAGCCCCGGCCCAGCCTGCCTGGCACAGCCAACCCAGCACAAGGGCCCTCTGTTCCCTCCTCCCTCGGCCGTCTGGCACGGACGCAGCTGATGACGGAGATCCAGTCTTCCCTGCCGTGACTCTTGGTGACCTCACCTGTCTGGGACTGGTTCCTCAGGGGCCTGGAGCCTCCATGGAGGGGCTGTCACCCGGCTCCCCTGCCTGCCTCCCAGCCATCCCAGAGGAAGCCCCCATGGTTTCCACCAAGTTCCTTTCATCTGAGCCCAGGGGCTCTGTCATTCATTCAGCAAGTGGCTTTGGGAACAATGATGCGTGAGGATCCGGTGGAGAATGGAGGGACGTGGGCTCTGCCTCGGGCATATCTGAGTCACTCACGCTGGGGCTGCAGGGAGCCTCGTGACTGTGCCAAGGACCTGCTCCAGCCTGGAGGTCAGGAACGTGTCCTCAAGGAGGCGGCGTGTGAGCAGCATCCAAGGACGACGGGAGTGGGCTGAGCAGCAGCCGGCTCCGCGCCCAGGGAGAGAGCTCAGCTGTCAGGAGCGGCCTCCCTTGGCCAGAAGAAGCGGCACTTTGGGGTGTTGCAAGGAGCCAGTGAAGACCCAGACGGAGGGGCAGGGGTGAATGGAGGCTCTGGTGGCCCAGCCTCCTCCAGAGCCCACCCTGAAGCTGGCACAGGGGCACTGGTGGCCCCGGGGAGCTCACAGTCAGACATTTAGAAAGTCCACAGAGTCCTGGCCGCTGCCCACCTGCCCCCAGGAAAGCCTCTCTCCTCCCTCCCACCATCCGGGGAGCAATTGTACCAAATCCACAATTGCATCACACATAATCCTTCCATACTCGAGAGTTTGTTGACGACAGGAGGAAAGTCACTGTGAGTGTGGGCAAGGCTTGACCCAAGGATGCTGAAGTCCCCGGTGGGGACCGACAAATCAAGCCCAGTCCTGACAAGTCAAGGAAAGTGACAGGCCACTGCCCTGGGACACCCGTCCTCTCTTACGGAAGCCTCTCTCCAAGCTGGCGTCCTGATTCCAGAGCCATAAGGAGCCCCTGCCCGCTCTAGGGTGAAGCCTTTCAATTCAGAGCCTTATCCTCGTGAGCTCCCCAAGGCTCGGGAGCAGCGGCGTCTTCCTAAGGGGCGAGAGGCGTCATTCTCCTGCGAGAGGCTAGCAGGAGGCAGTGGTTCAACCTTCGACCGTGACAGAGACACTGGGCCAGGGCGGGGCGGGAGCAGTGAGCAGCGTGAGACCTACAGAGGTTTGAGGAGAGGAGCTCACAGCTGGAGGACAGGTCCCTGGCCAGGACGGCAAAGGGGTGGAGCAGGCGGGAGGCAAAGGCATTGGGGTGGGGCAGGGGTGGGTGCCATTAGAGGACTAGGGGTGGAACTGGCTCTTATGTCGCTCAGTGGTTCTCAAACTCCAGTGTGCATAAGAATCACCCAGGGAGCGTGGGCACGTGCTGGTCTGTCCCTGAGAGTCTCTAAGGTCTTCCACGGCCCTCTCTCCAGCCCCACCCCCACCTCGAGAGGAGCACGGTGCGATTGGTGGCTATTCCCATCACCTCCTTTGCTGAGGGGAAGCTGAGGCTCAGGGGGCCGAGAGGCTCATTGGAGGTCAGAGCCAGGGCAAACAGAGCTGGGGCTCCAACCCCAAATGTGCAAAGGCCTTAAATCATGAAGAGGCTGATTCTCAAGAACTCCTTGAGGGTAGGATCCACGTGTCCCCAAGACCTAGGACACACCCCACACTCAACAAGGGTTTCCTGCGTGGTCTGGAAAAGAGCCAGCGTCACTGCAGAGAAGAGAGCAGTTAAGGAGAAAACCGTGGAAGATACGCAGTGTGTGCCATCTGTCGTTACGATGGGATCAAATTCTTCAGTTCTCCCAACTGCTCTGTGAGGCAGGTGGTGTTACTATCCCCACTTCATAGAGGAGGAAACTGAGGCACGAGGCAGTTGTTGCCTCAGGGCACCCAGCTGGCAAGTGGTGGGGCCAGGGTTGGAACCCCAGAGCTGGCCTCACTTGGCCACACTGTCTCTCGTCTCAGCAAACACAGGTGGGCATTTCACAGACACGCAGTGTGCGTGTGCACACACACGGCACACGCAGAGTGAGACGCGGCCATGCGGTGCGTGAGTCGTCTGCGCAGCAGCCGGGCCCTTCCTGGGCACCTGGCTGTGCTGGGCTGCAGGTGCCTGCACGTGCTGCCTGTGCCCTCTGTGGCCGCCTCTCTGGCTTTGCATCCTGACCCCCGTGCCCTCTCCCTAAGCCTGATGTTCTGGACCAACTGGAATGAGCAGCACCCCAGCATCATGCGCGCGGCCCTGTCCGGAGCCAACGTCCTCACGCTCATCGAGAAGGACATCCGCACCCCCAACGGCCTGGCCATCGACCACCGCGCAGAGAAGCTCTACTTCTCCGACGCCACCCTGGACAAGATCGAGCGGTGCGAGTATGACGGCTCCCACCGCTATGTGAGTCGCGGGCGGGCTGGCAAGCGGGCAGCAGGAGGGGCCATGGGGCCATGGGACGGCCCGTCTGCCCGAGCACAGAGTGGGCGGGGAGTCTCGGGGCAGGTGGGCAGGCACAGGGAGTCCTATCAAGGCCCAGGCCTTGGGTGGCCCCACCCTGTCTGGCCTGGTGTCCTCATTGGTTAGGCGAGGGAGGTGGCAAGATGCCTGCGGGTCTTTGTCATCCTGTGACTGTTGGCCCAGGCCCCTCAGCCCTGCAGCCAGCTGCAGTCAGACGGAGTCAGGGTGAGAGGCCTGAGTGACACCAAGATGGTGATGGTGCCGTCCCCACAGGTGATCCTGAAGTCGGAGCCTGTTCACCCCTTCGGGCTGGCTGTGTATGGGGAGCACATCTTCTGGACCGACTGGGTGCGGCGGGCAGTGCAGCGGGCCAACAAGTACGTGGGCAGCGACATGAAGCTGCTACGCGTGGACATCCCCCAGCAGCCCATGGGCATCATTGCTGTGGCCAAGGACACCAACAGCTGTGAGTGGGGCCACTGCCACCAGCCCTGCCCTGCCCTGCTGCCCTTGCTCCCACACACAGGCACATGCACACTTCAGCCGGATCCTGCTTTCCGCGTCTCCACTGCACGCACGCCTGTACCCACCCTTGTCCCTAAGAAACGGCAAAACACCCAACACTCCTCTGCTCAGCTCCCCCAAGACCACGGTGCACACACACACAGCCTCTGCACATGCCTAGGCCAGATCACTCACACACGCTTTGCTATCACCCAGCCTCCCCCCGGCCCCCAGGGCTCATCCACAGCTGTGGACACCCCCGCCGCTTGCCCTGGTCATTCCCCTCACCTGGGGCCACACGTACATCCCAGAGCCTGAACACACAGCATGCCAGGCTCTGCCCACACCCGCCCTCAGCGTGCAGGAGTGCACACCCACGCCACGCTAGGCTGGCTGACCCGCCTGCCCCTCACAGACCTGCAGCTTTCGTAGGTCTGTCACACACGCCCCGGGGCCCACCACACACATGATCTCAAGGCCTTGCATCAGAATCTCCCACAGTGCCCCGCCTAAGAGTACACACATCCTCGACCTCACACCACCCTCAAACACCCCACACCTGCCCTCCCTCAGCGGCCCTGCCCCACACCCTCCCCACTGGCCACCGCTGTGGCTGTGCCTGTTGTCACAGTGCAGGGGCCGTGACACTCCGTGATGCTGTGTGGGCAGGTGGGGTGCTTTGCATGTGCAGAGAGTGCTCTTTAGCCCCGGGGTTGCTCTGTCCTGCTCAGGTGAACTCTCCCCTTGCCGAATCAACAACGGGGGCTGCCAGGACCTGTGTCTGCTCACTCACCAAGGCCACGTCAACTGCTCGTGCCGCGGGGGGCGAATCCTCCAGGAGGACCTCACCTGCCGGGGTGAGTGGCGGCAGAGGGCCTGGCAGGGGACCCAGGCACATGCTGGGGATCATTTCCTCCCATGTTCTCCAGCCTGATCCCCCAAAGCCTTTTGCCAGGGAGAAGCTGGTGTGACCTCAGCTCCTGGGGGGAGGAGGGTATGGGCGCTCCGGCTGGGGCCCTGGCTCACAGAGCTCCCCCACGGCTCTCCCCAGCGGTGAACTCCTCTTGTCGTGCACAAGACGAGTTTGAGTGTGCCAACGGCGAGTGCATCAACTTCAGCCTGACGTGTGACGGCGTCTCCCACTGCAAAGACAAGTCCGATGAGAAGCCGTCCTACTGCAGTAAGGAGCCAGCTCCAGCCCTGCCTCTTGCAGCCACAGAGTCTGTGTCCTTCCCCACACCCCCCCTCCCCGACCCCAGGCCCTCTGTCACCAGCCTCAGCCCGTGCAGGGTGGGGCGTGAGCATGCCCCAGCTCCCTGGCCTGCGGAGGGGTTGGGGAGCTCGTGAAGGGCAGAGCCACCGTTAGCCTGTTCCACGCCCGCTGGGGGTACTGGACACACAACATGTCATCCAAGGCAGCCCCTTCCCCGTGCCTGTGACTGACTCTCGTCCTGCTCCCTCTCTGCAGACACTCGCCGCTGCAAGAAGACTTTCCGCCAGTGCAACAACGGACGCTGCGTGTCCAACATGCTCTGGTGCAACGGGGCAGATGACTGTGGGGATGGCTCCGACGAGATCCCCTGCAACAGTGAGTGGACACTCGGCATCGACCAGCTCCTCTGCCCCACCTCACCCTGGCTGAGCCCTTGTCCACGGGCCCCACGGCATTGGGTTCAGGGCACTCTGTGATGGGCCTGGGTGGGTGCTTTGGGCCGGGAGCTCTGTCCTGCCCATCCTGCCCCTACAGAGAGGACTCTGGCCTGACGGGACGGGGTGGGTGCTGTTCTAGAGACGGCCTGTGGTGTGGGTGAATTCCGCTGCCGGGACGGGACCTGCATCGGGAACTCCAGCCGATGCAACCAGTTTGTGGATTGTGAGGACGCCTCAGATGAGATGAACTGCAGTGAGTGACAGCCCCTCGCTGTGCCTCCTGGGCTCCCCACCTGTCTCTGTCCCTGCCCCTCCTCTCGGCCCTCCCTCCAGCCCCACACGCAGGCTCCATATCCCCACAGCCCTGTCCCTGTCCTGCTCCTGGGCTCCCCTGGGAGTGGACAGTGTGAATGGTGCCCCACCCGAAGGGCACAGTCCACTTTCTGAAGCACACAGAGGTGCCATAGGGCTGGCAGCTGCCCCAGGGGTATTTTGGAAGAAACCAGGCATCACCCTCACCCCTTCCCTGCCAGGTGCCACTGACTGCAGCAGCTACTTCCGCCTGGGCGTGAAGGGTGTGCTCTTCCAGCCCTGCGAGCGCACCTCCCTCTGCTACGCTCCCAGCTGGGTGTGCGACGGTGCCAACGACTGCGGGGACTACAGTGACGAGCGAGACTGCCCAGGTGGGCCTCGGGCAGGTGTGCGGTGGGTAGGTGGCGGCTGAGATGAGCAGGGCCCTCACACCTGCCTTGCCCCCAGGTGTGAAGCGCCCCAGATGCCCCCTGAATTACTTCGCCTGCCCCAGCGGGCGCTGCATCCCCATGAGCTGGACGTGTGACAAGGAGGACGACTGTGAGCACGGCGAGGACGAGACCCACTGCAGTGAGTGGCCACAGCGCCCTCTCACCTGAGCACTAAGACCCTGCCCGTCACTCCTCGAAAGGGCACCCAGGCCCTTTGCCCCATGTCCCCACCCCTGACTCCAGGCTCAGAAGTGGAACCTGTCCCTAGTTCCAGCTGAGCCCCCGCAGAGGGGTCCCATGGGCACCTCCCCGTCCTCCCATGGCATCGGCCTGCCCAGCTGGGTGACCTGCCACCCCTCCCCCTCTAACTATGGCTTCCAACTGCCCCAGACAAGTTCTGCTCGGAGGCCCAGTTTGAGTGCCAGAACCATCGCTGCATCTCCAAGCAGTGGCTGTGTGACGGCAGCGATGACTGCGGGGACGGCTCAGATGAGGCTGCTCACTGTGGTGAGAGGACTGGGATGGTGCCAGGGAGGTGACACACTCCTGCAAGGAGCCAGCACAGCAGGGAGGCTGCCCAGCCTGCCCAGCCTGCCCTGCCTGCCCCTGAATCTTGGTGGCCCCTTCCTCCCCCACAGAAGGCAAGACGTGCGGCCCCTCCTCCTTCTCCTGCCCTGGCACCCACGTGTGCGTCCCCGAGCGCTGGCTCTGCGACGGGGACAAGGACTGTGCTGACGGCGCTGATGAGAGCATCGCAGCTGGCTGCCGTGAGTGGCGGGGCCCGAGGAGTGGGCAGCCAGCCCGTGGCCAGGCCCACTAAGGGGGGAAGCTGCCTCAGTGGGGCTCCCAAGCCGGTCAGTGGCAGAGCCGTTGCGGCAGCCCAGGAGCCCAGACTCCTGTCCAGTGCTCTGCCTGCTCCGCCACTCGGCCCACAGGAGGCTCGGGGCTGGGGACAGTCAGCAGCGGGTCTGGCAGGGGCTGGGGCAGGCAGGTTAAGGGCCGCATCCACCCCCGTCCACAGTGTACAACAGCACCTGTGACGACCGGGAGTTCATGTGCCAGAACCGCCAGTGCATCCCCAAGCATTTCGTGTGCGACCACGACCGCGACTGCGCCGACGGCTCCGACGAGTCCCCCGAGTGTGGTGAGCCCCGGCTGTGGTGGGGCAGGCCCTGACCTTGGCTGTGCCTGGGCGTCAGCCTCACCTTCCCCCTCCTCCCCAGAGTACCCGACCTGCGGCCCCAACGAGTTCCGCTGCGCCAACGGGCGCTGCCTGAGCTCTCGACAGTGGGAGTGCGACGGCGAGAACGACTGCCATGACCAGAGCGATGAGGCTCCCAAGAACCCACACTGCACCAGCCCAGGTGGGCCTCGGCCCGGCTGCCCCCTCCCCCCAGACTGCCCAGCCCCCGCTGACCTGCCGCCCTGCCCTCCCCAGAGCACAAGTGCAACGCCTCCTCGCAGTTCCTGTGCAGCAGCGGGCGCTGCGTGGCCGAGGCGCTGCTCTGCAATGGCCAGGACGACTGCGGCGACGGCTCGGACGAGCGCGGCTGCCACGTCAACGAGTGCCTCAGCCGCAAGCTCAGTGGCTGCAGCCAGGACTGCGAAGACCTCAAGATCGGCTTCAAGGTATGCCCAGCCCCGGAGAGAGAGCGTCCACACTCCTGGCCTGGCCAGAGCTCCCTTCTCCACTGCCTCACTCATTCCTGCATTCATTCATCCAACACGCGTTTACTGAGCACCTACTCTGTGCCAGGCGTGTCCTAGGCACTGGGGACACAGCAGTGAACAAGACAGAAATCTCTGCTTGGCTGGGTTCTTCATCTGCCGGGGAAGTAGAGCCGTAGAGCCAGCAGGATTTGAGGGAGAGAGGAGTGAGATGTCAAGCAGGCCACAGATACACAGGCCTGGAGTTCAAGAGACAGGTCCCGACTGGAGAGAGAAATCTGGGAGTTATCACCATAGAGATGCTATTTAAATCCAGAGCCTGGGTGTGATTCCCAAGGGAATGAGTGTCCTTGGGAAAAGGAGGAGGTCCAGGGCCTGAGCCCCTTGCTGGGCAACAGCGGGGGCAGGGAGGGAGGACGGCCAGCAGAGAAGTCTGAGAAGGAGCCACTGCTGAGGCTGAGATGGCCACGTGACGAAGGCGTTTCTCCGGGAGAGCGTGGGTAGCTCTGCCAGGCGCCACTCCCAGGGCACGGGGGTGGGGGGCCTGGGCACCAGACTCTGGGTGCAGAAAACGTGCGAACTCTGCAACCTCCCACACCCGGTTCCTGTGGGGTGAGGGCCATGCTGCCAGCTGGGTGGGCTCAGTACCCATGTGCCCCGCATCCCCTGGCAAGGCGGGCTGGAGGGAATCGGAGGCTGAGAGGGCCTCTGGCCCGGGTCTCCAGGGTGGGAGGCCCAGTCCCCTGCCACGTGCCCAGCCAAGTCGCCCTGTGCCCGCAGTGCCGCTGTCGCCCTGGCTTCCGGCTGAAGGACGACGGCCGGACGTGTGCCGATGTGGACGAGTGCAGCACCACCTTCCCCTGCAGCCAGCGCTGTGTCAACACCCACGGCGGCTACAAGTGTCTGTGTGTGGAGGGCTATGCCCCCCGCGGTGGCGACCCCCACAGCTGCAAAGCTGTGACTGGTGAGACGGGAGCCCAGAGGGTGTGAGGTGGCCCCGGGCAGCTGGGGGCTCTGGCGGGAGGGCTGGGTAGCAGGGCTGCTGGAGTGTGCCCCAGCCAGGAGCTGAGCCAGGCTCCCCTGTCTCCAGACGAGGAGCCGTTCCTGATTTTCGCCAACCGCTACTACCTGCGCAAGCTCAACCTGGATGGCTCCAACTACACGTTGCTTAAGCAGGTGCCAAAGCTGGGCCCTCCTCCACCCTGCCCGTCTCCCCCGCCCGGTACAGCCTCACCCCATTCCCCCACGTGGGCCGTGGTTGTCACCCCTACTGCTTCTCCAGCCACCCCTCCCCCGGCTGCAGATGTGACTCCTGCTGCCACAGCAGGCTTCTCCCCTCCCCCACTCCCCAAACCAGGGCCTGAACAATGCCGTTGCCTTGGACTTTGACTACCGGGAGCAGATGATTTATTGGACGGATGTGACAACCCAGGGCAGCATGATCCGGAGGATGCACCTCAATGGCAGCAATGTGCAGGTGAGGCAGGCGGGGCCTCCAAACTGTCTCTGCTTTCAGGTCATCTCCCCACCTTCCTGCCAAAGTCATTTCCTTCTCTGCCCAGAGTCACTACATGATTCTGCTTGTCCTGGCTTCTCTCCCCTCCATGCCCAGAGAGCAGAGAGGCCCGGGATTCGTCTGGCTCTTCCCCTCTCTGCCAGCCCCAGGTCTCCCTCGTTACCAGGAAGTTCCCCCGAATGTCTAACCTCCCTCAAACATGTGCTCCCAGGCCCTGGAGAGGGAGCTCTGCCCTGTTTCTATCCATGGGGAGGCCGAGGGGCCTTCCCCAGCTCACCAGGGCTCCTCTCCATGCTCCTGCCTGCAGGTGCTGCACCGGACAGGCCTCAGCAACCCTGACGGGCTGGCTGTGGACTGGGTGGGCGGCAACCTGTACTGGTGCGACAAAGGCCGGGACACCATCGAAGTGTCCAAGCTCAATGGGGCCTATCGGACAGTGCTGGTCAGCTCTGGCCTCCGTGAGCCCAGGGCGCTGGTGGTGGACGTGCAGAACGGGTATGTGGGCGAGGAGGGTTGGGGACTCTGAAAGCAGGTGGTAGCCCCAGGCATCCAGGCCCCACATAGGGCTCATTGCCCACCCCCTGCCAGGTACCTGTACTGGACAGACTGGGGCGACCACTCACTGATAGGCCGGATCGGCATGGATGGGTCCAGCCGCAGCGTCATCGTGGACACCAAGATCACGTGGCCCAATGGGCTGACACTGGACTACGTCACCGAGCGCATCTACTGGGCCGACGCAAGAGAGGACTACATTGAGTTTGCCAGCCTGGACGGCTCCAATCGCCACGTCGGTCAGTGTGCCCGTGAGGCAGCCCAGCGCGGCAGACCCCATGGGATGGGCGCCTGAGCGACGGGGGATCGGTGTTTGGGGCAAGAGTGCCCATAATAGCCAGGGGACATGGTCCCAGAGCACCACCCAGCAGGGCCTGGGGGCTCAGAGCACCCCAGGGTGCTCCCCTGGACCGGCCACCACCCAGCTCCCTGGGGAAGGAGGGCGAGGGGGTCCTTCCCATGTACAGTTCTGGATGACAGCCCCTAGGAAGGTGGGAGTGGGAGGCCCGGGGCTGGGGAACTGCAGCACCCCTGCCCTGATGGGAACCAGCTGCTGATGTAGAGCAGGAACTTGCTGTCACAGTCTGGGTCTGGACTCCAGCTCTGCCACTTGCTGGCTTTGCGACCCTGGGAAGCCACCAAGCCACGGGCTCACGACCACCTCGTGGTTGTGGTGTGGGCTGAGGCCGAGCAGGCGGGGCACCAGCCGCACTCAGCGCTGACTGGCGCTCTGCTGCCCCGGCCCTCAGTGCTGAGCCAGGACATCCCGCACATCTTCGCGCTCACCCTGTTTGAGGACTACGTCTACTGGACTGACTGGGAGACAAAGTCCATCAACCGAGCCCACAAGACCACGGGCGCCAACAAAACACTCCTCATCAGCACCCTACACCGGCCCATGGACCTGCACGTCTTCCACGCTCTGCGCCAGCCAGACGGTAAGCAGCAAGGGCTCGAGCAAGGTTCCCTGGGGTGGCGGGGACCCAGCAGGGGTTCCTGCTCATCCCCTCTCCGGCATGGATTGAGCACTCTTTGCCAAACTCTGGAAGATTCCAGGAGGGCGTAAACAGAGTATGGTCCAGCTCTGAGGACTGGGTCCAGCCCTGGGGTCTTGCAGCAGCGAGCCCTGAGCCAGCAAATCTTCAGTAGGGGAGGGCGCGTCTGGGTGCAGGCGACCCACGGGCTGGCAGGAAAGCCAGCTTGGCGAGGGCAGGAGAGCTGAGCCTGGGACCCTGAGAGAGTCTGCTCCTGTCTCTGGCTTCAGCTCCCACCTGAAAGAGGCAGGATTTAGATCCACCCACCTCCGCCCAGGATAGCGTGAGCTAGGCAGCCTTGGTAAGACCAGAAAACGTGTCACCAGCAAGCACTGACCTCACTCTGCCAGCAGCCACAGGTCTGGGGAGCAGTGGTCCATAAACTGGACCCAGCTGGCCGCCCTTTAACCACCTTTCTCTGGCAGTGCCCAATCACCCCTGCAAGGTCAACAATGGTGGCTGCAGCAACCTGTGCCTGCTGTCCCCTGGGGGGGGCCACAAATGTGCCTGCCCCACCAACTTCTACCTGGGTGGCGATGGGCGCACCTGTGTGTCCAACTGCACAGCAAGCCAGGTGAGGTTCTTCCTCTAGACGCACCCCACCAATGCCCGTTACCCTGAGCCCTACACCAGCACACCCAACCCTCTTGGATCCCAACACCTACTCTGATGTCCTCATGCATCTGGTTTTCCCACGCTAACACTCCCACATTTCTTACCTACCTCTTGTCTCCCCACAGCAATACTTTTACACCTGTCACCTCACACAAACACCTCCACCACCTACCTTGACCCTCCTCACCGAGTCCCTGGCACTGACCTACACACACTCCCCCCGCACCTGACCTTCCTGCACTCGTCATACCCCAACCCGCTGGCCAGCTCAACCTCCCCCCGGAAAGACCCTGACCCCGCCACTCCTTTGGAACATCCCAGCCCCTCAAAAGAAAAACTTCTGAGTTTCCCAGACCCCCACCAACCCCTCTCGCCCCCACCTGCCCTCCAGTTTGTGTGCAAGAACGACAAGTGCATCCCCTTCTGGTGGAAGTGTGACACTGAAGACGACTGTGGGGACCACTCGGATGAGCCCCCAGACTGTCGTGAGTGCCCAGGGCAGGGTGGCAGGACAGTCCTCAGGCTACTGTGCCCCTCAAGGGGGCCTGGTCACACCCACCCAGCCCTTCTGAGGCTGAACCTTCCTCCCGGCAGCTGAGTTCAAATGCCGCCCAGGACAGTTCCAGTGCTCCACAGGCATCTGCACAAACCCTGCCTTCATCTGTGACGGGGACAATGACTGCCAGGACAACAGTGATGAGGCCAATTGTGGTAAAGGGCTGCCCAGTTACCACTGTTCTCCTTCCCCTACTTTCTTCCCTCCCAAGAATTTGGGGGTTTCAGGGGCAAGGAAGCTGCAGCCAACAGTAGTTTCCCTCTGGGCTGGATTCCTGCTGCCCGAAGCCCTGAGCCTGCACTGTCCCCGCTGAGGGAGTGGGTGCCTCCTCCCCGCCCCGAGCGCTCTGTCCGCCACTGGTTACCCCTCCTCCCCAACAGACATCCACGTCTGCCTGCCCAGTCAGTTCAAGTGCACCAACACCAACCGCTGCATTCCCGGCATCTTCCGCTGCAACGGGCAGGACAACTGCGGAGACGGGGAGGACGAGCGAGACTGCCGTGAGTGCTGAGGGCAGGCGAGGCGAGTGGTGGGTGACAGCACAGTTGACATGAGCCTCCCCACCCCTTCTAGGGGCTCTCAAGTAACCGTATTAGATGGGCAACATAGATCAATCGGGCGGAACATGGTGTGCTCTACAGTCATCACTCATGGTGTAGAGCTATGTAGATCCAGAAAACAAAAAGCACCAAAATTGGAGATAAACTGTTCCTTCTTCCCGAGAAATTGCTGGCAAGCCCAGGGCCAGGGTTTGAAAGAGGGAGAAGACAGTGATCTTGAACTGAGATGGCAGGTGTAAGGGAGGGTCCTCCTTCTCTCGCTCACCCTGCAGCCGAGGTGACCTGCGCCCCCAACCAGTTCCAGTGCTCCATCACCAAGCGCTGCATCCCCCGAGTCTGGGTCTGTGACCGGGACAACGACTGTGTGGACGGCAGTGATGAGCCCGCTAATTGCAGTGAGTCGCCCGGTGCCCCTGGAGCCCACCCTCCCTGCAGTGTCTGCTGCTCCCACCCACTCCCCGCTCTGGGAGCACTCCTGGAAGGAGCCTCACCCTTGCCCCGGCCCCACCCCTTTGCAGCCCAGATGACCTGCGGAGTGGACGAGTTCCGCTGCAAGGACTCGGGCCGCTGCATCCCGGCACGCTGGAAGTGTGACGGAGAGGATGACTGTGGGGACGGCTCAGATGAGCCTAAGGAAGAGTGCGGTGAGCCCAACCCCCGCTCCAGGAGGAAGTCAGGCTGGGGGGGAGGGGCAAAGGTGTGGGGCCACCTACTGACTAGGTCACAGCATGGCCCTGGTGCCAGGCTTCCTGTCACAGGGAGCCTGACACTGGCAGGAGCTCACTGTCCCACGCCCACCGTGCCCACCACCTCCTAATGCCCCTGTCTATGCCCCACGCATGCTGCCTGGCTGCCGGGAGCGGACCCTTCTCTGGCTGGGATGCCCCCCACCACCTGGCCATCCTGACCACACCTGCCTGAGACCCTCACATCTGCCCCCCCCGGCCTGTCCCTGACTGCCCCCAATCTTGCCTCCCCTAGACGAGCGCACCTGCGAGCCATACCAGTTCCGCTGCAAGAACAACCGCTGTGTGCCAGGCCGCTGGCAGTGCGACTACGACAACGACTGCGGGGACAACTCTGACGAGGAGAGCTGCAGTATGTCCCTGCCCAGCCCAGCCTAGCGCGAGCCTTCCCCAGGCCTCAGGCCCCCTTTTCAGCAGCCTTGCCCCTCCTGCCACCGGGCTGTGCTAGAGCAGGTGGCCGCCTCCTTCCTCACCCCACCCCACTCCATGTTGTGTATTTGAGTTTGTGCCATTTCACCTCATCTCATGTTTCTCTCCATTTTCACACTGTCCTCCTGGGGTTGCAGAGGTAGGTGTCTCTGACGTGCCCGTGTTCCTGCCACACCCTGCCTCTGCCCCAGAGCCCCCGTCCCTGTGCTGTGTCTCTGCCCATCGTCCCTTACTGGCCTCGCCCCAAACCCTGGTGCTTGTCTTAGTAGTCCTCCCCCTCCCTTCCTTCCCCATACACAGTCTGTCCTGAGGGCAAGGCCAGGGACCTGTGCCCTCCCTCTGTGTCTGTCCCCAGTGGGGTAAGTGTGAGCACCCTCTGTGCCCGGCTGCTCCCATGAGGACAGCAAGTTGGTTCTGCCCAGGATTGGTTGAGCATCTTGGTCATTATGCCTGACAGATGTGGCCTTCAGGGACACAGGGTAGAGCCTTGGGCTCAGGAGTTTTACTCTGCCAGGGGCTGGAGATGTTCCAAGGGCTGAGTCCCTGTGCCCACCCTCCTGGGCCTGTCTCTCCCCTGTCCTTCCCCAGCCCCTCGGCCCTGCTCTGAGAGTGAGTTCTCCTGTGCCAATGGCCGCTGCATCGCTGGGCGCTGGAAATGCGACGGGGACCACGACTGTGCAGACGGCTCAGATGAGGTGGGCAGAGACCAGAAGGAAGGAGGGATGATGGCCCCAGAAGGCAGAGCTCCAGGGGTGTCTAGAGCTGACCAGGCCGCTGCTCCCATGCCCACAGAAAGACTGTACCCCCCGCTGTGACATGGACCAGTTCCAGTGCAAGAGTGGTCACTGCATCCCCCTGCGCTGGCGCTGTGACGCAGATGCCGACTGCATGGACGGCAGTGACGAGGAAGCCTGTGGCACTGGCGGTGAGCCCCTCCGGCTTGGCCTCCACAGACCCTACCACTGTCCCCCCAACCCATCATGTGGCCAGTTACTCGCTCACTCTCTCTTTCCTGTATTCATTCTTAATGCAACAAATACTTACTGAGCATTTACCATATGCCAGGCACCGTCATAGGTGTTGGGGATGTAGCAATAAACAGGACATGGGGCCCCAGGTACACATTTTTGTGCAGGCTGTCCCTAGTACAATGACACCTAGTCAAGGGGCCAAAATCCATCAGGAACCTATGGGCTGGCTAGGCTCTGCCCCACCAGTTTCTACTAGGCACTTGGCTGCCCCCAGAAGCAAAGTCCTGCTCACTCTCGTTTCCTGGTGCAGTGAGACAGTGCTCGCCTCTGGCTGGCCTGCCTGGGCTCGGGAGCCCAGAGTGGGCAGTGTGAAGCTTGGGGCTTGTAGCAGGGTCCCCAACTGTGAGGGCAAACATCTGGCTCTATCCTGGTGGGCGAGGCCTCCCACTCCCAGCCCAGTGCTGCTCCTCGCTATCTGCCATGGAACGGCACTGTCCCATGCCCTCTGACCCTCTGAGCCTCAGACCCCCACCTGTGGAGGGAGGGGTGCACCTGGGCTAGCTCCCGCCCAGCAGCCTGCGGCTGGTGGCTCAATCTTCGCTCTGTGCTCTCCCTGGCACCCAGTGCGGACCTGCCCCCTGGACGAGTTCCAGTGCAACAACACCTTGTGCAAGCCGCTGGCTTGGAAGTGCGACGGAGAGGATGACTGCGGAGACAACTCAGACGAGAACCCGGAGGAGTGCTGTGAGATTTGGGGCGCAGGCGTAGGGGCGGGGCTCCAGGTGGGCGGGGCTCCAGGGGTGGGGCTCCCGGGCCTTCCCGCAGTGGGCAGCCTCCCCCCAAAACCGGAGGATTCATTCTGGCTGTGTCGTCCCTGGCCGGCAGCCCGGTTCATGTGCCCTCCCAACCGGCCCTTCCGTTGTAAGAACGACCGCGTCTGCCTGTGGATCGGGCGCCAGTGTGACGGCACGGACCACTGCGGGGATGGGACTGATGAGGAGGACTGTGGTGAGCAGGGGGCCAGCGATGGGGGTTGCCGAGTGCGTGCTGCACAGGGGGTGAGCGTGGGCCTGCATCTGGGAGCTGCATCGGGGAGGCGACTCACCTGGGAAGGGGAGGAGCCATTGCTGGGAGCCTGAGGGCCCTTCCTGGGAGAGAGAAGCCCTTGGGGTAGATTCCAGAGGCTTCCTGATGCTCTAGGTCTTGGAGGTGGGGCTGGTAACCTGAATGTCTAACCAGCTCCCCCTGCAAGCTTGACCAACAGCCAGGAATTGGGACTCACTGGTATCCATGGGGTCCCTGTGGGGGGGGGGGGCACGGGTGAATACCCAGGGCCTGAAGCCCCCACTTTCCTCAGAGCCCCCCACGGCCCAGACCCCCCACTGCAAAGACAAGAAGGAGTTTCTGTGCCGGAACCAGCACTGCCTGTCCTCCTCACTGCGCTGCAACATGTTCGATGACTGCGGGGACGGCTCTGACGAGGAGGACTGCAGCATCGGTAAGACCAGCAGGCTGGCGGGGCGCTGGGAGGGGCACAGCACCGAGCCCAGGCCTGGGGTGGCTCTGGGGAGGGAATCCATCCTCTGTCCCCTACAGACCCCAAGCTGACCAGCTGCGCCACCAACGCCAGCCTCTGTGGAGATGAGGCACGCTGCGTGCGCACCGAGAAAGCTGCCTACTGCGCCTGCCGCTCAGGCTTCCACACTGTGCCAGGCCAGCCCGGATGCCAGGGTAGGGCAGCAGGACCAAAGGGGGTTGGCAGAAACCCCAGCGGCAGGACTCCCCATGACCCTCCCGTGTAACCCCCAGACATCAATGAGTGCCTGCGCTTCGGCACCTGCTCGCAGCTCTGCAACAACACCAAGGGCGGCCACCTCTGCAGCTGCGCTCGAAACTTCATGAAGACGCACAACACCTGCAAGGCCGAAGGTACCGGCGCTGAGCGAGGGCAGAAAGGGTGACACCAGAGTGTAAAATGGGGCCAACCTTGGCGGGCATGGTGGCTCACACCTGTAATCCTAGCACTCTGGGAGGCCGAGGCGGGCGGATTGCTCAAGGTCAGGAGTTCAAAACCAGCCTGAGGGCCAGGCGCTGTGGCTCACGCCTGTAATCCTAGCTCTTGGGAGGCCGAGGCGGGCGGATTGCTCAAGGTCAGGAGTTCAAAACCAGCCTGAGCAAGAGCGAGACCCGTCTCTACTATAAATAGAAAGAAATTAATTGGCCAACTGATATATATATAAAAAATTAGCCGGGCATGGTGGCACATGCCTGTAGTCCCAGCTACCCGGGAGGCTGAGGCAGAAGGATCACTCCAGCCCAGGAGTTTGAGGTTGCTGTGAGCTAGGCTGACGCCACGGCACTCACTCTAGCCTGAGCAACAAAGCGAGACTCTGTCTCAAAAAAAAAAAAAAAAAAACCAGCCTGAGCAAGAGTGAGAACGTGTCTCTACTATAAATAGAAAGAAATTAATTGGCTAAATAATATATATAGAGAAAAAATTAGCCGGGCATGGTGGCGCATGCCTGTAGTCCCAGCTACTCGGGAGGCTGAGGCAGGAGGATCGCTTGAGCCCAGGAGTTTGGGGTTGCTGTGAGCTAGGCTGACGCCACGGCACTCACTCTGGCCTGGGCAACAAAGTGAGACTCTGTCTCAAAATTAAAATAAAATAAAATAAAATAAAATAGGGCCAACCTGAGATGGAATGTTTTCTTCCACACACCCTCATCCAGACATGGAACCCCAGATCCACAGGTGCAGCTTCCCCAGCGTGCTGCTGGCCCAAGCAGCAGGCGTGGGTCCTGGGGCTTCTCACTGAAGGAGTTCGTGGGAGGAACTTCTCCTAACTCCAGTAGGAGTGCAGCACTCCTACTGCACACACATGCCTTCTCGCCACCACTCCCAGGAGGAGAGCATGCTCAGACACGCGTTGGCACACGCACAGCCATGCATGCCCCACCTGCACATTCCACACACATCTTGACACACACCTGTACCTTCCACGTGCCTGTGCACAAACACCCCACACATCCCCATGCATACACACCATACGTGCACGTGTGCATGTATACACATACATGACCCTCCCACGTGCCCCAGTACACTCACGTGCCCATGCACACCCACACCATGCACATACACCCCATATGCATGTGCACCCCCGAGCACGTGTCAGGCAGTACATAGCAGAGAGTGTGGTGATGCCACCCAGAGGCCATGAGGAGGGAGAGATCACTGGGGTTGGAGGGGCAGGAATAGCTTTCCGGAGAAGGTCACACTTGATCAGCTGGAGGAAGGAGAGGAGCAAGTCCAGAGGCTGAGACTGGAGCCCACAAGCCTGGTGCAGGGTGGATGAGCATCCACTCTGGCCAGAGCAGGTGGTTTCATGAGGAGAGAAAATACTGTTAGCCTGAAAGGGGCTGAGCTGGGTTAGGGTGCACAGCTCAGGTGCCTCCTCCCAGCATCCCACAGCCCCAGCCCTGGCCTCTTCTCCCTACAGGCTCTGAGTACCAGGTCCTGTACATCGCTGATGACAACGAGATCCGCAGCCTGTTCCCTGGGCACCCCCATTCGGCTTATGAGCAAGCATTCCAGGGTGACGAGAGTGTCCGCATCGATGCCATGGATGTCCATGTCAAGGCTGGCCGCATCTATTGGACCAACTGGCACACGGGCACCATCTCCTACCGCAGCCTGCCGCCCGCTGCACCTCCTACCACTTCCAACCGCCACCGGCGACAGATCGACCGGGGTGTCACCCACCTCAACGTGAGCACCTAGCCTGACATGGATCGGGCGGAAGAGCTCCGTAGAGCAGACGGTTCAGAGCAGAATTTGAAAAGGGCAGTGGAAGGGGGCCCAGGGTGAGAAAGTGGGGGACGAGGGCAGTCTTAGGATTATGTTCCGAGGCGAAGATGACAGGTAGACAGAGCAGTGAGAGTAATCAGTAACTGGCTCTGCCACTAGCCCAGTGCGCAGGGTGTAGTCGGCAGTCAGGCCCTCAGCATTAGAGCCAGCTCCAGTCCCCAACCACCACTGCCATCCACTGTGTGAATTTTAGCCAGCCTGTGTAACCTCTCTGGATTTGCTGTTTGTCAGTAAAATGAGGCAGGGGTACCTGTCTCCTAGGCTTTTAGGGAGGACTAACAGTCAAAACACGTGAAAGCTCCAACTCTGACACACAGGCTAAGGGTCAGTGGAGTCTCTTTAAAGCCAGGGACTAGCTGTCAGTCTGTAGTGATGTTTTAGCAGGGACAGGCTGGCAGGGGGTTGGGGGTGGGAGCAGAGATAATGGCAGGAAAACTAAAGGTACGTAGCCCCTGAACCTGTGACCCCCATTCAGATTTCAGGGCTGAAGATGCCACGAGGCATCGCCATCGACTGGGTGGCTGGCAACGTGTACTGGACCGACTCGGGCCGGGATGTGATTGAGGTGGCACAAATGAAGGGTGAGAACCGGAAGACGCTCATCTCGGGCATGATCGACGAGCCCCACGCCATTGTGGTGGACCCGCTGAGGGGGTGAGCAAGGGTCCTGGGGCACGGTGGGGGGGCCTCTCCCACAGGCGTGCCCTCCTCTCCCAGACCAGCCTGAGGCAGAGCCCTCCCCAGGGAACAGCTCCGCCCACCTAGATGTCGCTAGATCAGCACACTGTGGTTTTAGAGTAAAAGATTCTTTAACCTGGTCAGAAGCTGACACCCCGTCCTCTTTGTAGGGGGACTGAACACCCTCCTCCAGTCCCCAGCAGTCCCTGGTGTCCCCCTTTGCTCTGCCTCCCCTGGTCCTTAGACCTGCCCACACTCACCCTTCTCCCTCCCTAGCACGATGTACTGGTCAGACTGGGGCAACCACCCCAAGATCGAAACAGCGGCAATGGACGGGACCCTTCGGGAGACCCTGGTGCAGGACAACATCCAGTGGCCCACAGGTGTGTGGGGGCAGGGCTGGGGTGGGGCAGGCGGGTTGTGGAGGCTTTTCATGGAAGGGCTGACTGGGAGAGGCAAGTGACAGCATGGAGCTGTCTCAGGCCTGAGACAGTTGTGCTTTCTACCCCCAGCCTGGGACAGGAAGGCTGAGCCTCACACCGCTCTCCCTCCCCAGGTCTGGCCGTGGATTATCACAACGAACGGCTGTACTGGGCAGACGCCAAGCTCTCGGTCATCGGCAGCATCCGGCTCAATGGCACCGACCCCGTCATGGCTGCTGACAGTAAACGAGGTCAGGCCGGACAGCGCCTTGGTCCCCAGCCCTGCCCTCAGGCCTCCCACCCTCCCCGCTGAGCCCAGCGGCCCTGCTTCCATGCCCACCATCCTATGTCAGCCTGGCCCAACAACTCTGCGGTGCTTCCAGCCTTCCCCATCCGGGTCCCTCCTGAACCCACCCGCAGGCCTGAGGCCTACACTGACCCTCCCACCCACTTGTGCACTCATCCATTCCCCCAGTGAGAATGGAGCCACGAGAAGGCAACACAGGTGGCATCAGGAACTTAGCAAATGTGGGGAGACGCAGCAGAAGTGAACCATGACCCCAGAAGTCTCGGGTGATGGGAACTTCTGCCAGCAGTGGCACAGGAGGAGGAGTGGGTGTGGGGAGGGGGAGTTTGGTTGTGGACATGTTGAGTTTGAGGCACCTGGGAGCCATGACTGCCAGTGTCCTGGAGAGTGCAGCCAGGGCCTGAGTGCCCCCAAGTCCCCTCTGACTCCACCTCCTCCCCCAGGCCTGAGTCACCCCTTCAGCATCGATGTCTTTGAGGATTACATTTATGGCGTCACCTACATCAATAACCGTGTCTTCAAGATCCATAAGTTTGGACACAGCCCCTTGATCAACCTGACGGGGGGCCTGAGCCATGCCTCGGATGTGGTCCTGTACCATCAGCACAAGCAGCCTGAAGGTGGGGTGCGGGCAGAGCCCGGGCTGCGCAGGGGGGGGGCATTGAGTCTCCAACCTGTGGCCTCAGGACCTGGGAGGGAGGGGGTCATTCTGGATCCACAGGAATCAGGGAAGTGTCCTGCTTAGTGTCCTCCCATCCCCACCCATACCTGCAGTGACCAACCCCTGTGACCGCAAGAAGTGCGAGTGGCTCTGCCTGCTGAGCCCCAGTGGCCCCGTCTGCACCTGTCCCAATGGCAAGCGGCTGGACAATGGCACCTGTGTGCCTGTGCCCTCTCCGACACCACCGCCAGACGGTATGCTCAGGACCCTCCTCCCTGTGGCCCTGACTTCCCCCTGTCCCTGCTGCCCATCCCTCCTGCCCCCTTCCCTGGCTCGGCCCCTGACCAGTCCTTCCTGCAGCTCCCCGGCCTGGAACCTGCAACCTGCAGTGCTTCAACGGCGGCAGCTGTTTCCTCAATGCACGGAGGCAGCCTAAGTGCCGCTGCCAGCCCCGATACACGGGTGACAAGTGTGAGCTGGACCAGTGCTGGGAGCACTGTCGCAACGGGGGCACCTGCGCTGCGTCCCCATCTGGTATGCCCCTCCTCCCACCAGAACTGCTCCTTGCGCCAGCCCCAGCCCCCCTCCTGCTGGCCCCTGCCCCTGGGCAGGCCTGGCCTCTGCTCTGCCCCCCTACCTTGCCTCCCTACCCTGCCTCTCTGCCGCCACCCCATCCCCTCCTCCCCTCCACAGCCAGGTCCCAGTCCCACCAGGCTCCCATCCCTCTGGTCTTTGCCTCCCACCCCTGTTCCTCTGTGGTAGATCCGGGTGGACTCGAGGGCTGCAGTCCCGCTCATACATCCTCTCCCACCAGGCATGCCCACGTGCCGGTGCCCCACGGGCTTCACAGGCCCCAAATGCACCCAGCAGGTGTGTGCGGGCTACTGTGCCAACAACAGCACCTGCACTGTCAACCAGGGCAACCAGCCCCAGTGCCGCTGCCTACCTGGCTTCCTTGGTGACCGCTGCCAGTACCGTGAGTGCCAGGGACGGGAGGAGGGGAGCTGAGGAGTCCCAAAGAGCTGAGGGTGGTGGTCATCCTGGACCTGGGGCCTGCAGCGGCAGCTCAGGGCAGGGTGTCCACATGCCACCGAGCCAGGCCCAAGCTGCTATGTATCCCCACAGAAGCGCTGGCACACTTACCCCAGGGTAGTGAGCCCCCTGGTGTCAGGATTATTCCAGCAAAAGCAGCACCCTGTTAGGATGCTCGGGGACATCCTTGTGCCCTGGAGCCTGTGACATGGGGGCAGCAGGGGACTCAGGAGGTGGGGGTCATCCACAGCACCTGGGGTCCCCCGGGGTGCCCAGCTCCCCAACAACCTATGGAGGACCCCCTGAGGGTGGGGCTTGAGGCACTTCCTCTCCCACCCAACCACAGGGCAGTGCTCTGGCTACTGTGAGAACTTCGGCACGTGCCAGATGGCTGCTGATGGCTCCCGACAATGCCGCTGCTCCGCCTACTTTGAGGGACCGAGGTGTGAGGTGAACAAGTGCAGCCGCTGTCTCCAGGGAGCCTGTGTGGTCAACAAGCAGAGCGGGGATGTCACCTGCAAGTGAGCGGGGCCCCCACTCCACAGCTCTGCCCAGCCTGGACCCTGCCTTGTCCCAGCCTATGCCCCCTAGTCCTGCACCCCAGCCCTGCCACCCAGTAGGCGTCAGACACCCCTCTGCCAGCCCCAGCCGCAGCCTCTGATTCCTTCCTGCAGCTGCACGGACGGCCGGGTGGCTCCCAGCTGTCTCACCTGCGACGGCCACTGTAGCAATGGCGGTTCCTGCACCATGAACAGCAAAATGATGCCTGAGTGCCAGTGAGTTGGGCCCAAGCCTCACTCAGGCATGGGTCTTCCCTCCCTCCCCCAGATCTGAGCGGGAGGACCACCCGGCACCTGTAGAAGGTCCACCTACTCAGCCCTGCCCTCCTCTCTGCAGGTGCCCGCCCCACATGACAGGACCCCGGTGTGAGGAGCAGGTCGTCAGCCAGCAGCAGACTGGACGTAGGTGGCAGGGAGTGGGGCAGGCAGGGCTGCCGGGACCTGGAGCAGGGGAACTTAGTGCCTCCTGCTTTCTTGGGCACTTCTGACTCAGTTTCCCACGTCTTCCCTCCAGATATGGCCTCCATCCTAATCCCTCTGGTGTTGCTGCTGCTGCTGCTTTTGGTGGCCGGAGTGGTATTCTGGTATAAGCGGCGAGTCCGAGGGTGAGTTACTGGGAGTCTAGAAAGTTCTGACCGTTATTTGACCACCCCACCCTTATGCCCCCAAACTCTCTGCCTCCTTATACTCCCGCCTCTCCCCAGGGCTAAGGGCTTCCAGCACCAGCGGATGACCAACGGGGCCATGAACGTGGAGATTGGGAACCCCACCTACAAGATGTACGAAGGCGGAGAGCCCGATGACGTAGGGGGCCTGCTGGATGCTGACTTTGCCCTGGACCCTGACAAGGTGGGCTGGGAGGGCAGGGCCAAGAGGCTGTGGGTAGGGGACTAAGGGTGCTTGGTTGGATGATGGGACGGAGGTGGGGGGTGGGGTAACCCTGGCCACAGAGCCCAGCCCCTGAGCCCCACCTGAACCCCCTGTCGCCTTGCAGCCCACCAACTTCACCAATCCCGTGTATGCCACACTCTACATGGGGGGCCACGGCAGCCGCCACTCCCTGGCCAGCACGGACGAGAAGCGAGAACTCCTGGGCCGGGGCCCTGAGGACGAGATAGGGGACCCCTTGGCATAGGATGCTGCCCCATCGGACTTCCCCAGAGAGCCTATGTCCCTCCAGAGAAGTCCTTCAATGAGCCCTTCCCCAGACAGCCCTTCCCTGGCCCTGCCAGATGTATAAATGTAAAAATGAAGGAATTACTTTTTATATGTGAGTGAGCAAGCGAGCACAGTATTATCTCTTCCAGTCTCCTCTTCCTGCCTGCTCCTCAGTGCCCCCCATGCTGCCTTCGGGGAGGGGGCAGGGAGGGTTCTGGGGGCTCTTGTGGCATAAAGGTACGAGGGAGCCCAACTCCTCCCTTCCCACCAACGCACCCCACTGGGAGAGCTGGGTGCCGCCTCCCCTCCCTGTGCCAGACACTTTGTCCAGGCTCTCCACCTCGCCCCTCCTGCTTACCCCTCCCAGCTCTCTGAGGGCTAATTCTGGGGAGGGAGAGTTCTTTGCTGCCCCTGTCTGAAAAAGTTGGCTCCAGCTGAGGTAGGAAGGTGAGGATGGAGTTTTTTGGTTCTTCTTGGGGAAGGCCACTCAAGCTCCAGCCCCAGACTCCCCGGGGTGCCTCTGAGGTGGCCATGCTCAATACCCCTTCCAGGCAGGCCCTCCCCCTCTCCAGCTACTCCCAGGGCTGGAGACTTTCTTTGGTAAACAGTCCCCTAACCCCCTCCCCTGAGGATGAGGGGGAGGTGGGGTACACCAAGGAAGGGAAGCGGGCAGCCCCGTTTTGGGGACAGGAACGTTTTAATAATTTTTGACAAATTCCTTTACAACTAAATAACACAGATATTGTTATAAATAAAATTGTAAAAAAAAAAAAAAAGCCTCTTGTGTCTGCCTGTGAGTGTGGGACTCTGGGAGCTGGGGCTGCGTTTGCCCGCTTCGGCCACCAGAGGGAGCCGTGTCTGTGGCGGAGGCTGCCTGGCGTCGGGTTTTCGGTGCCCTTCTCGGGAGCCCTCGCCCTCTCCACCCTGCCGCCGGCGCGCGGGTGGCACTGGACTTGACAGGAAGATCTGCTCCTCCTGGCTGGGTGACCTTGAGCCGGTGACTTAACCTCTCTGGATCTTGTGTTCCCTCTGGCTCCAGGACACTAACTGGAAGATCAGTTTCCTTGCATCCTTACTTCTGTTGGACAGCCCCCTTGATCTCCCGCAGTGAGAAATCCCACCATGGACATGGATACATGCGGTTGTGAAGGCTTTCTAATCCTTCAGGGTGTGGTCCCATACGCTCCTCTCTGCCTGAGAGAATGCTTCTCTCATGAAGCACTGACATCTCACTTCACGGAGACTAATCAGATGCCAGGAGCAAAACCCTGCATTCAAGAGAGGGAGGACCAGTTTGCCAGCCCCCATGGGCCGCCAACAGATCCAGCTCGCCAGTCATTCCAAGGGTTGGTGGGGAAGGACCAAGACAATCATTGGTGCCCCATGTCTACTTCAGCCCCTGCCCAGGGACTGAGAAGGTTAGAGCCCCACTCTCCCCACAATGGCAAGTATGAGCTCAGCGAGGGCAGCTGCAAATGTCTGAAGAACACTTGTCCAAGTCCAAAAGGGGCCACTGCCTTTCATTCCCCTCCCTCAGCCTCCCCAGAATATTCCTCCCTGGCCTCCTCTCCGGTGAGGAAGCTATGGGTCTAGGCAGTACAGAAGCAAGAGCTTCCTGTCCCTCTTAGCCCTGAGATTCCATCTCCAACCTCATCCTCCAAGCCAACTCTGAGATCCTCATCTGCCTTTGCAGCTCCCCAGGGGCACAAGGGCCCTGGGGCGAGCGACTCCGCTGGGGAAAAGGGGCATCCTTGTTGATTGTTGAGTGGGAGGCTTGTGCCCCCATCTGGTCACCAGGTGGCGTCCGCACTCCTGCAGCGCAGCTGATCCTGAAGCCCAGCACTGCCCGCTCCTCATCACACACACTAATTATGTACCTGCTGGGGACCCCCGCCCAGCCTCACTTCCTCCCCTCAGGCTATTTTGCCACACCCCCTCCACCCTTGGGGATCGGCTTCTCCCCCTCCCCTAGCGCTTCCTTGCTCCCCACCACCACCAGCCCCACCCCCCACCCCCTCCCTCTGCCAGCCATGCATCTGGTGCCCCCAGGGAGCCACTGATTCTCTGCCTGTCACCTCAAGATCCTGGGCACAGCGACAAGGCCCCCAGCTGCAGCTCGGAAGGTACCCCCCTCCAGTCAGCACCCTCCCTCTGTCCTCTAGGACTGCCACCCACCACCCAGAGGCAGGCCTCCCAAACTCCCCACCCAGAGAGGCAGGAAAGAGCCCAAGACAGAGATGGAAAAGGGACTGGGGCAGAACCAGGGACAGAGCTGATACCGACTGGATGGGAGACAGAGATACAGAGATGAAGAGACACAGGGACAGAGGCCAGGGCCCAGTGGCGGCCCAGTAGTGTGTGTGTGAAGGTGTGTGTGAGTAGAGGGGGGAGAATAGGGTGACCTGAGACTAACAAAAGGAGGGATGTAGCAGGATGGGTCTCCAGAAGATCTGGATCTTGATGATGGACTTCTGTCCTGGGCACCTTAGGCCTCGGTGTGCCACTGTCCCCATCCACTGCCAAAGCAGCCCCTGGGCTTGGGACCTGGGCTCAGGATTCTGGTTGAGGCCTTCTGGCCTTGAACCTGGACACTTGCACCCCTTCCTGCCTCTCTCTTCTCCTAGCTTAATGTCTGTCTCCCCTGTGTCTCTGTGTCTGCCTCATCCTCTTAGCACCCCTGTGCTTTTCCTGACTGTTTTTTGTGTGTCTGTCACATCCCATATCTGTCTGTCTGTTTCTTTGCATGTGCCTTTTTTGGACTGCCAGTGCCAGCATACACCTGTGTGTGTCTCGGTGTGTGTGTCCATCTCTCTGAGTACCCATCTGGGTGTGCTTGTCTCTTGGTGCAAGTGTGCATTTGTCTGTCACTGTGTGCTCTTCTGTGTGCAAACCAAGCATGTCCATCTGTATGTGGTGGTGCGCCTCTGGGTGTGCACCTGTCTCTGTGTGTGTGCGCTGGTCTCTGGGTGAATGTATTTTGCTGTGTGTGCGCTCACCTCTTCCAGGTGGCCTGTCCCTGTGACTGCATCTCCATGCATGCCTGGGGGGAGGAGGGAGGAGGTCTGGGTATGTGCCTGTCTCTGCCTCTTTGCTTGTCCCTACCTCTCGCTGTCTAGGTGTCGGTCATAGCACAACCTCAGCCACAGCCTCAGTGCATAGCAACAGCTGACAGCTGAAGACTCCCCGGGCAGGAGGGAGACTGAGGGGAGGAGGAAGCCCATGAAGAAATAGAGAAGAGGATGGGGACAGAGACAGGGCTGGGGCTAGGGACAGAGACAAGGACAGAGACAGACAGGGAAAGGGACATGGATGGAGGAGAGCTGATGGTGAAAGATGGGGCAGTGGGAGGGAAGGGATAGACACTGCACCAAGAGGCAGGGCAGGCGGCACTGAGGGGGATTTCCTGCCCAGCCCCCACGCAACAAGGGCGTGCTGGGCCACGCAGGGGCGGGGCGGGGGTCGGTGGGGGGGCGAAGGGCAAAGGTGAACGGCCGGTCTAGCCCAGGAGTCCCGAGACCTCGGAGGTGCGGTGGGGCGGGGGCAGGGGCAGCGGGCGCCGTTTGTCAGCCCTATTGACAGACGTGATGGGGTTTCCGTCCGTGATCAATGATTCTCATCTCCGGGCAGAATGAGCCTCGGGGCGCCCATCCATCCCCGTCAGCACCGCGCCGCGGCAGCCGCCCCAGGCCCCGCCCGCCCTCACCTTGGCCCCTGCCCTGTTCCTGCCCAGGACCCACCTTGGCCCGGAGCATAGAAGGGGCCCCAGAGCATCGAGGGACCCTTGTCCTGCTGCGCCACCGAGCCTGGCAGGGCTCCTGCTCCGCCGTGCCCCCACTTCGGGTGCACGGTCCCAGAGCCCCGCGCCCCACGCCCTACCCTATTCCCCATCGTGCACAGACCCAGCCTCCCGGGTGCGCGGTCTCCGAGCCCCTCAACCCTCTGGTTTCGCACCTGGGGCAGGGGTGTGTCTGGGGCGTGTCGGGGTGAAAGTCACCTTCGGTGCCCCCAGCTGGGCGGGAGGGGGCGCGCGGGGCGCGGCCGGGATTGGAGCGTCGCGGAGCCCCGCCCCCCCCGCCCGCGGGAGTCAGACCCAACTTTCTCCCCCGCCCGCGCCCCGCCCCCAGCGCCGGCTCCGCTCCTCGCGCTCAGTCCGCGGGCCGCGCCGCCTGCTCCCGCCGCTCCCGCAGCCGCCCCGCTGCCCGCCCGCCCGGAGCCCCGCGCCCCCAGCCGGACTCCGGCCGGCCCCGGGACCCGCCCTGCCCGCCCCGCTCAGCCGCCCGGGAAGATGCGGCTGCTCCCGGAATGGCTCCTCTTGCTCTTTGGCCCGTGGCTCCTTAGGAAGGTAAGGAAGGCAGGGCTGTGCCGCCAGCGCGGGGGTCCGGAACACGAAGGTCCCAGAGTGCGAGGGGCTCGGTGCGCCCGCCTCGCCCCCAGCTCTGAGCGTCCCAACTTTGCGCTGCGTGGGGGACGCGGACAGACAGACAGCCGGATTCAGGACTGGCACTCTCCCAGCGCAAGTTGGCTGGGGCTTGGAGGGGGTGCCGGGTGGAGGCCCCACTCGGATCTGGCTTCAGGCGCGGCGGGGGAGGGGACGAAGCCCGACCCGTGAGTGCGCCAGACAGAGCGGGAGTGCGAGACAGACAGACAAGCCAGCAGGGTGTCAGCCTTGCCGTCTTTCCGCGCCAACCTCGCTCGCCTTCCTCACTGTCTGTCTGTCCTTCCACCCCTCCACCCCCGCCTTCCCATTTCTCTTCTCCGCACTTGTCACAATGCCGGTGGGCTCTGTGTTCTGAGCATACAAGCGCACACACGGACTCACACAGGCACCAGGAACTTGGCTACAATCTCCCATCACATTTCCCACGGAGACACCATCTCCCCTGCACAACCTCACAGACACACCCCCCTCTCCCCTCTTGCACCCGCTGATGGCGGGGGTTGGGGGCTGTCTGGAAGGGAAGTCTCTCCTCTCATCCCTTCCCAGCCTCACGCACACTCCTTGGCTGCCTCTTTCCCTGTGGCTCCTGGGAGAGGACCCAGAGGCTAAGGGGGCCCAGGCTTAATCTGCCTCCCTGCCGACTTGGAGGCTTCAGACGGTGTACATGGTGGGCTCATATGTGCTGATGTGGATCGTGTGGGTAAATGTGTGCACCTGTGTGCATGCGTGTCCAGGGGAGCCAGGCTTGGGGTCCAGTGCTGGGGCCCCGGTGCACTTACATGCTGGTGTGGTGTGGTGATGTTGGCTTTGCATGGGTGAGTGCAAGTTCCTGCTTCACAGTGTAGCCAACTGTGCCTGGGTGTGTGCCCACAGTGAGGGCCTAAGTCCATGGAAGGGGTCCATCCCCTTCCATCAGTCTCCTCTGTCCATGATTTCTCTGTTTCCTGCACCCCAACTGTGACCTACCTAGTTTGGGTACAGGCAAGTGGCTCCCTAAATCCTCACTCTCTACACCCCAACCCCCAGCCCTGGTAGAGTCTAAAAGGGGTATAGTTCTCTCCCCACCCCAACACTTGGACCCCACCTGCTCAGCCAAATAGCACTCAGCAACTCCAGCAGGGCGGGAGCTGCCCTAGTGCAGCCAGCAATAGAGCTCCCTGCTTCTCCCAGACCCGCCTGGTGACCTTGAGGGGCTGGAAGGGGGGCAGAAGAGCCCCCTCCATTAAAACTGCTTCCACTGGCTGGAGCTTCTTTTGGACTTGCTGCCCAGCTCTGCCCTCAGAGGACTGCAGGAGGAGGTCTGGGCCCCACCACTCACCCACCCATGTGTGAAGGCCTGGGGTCAAGAGGTGGTAGGGATGACAGTCCCCAGCCCCTCCTTTCATTTCACCCCACCTCCTCCCCACTCTCCCTGTCAAATAAACTCCCCTGTGGACAGATCTGGTTTAATTTCCTTTGCCCCCTGAAGGGGAATGAAACATCTGGTGGAGACTTGAGGGAGAGTGAGCGTGAGGATATGAACGATGGGCTCTATCCGAGTGTGTGTGAGAGAGCTGCAGCTGTGGGGCCTCCATGCAGGAGGCAGCAGGGGAAAGTGTATCCGCCTTCAGTCCAGCTCGTGTGCATGTGAGACCCCGTGTTTATGTGTGTGTACACACTGCGGGTGTGTGAATGTGTATCACTGTGCATAAAGAAGTGTATGTAGAGAAGTGTTTGTGTCAAAATACTGTGTGTGTGTGCACTTGTGAGTGTGGTGGTGTACACATGTGTGTACCCTGGGGTTGCTGATGCATCCATGCACTGGGACACATACATATGTTGTCTCTGTGTGAGTCTCTGGGGTTTGTGAGTGTGTTTCTGCGTGCTTGTGATTTTGAGTGCACTGAGTGTAGGTATGGGATTGTGAGCCTCAGGATGTGTCTGTATATCTCAGTGTGGCTTGTGTGTGTGTCTGTGTGTGTGTGTGTGTGTGTGTGTGCACGAGTGCTCAGGAGTGTCTTGGTGCCAGCATTGAGAATGGCCAAAAGTGAGGCTGACCCTGGGTAAGAGGCAGGGAGGGAACAGTTTATAGGGCAGCTCTTTGGAAACCCTAAGCATCAAAATGTACCAACCCTGCCCTCTCGCACCCTTCCAGTTGGCCCTTCCTCCAGGAGTTCTCTCCCGCTTCCTCTGTGCTCCAAGCTTCAGGTCTCCTCTGGGGCCTGGGACTCCTGGCTCCCACTGCCCCTGGGGTTCTGGCCTCTCTGCTAGGGATTCTTCAGGATCCTTCTAATACAGTCTATGACTCCTTCTTTCCCTCTCTGTCTCTGTCTCTCCCACCCCTTGCCAAAGCAGCTACCTACTGGGAGAAGCAGCAGGCGATCAATAGTCACTAATCACTAATCACTAATTACTAATTAGCTGGGGGAGGGCAGGGGCGGGGCCCTGTGGGACCTTCCAGCTCTATCCCGCCTCAGGAAAGGATTAGGCCCAAGCAAGTCTCTCTAGCCGGTCAGCCCCTCGTCCAGCCACCCCCTCCCGCCTGCATACCTTCCTCTAGCCCCCCAGCTAATCCCTGTCTGGGCCACTTAGGCACGCACAGCCTGGGCTAGGGCCCAGAGCTGCTGGCGGGGATTTGGGGGTAATCAGGGGCTGCAGCTGGGCCAGGGGCACAGGGGAGGGGGCTGCTGTGACAGCTCCCTTGTGCCAGAGCCTGGGGTGGAAGCCCCACATTCTGAACAGGAGGGGCACCCTTTGGAAAGAATTTGGATAGGAGTGTCGTTGGGGTGACCGGGGAAGTGTCAGGAGGGGGTGACTGGGGAAGAGGTGAGGTAACAAGGACAGAAGCAAGGCAAAGAGGGGTCACCCAGGTCAAGGATGGGGTAATTGGAGAGGGGCAAGGTAAACGTGGAAAGAAAGGTAAGTGGAGGGGCCGCGCAAGGGTCAGAGATGGAATAATTGGATAGGAGACGGGGAACTTTGGACAGAGCCTCATCAGCTCTGCTGGGCGAGATCCATGAGGGGACAGGGCCACGGAGAAGAGGCAGGGTCACCGGGGAGGGCTCAGCGTGTGGGGTGGAAACTAGCTGCCTAGAGGGGATGGGGAGCAGGGAGCCTGCCTCGAGCGCTGGAAATTGGCGAGTCTCCCCCTCTCCCCCGCCTGCCCCTCCTCCACCTCCACCCCGCCCACTCCCCCTCCGGCTCCGGCTTCGGGAAATTACATCCGCGCTCCGCAGCTCCCCCCTCCACCGCGCCCCGGAGCCGGCGCCTTTATAGGCACATTTATTGCAATAATAAAGTGAGGCGCGGGGCGGGGGGCGGGGGGCAGCCGTTCCCGCGGGGACCGCGCCGGCTCTAGGAAGCAGGGAAATAAAATAAAATAAAATAAAATAAAAATTCAGATAACGGTGAGCCTCGCGCGGCAGGCCTCGAAAAGGCTGGCAGGCGGGGCTGAGGGGGAGGGGGCGCCTAGCCCAAGGGCAGAGCCCACCCCACCAGCTGTCCCCCCACAACGCTGTAGTAGGGTCTCAAAGGTGGTATCTTCGCTTCCACTGGCCTGGCCCCCTCCCATAGCCTGATCCTGCCTGGTCTTCTGCCTTTTCCTCTGGCTTGTCTCCCATGCCTGTCCTCAGCCTCTGTCTCTGTTCCTGTCTCCTATCTCTTTCCCTGTCCCCCACTTCCCATTCCAGTCCCTGTTGTATCTCCCACCCCCATCTGTCTACATCCATCCCTGTTTCTGCCTAATAACCATCCCCACACCCCACTTCTGTTCTGCCCCCATCCTGTCCCCATCCCCATCTCCCTGTCTCTGTTCCATCCTCATTCCTACCTGGCCCCAGTGCCCATCCCTATTCCACCACCCCTTTCCCCATTTGGGTTCCCAGCCAATCCACAACCCATCTTCATTCCTCTGGTCCCTACCCCACCCACATCCTTGTCTCTTCCCAGTGCCTGGCCACCATTTCTGATCTCCTCATCCCTGCCCCATGCTTATCCCTGTTGCATACTCATTCTTGTCCCCTACATCGGGGATTGACTGCCAATCCCCAATCCCAGTCCCCTTCCATCTCTGTCCCAGTCCTCACCCCAGCCTGTCCTGTCCTCCCTACCTCCGTCTTCACCCACATCTCCATATCTGGTCTCCAGCCAGACTCCAGCCTGCCCTGACTGCGGTGTCCCTGCCTCTTTCTAAGCACGGGGGCTTATTCGATTTTGTCCCCTTCCCCACCCCAGGCCTGTACTGTTCCTTTTTCAACCATAGGGTGTTGTCCCCTCCCCTGGCTGAATCTTGGGAGTGGTCCCCTGACCCAAGCGGCAGGAGAGAAACAAGGACCAGTCTGGAAGCCTGGGGGAGGTGCACCCTGCAATGCGGCTGGGGGGCCAACAGCCTGATCCTCCTCCCATTCCCAGCAGTCCCATCCCAAAAGAGCTTACTCCCTCCCACCAGAGGAGTTTGTTGTACCCAGCAGCAAGAGGTGGCCTCAACTCCCCTCAGGTGCGTGGGCCCACTGCCTTGGGGGCAAAGTGCTCCCGCCCGGCTCCCGGCTCCCGCCGCCAGCTTCGGCCTGGAGGAGCGGTGAACACCCCCAGCCTGCACCTCTGCCACCCCGCACCGACAGCCGCCTAGCCTCTCCCCTCCGCAAATGTCACCGCGCCCAATTAGCTTAATTAAACCAGCTCTGGAGCGAGGGGGACTCATACTTGGACAACACCCTTCCCTGCCCTGAGCCATAGTGGGGAGGGCCAGGGGATCCGGGCACAGGGGAGCTCCCTTACCGCCTGCCTTCCTCACTCCCGCCCCCACCCCTGCCATGGCAGACAGACGACCTGAAGGACAGAGGGAGAGAATCACAGCCAGAAACAGAACGGAATCATGGAAGGAGGAAATTAGAGACCGAGAGACAGAGTGAGGGAAGAGACTAAGAGACAAGAAGAGACTAAGAGAAGAGTGGGGAGAGAGAGAGAGATGGAAAAACAGTGAAAAAGAGACAGCAAGAAAGGGAGAGAGTGCGAGCGATCAAGGAAGCCAGAGGGAGGATTTTTATTTTATTTTATTCCATGTTCCCATTTCTCGGCTCGTTTCCCTGCAAACTCTTGCCCCTCCCTTTCCAAACTCCCCCACAGGGCGCTTTAGCGGCTCCTCCCCCCTTTTATTTTGGCTGTCTCCAGTGGCAGGTCGGGGGTGGAAATGCCCAAAGCCGGGGGATTTGTGAGGATCAGAGAAACAGACAGCAATTTGCCTGGGATCAGAGGTGGGGGCACCCTGGCCCCTCTCCCTGCCCTGCCAAACCTCATCCCCTGCCCTAGTCCCTGCCTTGTAGGAGTCACCAGACTGACCCAGCCCTGGCCAGGTTTTGACTGGGTATGGGACATAGGGGTGCTGGCAGGTGCAGGGAGGAGGTGGCTTAGAGGCATTTGGGGTCATAACATCACAGGGCAGTGGGCTTGGATGGCTGGGCTCCCCAGGAAAGGGCAGCGGTTGGGTCCAAAGGGGAGAGATTAGGGATCAGAGTTCAAATGACCCCACCCTTCGGCCTTCTCAGGAAGCCTTATTCCCTCCTCCAGTGCCCTCTCCTGTGCTCAAGCCCTTCCCTCTCCAAGACCACCTCCTAGGGCCTCTTCTCCTTCCCTGTGGTCTGGGACCCCTTCCCCCAACCCCTGTCAGGCCCACCTTCTTGGTGCTTAGCTGCCAGCTCAAGCTTGTCTGTCTGAGTCAATCATTCTTGCCGCCCCCCTCACCTGGGCTGGGAGGAGGGTTGGATAGGAGGAGGAATGAGGGGGGCGATAAATATGTATGACGAGCGGGTGGCGGCAGCATTAATAACCCGGATCGCAGCGCTGCGGGGACCAGGACCAGGCAGTGGAGATTCTAGCCCAGCAGCGTGGCTCTGCCATTTCTGTCCCCCATGGACACAGAGTGTGTACACACAGGTGTGTGTGCAAACAGAGGAGGCACCCATGCTGCCAGGCCTCCTTACCTATCCTAAGCTCACCCCAGGGGTCATTCACATACAGTTGTCACACATACACACACACCCTGTGGGAACATAGTGAGACCACACTTTTTCTGTCACTGTGGATACACCCCCTTTAGAAAGAGCTTGACACATGGACAGAGGATGATAGGAGCTCACACAGGAAAAGTGACACCTCCAGACAATCACACACAGCCACCCTCAGACCACTATACACAGACGGCCAACCCAGCCATGCCAGTCACACAGACACCACTACCACAAATTGATACACAGCCTCACTCAGATCCACACACACAGCCAATCCTGGCATATGTATGCAGCCACCCCAGACCTACACAACAGACATGCAGCATCACAAGCAAGCAGACACACACACCAGCCTCCTCAGACTGATAGACATAGGCATGCAACACAGCCACACAGTCACCACCACACACAGACTGATACAAGTGCAAGCTACCCCAGGCAGACACACACAGAACCAGTCCAGGTAGGCAGACACACCTCCAACCATTGCAGGCTGACAGCAACACACCCACCCCAGGCTGACACACAGAGCTGCCAACCCCCACGGGACCTGCACGCAGTCAGGGCCACACGGCACGGTGGCGGCTAGCGGCACGGTGTCGGGCTAGCGCAGGCTGACTGACACACTCTGACACGCTCGGCTCCTTTTCCTCCCGCTCCAGCGCGGCATCTCCATATTTCTTCCTCGCTCTCTCCCCGTCTCCTTCACTCCTGGCCCCCCCACCCTGGGATAATTGATGGCCCGGGCCTGGCCCGGCCGCTGCCGCCTCTCGATCCATCTTGTCCTCCAGCGCCTGCACTGTCTCCCAGATCTGCGGCCACCTGAGACATACGGAGGTGGGTGGGGGCAGTGGGTGGGGGCCGGCAGGCGGCTCCTCCAGCCTGGGAGCCCAGGGAAGGCCAGCTTGGCAGTCTCCACAATAGCAGGAGTGCTGGGGGGGAGGGGGACCTGGACTTTCCTCCTCAGCTTAACCAGTTTCCAGTGCTCCTCCCCAAAGGCCAGTTGCTGAGACCCAGTTGGGGGCTGGCTCTGGGATGGGGGCTCTAGTCTTGGAAGAGGTGTAAAGAGGTCTTCCTGCCTCTTTCTTAATGCTGGAATGTTGATGTGGCCATGGCCTCCCTTGCACCAGTCCAGCTCCTCCCTGCCTGTCACTGGAACCATCAGGGGCCAGGCTAGAGGAGACAAAGCTAGGACCCAGAGCGCTGCTCCCTACTCATATGCACACTGACTTTGGCTTTTTGGCCCTCAATGGTGCCCTGTGAGAACACAGGATGCTCAGCATCATTTTACAGATGTGAAACTGAGGCCTAGATAGATGAAGTGGCTTGGCCACATCGCTTGAAAGTGCTGCAGGTCTGCTCCAGTACACCGCCCCGTAGTGGAGTCTGTGTGGCCCTGAACCACCTGCAGCGCTGTGGGATTCCACTTGGTGCCCTAGCAGCGGCTTTGGAGGAAAGGGACTGGCGTGGTTAGGGCTCTGGCAAGATGGCCAGGGACAACTCCAGCATCTCTCTTTCTTCCTCTTTCTTCGTGCACAGGCCGTTAGTGCCCAGATACCGGAGTCCGGAAGGCCGCAGTACCTGGAGCTGCGCTCCGCCACGGCCAGAGCCGGCTCCTCTGGCCAACAGCTCCCAGCGCCAAAGTCTTCCGACGGCCTGGGAGCCGCGGGCGCCTGGAGCTGGGCCTGGCCGGCTAACCACACGGGGGCGCTGGCCCGGGCGGGGGCGGCCGGGGCGCCGCCAGCGCAGCGAACCAAGAGGAAGCCGTCCGTCAAAGCGGCCCGCGCCAAAAAGATCTTCGGCTGGGGGGACTTCTACTTTCGGGTGCATACCCTCAAGTTCTCGCTGCTGGTGACCGGCAAGATCGTGGACCATGTGAACGGGACCTTTAGTGTGTATTTCCGCCACAACTCTTCCAGCCTGGGCAACCTCACTGTCAGCATCGTGCCACCTTCCAAACGTGTCGAGTTCGGGGGCGTCTGGCTGCCTGGGCCTGCCCCGCACCCTCTGCAGTCTACGCTGGCCCTGGAGGGGGTGCTTCCTGGGCTGGGGCCCCCGCTGGGGATGGCAGCCGCAGCTGCGGGGCCTGGGCTTGGGGGCACCCTCGGGGGAGCACTGGCGGGGCCACTCGGGGGCGCGCTGGGAGTGCCTGGGGCCAAAGAGTCACGCGCTTTCAATTGCCACGTGGAGTACGAGAAGACAAACCGCGCGCGCAAGCACCGCCCGTGCCTGTACGACCCATCTCAAGTGTGCTTCACTGAGCATACGCAGAGCCAGGCCGCCTGGCTTTGTGCCAAGCCCTTCAAAGTCATCTGTATCTTCGTCTCCTTCCTCAGCTTTGACTACAAACTGGTGCAGAAGGTGTGCCCAGATTATAACTTCCAGAGCGATCACCCCTACTTTGGATAGTGCGACCCGCGACCCTCCCCAGCCCAAGTCCTGAGCCTCCCGCCAAATCCTGGCCTCGCTAGGTGGGACCCCTTCCTGTCTCCCTCCACTCCTTTGGCCGTGTCCACCCTTTCCACTGGGAGGGGGGAAGGACCATTAGCCAGCGTGAGTCCCCTTTTCCTTATGAAGAGTGCCCACGAGAATGGGCTAGCCCCCTCCAAAACACCCCAAGATGGAGGGGTAAGAGCAGCGCCCCACAATGGGCGTGGCTTGGAGGAGGTCCCAGCCTCCCCTAAGTACACACTGGGCCCCCCATTCGCCCTTGGCCCAGGGCTGGACACTCCCTTCCCCTGGCCCCTGCAGCTTTAATAACGCCTAGCCTGGCACCCACATCCCACCCTGACTTTCTTACCCCCAAGCGCTTGTCCTCCTGTTCCACTCTGTCCCCGCCTAAAGACTGTAAAGGCCTATAAACCCCAGAGTACCCCTTCCCTTTCCGCCTGTCGAATGCCTGTCCCCTTTTCCTGGCAACCCCATTAGGGCAGCAGAAGCAGAACTCCTGGGCAAAGGCGCTGGCCTGGCCTCTGCCCTCTGCACGCCTCCCTCTCATCCCTGCAGTCCAGCTCCACCTGCCCTCTCCAGCTGCTTCCTCTCAGTGATATTTTTTCTACGCCAAAACAGACGGGAAAACGAACAAAATAAAGTGAAATCCAATATATGTCTGTTGAGACCTTTGTAGGGAGGAGCAAGGGAGGTATGGGCTTCTGTCTGACAGAGACCTGGCCAGGAACTCCTCCCTCCGTGGCTTGTGGGGAAACTGAGGCAAAGACTGACAGAACTAGCACCTGGAGGTCATCCAAGACCGGATCAAAGAGAGATGCGGGTGACCCTTGGGGTCGGAGCCCTGCCTGAGGTGGGGTTCTCCTCTCTGAGGTGGGCGAAGGGAAGCTGCAGTAGGCAGGATGGAGATTAGACCTGAGTGGGGACTACCAGCGGACGACTTGGGACGATCTGGGGGAAAGACTTGTAAGACCTTGAATGGGATGGAGATGCAGGGACAGCGTAGGCAGAGCGCTGACAACCTGCTAAGCTCCACGGGGCGGCGGGAGGCAGCAGGTTGGAAGGGAGGGGGAACAGTGTTTGCAGCATCTGGAGTCATCGATCTTCCTTTTTCTTCCTAATTTCGTGGGCGCTGAGTTTGCAGACGGATGAGGGAGGGAGGAAGCATTGGGATGAGGGGATGGGGGAAGGGAGAGAGTGAGTTTGGAGGGCGGGGCCGCATCGCGGCTGCTGCCGGCCAGCAAAACACAGTCCTCTTCAGCCAGCTGCCCACCCCCCTCCCCACCCCCGCCTCCAGCTCTCTCCAGCAGCCAAGGCTGCTAATTTTATCCGCCCCCCGACCCTGGCCCGGGCGTTAATTGGCTGCGGCTTCATTAGCAGTTCTCAGCTCAGCCGCCCCCCTCCCCTTGGGACCCCTGAAGGGAGCGAGAGAGGGGGTGCAGACAAGCTGAGGCACAGAGTACCTCCTCGCCTTCAGCCTTCCTTAGCCTTGAATCCTGGGCCAAGGTGCCAACTGGGAGAGGGCGGTGTTCTCCAGGGGACTGCCACAGGCTCCAGCCCCAAACCCAGTCAGACACAGGTCTGACCCAGACATACCTGCGAGTCAGTGAGCAGAAAAATATCTGCTGGCTGGGTGGATAATGGGATCAACTGAAAGGAGAAGGGAGAGGGGGAGTGGTTCTGGGTCAGAGAATGGAGAAAGAAGAACCCAGAGGTCTCCTAACACCAGGCCTATTGCTGGAAACACCTGAGAAAAGCCGAGGCTAGGGAGTGGCAGGGAAGGAGGTGACAGCTAAGGGGGGCACTTCTAAGGCCTGGAATGAGAGCCAGGTGGGAAGGACTGGAAGTAGCAAGTTAGACTATCTAGGCCTCAGTTTCCTCACTCATACAGCCATAGTAAAATACTGTGTGGTGGGGATGAAAGGAGCCTTTGCATATGAACGTGCTCTGGGATGGATTGTCCTCCCCCTCTTCCTCTGACTCACAAACCTGCCTCCTCAGTGGCCATCTCCTCTCCTCCTCCTCCTCCTCCTCCTCTTCCTCTTCCTTCTCTTCCTCTTGCTTCTCTGTCTTCACCTGATACATCTGGATATCTGAGAGCAGAGTGAGGTGTCCCTGCCTGTTATTGCACTTGTCAAATTTTGTTTCTGGTTCACCTCTTGATGTCCCGTCCATCAGTGAGTTCTTCATATACCTCCAGGGTTAAGGCATGCCTGGCATGGAGTGGGGGCTGATTATATCTGTTGAATGAAGGTATAATATTGCTATGTAAGGCAATGGTTCTCAAAACCACTGCTTATCAGAACCACTGAGGCGAGGTCTGGTTGTGTTGTCAGCATAAGTGGGCAAATGCCCACTCTTTGAGATCCATTGAATTAGAACCTCTGAGGAGGCTGGGCCTGGTGGCTCACACCTGTGATCCTAGCACTCTGGGGAGGCCAAGGCAGGAGGATCACTTGAATTCAGGAGTTCCAGACTACCTAAGCAAGAGTGAGACCCCATGTCTACTAAAAATAGAAAAAATTAGCCAGGCATCATGGCGCATGCCTGTAGTACAGCTACTCAGGAGACTGAGGCAATAGGATCGCTTGAGCCCCGGAGTCTGAGGTTGCTGTAAGCTAGGCTGATGCCACAGCACTCACTCTAGCCCAGGCAACAAAGTGAGACTCTGTCTCCAAAAAAAAGAAGAAGAAAAAAAATTTAGCCGGACATGATGATGCTCACACATATTCCCAGCTACTCAGGAGGGTCTCTTGAGCCCAGGAGTTTGAGGTTGCTGTGAGCTAGGCTGACACCACAGCACTCTAGCCTGGACAACAGAGTGAGACTCTGTCTCCAAACAACAACAACAACACTCACACTTATATTTATATTATATTTTCCAACCCATCATTGTGATGCCCAGGTTTGGGAACCTACTCCTGGAGAGGTCAATGTATCCCACCCTCAAGGTTTTTTTCCAGATGAAGTCAGGCTAAAAGCAAGATCCCTTCAGTCCCAAGGATCTGTATCCCTGGGGGTTATAAAGAGAGCTCACTGACTGCTGGGACATCAAGAGGTGAACAGGTAACAAAATGCAACAGGTGCAAAATCAAGAGGAGGCACCTTGCTCTGCTCCTAGATGTCTGAGGAGGAGGAGGAGATGGCCATAGAGGAGGCAATTTTGTGAGTCAGAAGAAGAGGGGAAGGACAATCCATCACAGAGCATGTTCACATTCAAAGTTTCGTTTCATCTCCACCACACACTATTTTATTGTGGCTTTATAAATGAGGAAACTGAGTTCTACACAGGTTGATTTGCTACTTAGTCCCAGAGCTGGAGCTTGAACTCAGGTCTCATCCTTCCAAACCAGGGTGCTTTCCAGTGCACCACAGCTCTCTATCTTGTATGGGAATCTTCAGATCTCCCAGATAGCCTAATATAAAACGCTAGATTTTTAGTAGGCACCAAATAAACATTTGTCTAGGACAACCAACAGGGGGAAAAAAATCCCTGAAAAGCTTCAGGACAGTAAGGAGATGGGGCAACACGAGGAGAATTCTTTTCTTTCAGGCAAAGACCTCTAACCCTGGGGCTACAAATGAGGAAATGAGGATAAATGAGGGTGGAAAAACTACAATTCCCTGAAGGCCACAAAGAGGTCACCATTACGCATGCGTGGGTCCCTCCCCTTAACTCTGGCTTCTCGGTCGCTCTTCTCGCGCATGCGCCCTACGACCGGTCTTTTTCCGACAGCTTGCTGTCCCAGGCCAGAGTTGGTGTCTGGACCCCCTGTGACTTCGGGTTGCGATGCTGCCTTTCTCTTTGCTCTGGGCGGCTCCGGTAAGAACTGGGCTCCGGATACTGGGTAACCAGTGGAAAGGAAGCCCCTTCCTACCTTAGTTCCTATTCACAAACTCTGGGGTTTTCTTGGCTTTTCCATGCACTTGGTCTGGGGCCTCTGGGAGCGGACACGTAACTAGAGAATCCCTGAGACCCCTGGGAGCGTGTGGTGAACTGGGTCCCTCCACTCCCCATTCTGGCGATCAGATGCCTGAGGGCCTCGTGGCCGCCCATTTCACGTGGCATTAGGGGAGAGGACTGATCTGGGTGCCCGCGGACCCTGGGCTGGGGAACAAGCGGGGTCCTTGGCCCGGGCCCCACAATCTGAGCCTTTCCCGTCAGCTCTAAGCTGTGCTGATGATGCAACCGAGTCCGACTGCTTGCATCAGGCAGGGGTCCTGCGGCAGTGTGGGCTGGAAGGAGGTGGAAAGGGGTGGGGGGCAAGGAGGACAGGATATGGATATTGGTCGCCCTTCACACAAACACCCTGCCCCCACAGCCCCCCACACCTCTTCCCCAGGGACTGTTAAAGGTCTCCCCTTCCATCTCCATTGCTCTGGAAGCCACCTGTACAGCTGTGGCCTTAACCCCTGCTGATTCAGCCTTTTTCCCTGGCTGGAATATCAGTTTATGGAGGTCCTGCAGGAATGTCTTTTGGCTCCTGTGGCTGGGGAGCTTCTGGAATGTCAGTGGCCCTCTCTGGGGTTTGGGAGACATAGACTTCTGGAGGACAAGTTTTGCCCTGCGGCTTCACAGAGTAGTTCACCTAGTAAGGTGGAGGGAGATTCTGAGGTGTCGTTAATGGAGCAAATCAGAACCACCCCCTGGACATTGATCTCAGCCTTGGCTCTAGAACTGACTTGTGGAGGTGGAGGTGGGGGTGGTGAGAAGTGGAACAGGCTGGCTGGACAGCTGGTTGCTCAGCGGAGCCAGAGCACTTTATAAGCATGGCAGAGGGTGACTGGGAGACTGTTTTCATTTGACCCTGGCTTTTCCTGCCTCCAGCCTCTGCGGAGATGTGGTCAGCTGGCCAGCATGGCTGTTCGGGCTCAGCACAGCAAGGCAGCCCAGACGCAGACTGGGGAAGCAACTAGGGGCTGGACAGGCCAGGAGAGTCTGTCGGACAGTGACCCTGAGATGTGGGAGCTGCTGCAGAAGGAGAAGGACAGGCAGTGTCGTGGCCTGGAGCTCATTGCCTCAGAGGTGGGACCTGGGGAGAGGGGGTAGAGGTTGGGCCACCATAGGTGCAAGAAGTAACAAGTCATCTTACAGATATTTCTCCAGATCTTCCTTTCTGACTAGAGCCTTACTATTGGCCCTTATCTCCCTTTTTTTTACTGTCCTCTGAAGCAAAGGCAGGGCCAGGCCAATTTATGGAGTTGGGACTTTAGGGAGCTTCCAGGGCTCCTACAGTCTTGTCTGGTCCCTCCCTCCCAAGAAGAAAGAGGAGCCTGGAAGCACAAGTTTGAGTGGGCAGGTGGTCTTGCCCCAGGCCTGGACCTCTGAGTGAACAGAGCCTTCTGCGGAGCTTGGCTCCCCCTTACAGCCTGTGGGGCTCTGGAAGGGTGGGGCTGTGGGAGTCCAGGGTAAGGGGCTCAATACCTTCTGACATTGCCCCCCCTACCCCAGAACTTCTGCAGCCGAGCTGCGCTGGAGGCCCTGGGGTCCTGTCTGAACAACAAGTACTCGGAGGGTTATCCTGGCAAGAGGTGAGGGCCAGGCACCAGAGGGCTGGAGGGCAACGTCAGGGATGGCACTCTCGGTGGGGAAACCTGCCTGTACCCTGCTGGTGCTTACTGAGGAGTGACCCTGCCAGTCCTTTGCTACTGGTTGTG